ATAACGAAAGCGGCATCGCTGCCTCAAGAAAAATAAGCGAGCTTGATATTCCAGCCCTTTTATTAAAAGCTTGTTCGAGGGGTAAGTGAACTATGTACAATCTTAATAAGGTATTTCTAATGTCTATATGCCGTTTTCTGAACATGGCCAGCTATCAATATGTAAAGGCTTATGAATAAAAAGTTCTAACATTTTTACTGACCAATACACGTAATAAAAATTCTCATATGAGTCGTGTGACTAAACTAGGATAAAGGAACGCTCTGTTCGAAAGACATTCAACGTTTATTTTAAATGATATGCTGATGTAAATTAAAAATTGTAATCATAGTCCAGGCTTTATCAAACTGGAAACAAACAACGAGGTAAAGAAGTATTATGATAATTTATGATATATCACGTTCCTGACATTAATTTTCTTTCAGCAATTGCATATTTTTAAAATAAAAATGAATCATTGCGGTTCACTTGCTCAGTTAATTTTAATAACGAAAGTGATAAGATAACAGAATCGTTTCTTAGGTCTTTTACAGCTAGCACAAAGCTAAAAAGTAAAAATTAAAGCACTGCAAGAAGTTAGTGATCTCTGTGATGAAGCACCACTTAATAAGATACCATCTATGAGGTTGTTTTTATCGTATTAAGTAAGTATTTGTCAAGGATTTAAGTGATTGACATTTCATCAACCTAATGAGCAACTCGCGCAGAGGCAAGTGATATTCATAAGCTTCATCTCATGAAGCCCAAGGCGTGTCAGGACATGCCCTCCCATGGCGTACCTACACATATGAGTACTGGTGGCAAATCACCCTCGCGGGGTGCATATTATATATAATTTGTTTCCACTACGTGGAATCTTATTAAATGCCTCTAATGCCTTGCCTACATATACGAGTACCGGTGGCAAATCACCCTCGCGGGGTGAATATTATGTACAATTAGTTTCCACTACGTGGAACCTTATGAAATGCCTCTAATGCCTTGCCTACATATACGAGTACCGGTAGCAAATCACCCTCGCGGGGTGCATATTATATACAATTTGTTTCCACTACGTGAAACCTTATGAAATACCTCTAATGCCTTGCTTACATATACGAGTACCGGTAGCAAACCACCTTCGCGGCGTGCATATTACCAAAACTCTGATGACCGCCCCTCGCGGGGGCATATTATGTATAATTTGCTTCCTCCGTGTGGAACTCATTATGAATAAGGACTTGCCTTCCATGGCTTGCCTATACATACAAGTATCAGTAACAAAACATCGTTGATAGAGAAATATCCTCATCAATCTTATAATCGCCCTTGTGGGGTCATATCACACATAATATATTATTTCCATTACGTGAATATCAATATATGTTCTCCTTAGAACATGTTAGCTTATGGAGTTCGTACTATTATGTAAGCACCGGTAACATACGACACTCGAGTGGAGCAAATTATGCATAATTTAACAAGTAGTCTATTCGTGATTCATAATTTATTTTTGTGACCATGGGGTCTGTAAAAGTGTAAACGATTCGAAACATTAAAAATGAGTAAATTGAAAATATAATAAATGTCGCTTGACATAATTCATTACTTCCATCGCGTGGAAATCCATACATCAACGCAACGCAACATACCCGCTCATGGCTTGCGTACACACATAAGTATCGGCTATAAACTACCCTCTTAATAGACTATAAAGATCGAACATCGAATGTTGACGTACCCTGTTGGGAAGTGCAATGTACGTGGTTACTCCAAGGTCTTGGGTTCACGCCGGTGGGGCAAATCATTGTATGATAAAAACGAGCATCTGTGCCTAAGTTTTGGTTGTTAACAAATATGAATTGAAAATCTAATCTAATAAATTCTAATCTATGCATCATCATTATGCATTTTTAGGCGTTAGCCCATAACACAAGCCTTTCAATGCCCATTATAAGGCTAGGCTAATTGGTGTGAAGTGTTGACTCGATCACTACGGTTGTTACCGTAATATATAATACATTTCAAAAGAAAAAGGAATATCGAAACAATTAATGTTTGAAAAAATTTAGTGCAGGTAAGTTGATAAATTGGGAGCTCCATAAATAATTCTTAAATAAATTTAATGGTATCGCATGCCATTCAAAAGCTTGTTTATCTAAATCCAATATATATCAAACTCCAATCTCAAGTGCAGTACACTATAAATTTGTAAAGAATTCTAAGTTTTCTGCAATTTAAGGACTATCTGCCAGATAAATAGAAGATAACATATTTTCTCTTGAAAATAACAAAAGTAAACCAAATGGGTTGCTCACTCTTTTGATCGCGTAATGAGAGAAACTTGCAATATTAGAAATGTCGTGTATATGGTGTCTGAGGTGGCCAACATGATCATTTTGATATATAAGTGGTGCTAGTTACTGAAGAAAGATTGCACGATCTACCAAATTCTTGAAGGGTTTTGAAGATCATTGTATGCAATTATCCCCTTTATGTTATTTTAGTAAAAATTACTGAAAACTGTTCTTAATATTAAATTTACGCTTTCTAACCTTGCCACGACTGTCTGGAATAAATATACTTCAAACCCTACGCATAGTACATGCACACCTCATGTAAGCTGTGTAAATCTTATAAATAACTAAATCTTTATTTAGTATTAAGTAATACATATAAATGACTCAGATCTAAGAACTGAAAAACAAAAGGAAAAATTACAATCAATTATAGATTTCAGGATGGCAAATGAATTTCATAAAATCTGGTCTGAACTTCGTAATAGCATAATTTATCACGGCAACCCAGCAACAATATAAAAACTATACCAGAGAATTTCATTGTACAAACGTAAACTTCAGAAGTTGATCGGTTTCAACATTTTTGTCATTCCGTGGGATTGTATCAACCACTCCCTACTTCTAACAATAATTATGAATTCACTGCAATCGACCTTGCAATCACTTCCCGCCAATCTAATATGAAAGCTTGGGAAGTATAGTTGAAGAACACGGCACGATATGCTAGCACTACGCTTTTTAACATATTCTACAATGAGCGACAGCTCTGTCTTAAACAGCTATGAGATGGCTCGGAAACGCTGGCTTGCGTGGTTGCATTGGTCTAGGAACAAGAATGTTTATCGGAATAATCCCGCAAGTTGTGGACTCGGCTCTGAGCTCACACGATTTTTGAGAGACTTATTTTTAACTCGTGACTTATCTTAAAATAAATACCATTATTTTAAATAAGTCAGTAGTTTTTACATGATATACCAATGGATGATAAGTCTAATTACCTAAGCTCACCTGTCTTGGCAAACACATTTAATGAAGTCGATTGGTTTTAAAGAATCAGTCCGTAACCTACTATTCTGTGTCTATAAGTTAACTTATTTCCTTTTCTTCAATAATGTACTCGTTACATCATAATGATCTGTTTCAAATACTTCGTCATATATGTTGTTCTGAACGTCATACAGTAATTATGCTGCGTATTATTTGGTTCAGCATGTGGTACACATGACTTGTTCCTACTTCAAATTATCCCGAATCATTGTATTTGTACCGATGAAGATTAGTTTAGCCTTGTTTTGGTTCAAAACAGGTGAAAGTAGTTAAAGACAATCCGATTGGTGACTTGTACCGAATAATGGTAATCGTAAGTGGGACCCTGATTTTTGGTACTTAAGTAAAAAGTACAGTCTTGTAAAATGTAAGACTCGGTATCGAACAACTTTACATCTTTTTCTCGCGTTCGTACGCCTTATTTGTGATATAAAAAGATACAAATGAATGCTACACAAGGAAGTGTCCGGTCATAGTTTTAAGCAAAGGAATATAGCGATCAGCTAATACATATGTTAAAGCAGCTTCGTAAGCTTGAAGAAATTAAAGGCGTGATTCAAATAATATTATTTGATTAATTTTTAAGCTTACTCGTTTCTTTATACAGTTTCATATAATCTGATAAATGTTAATATTTAAATTTATCATAAATTGTCACATTGGCGTATATATCTATGTACGTGGCGATCACCAGGCGATAACAAACAGGTCTCAATATAAAGCTTTCAGTGACGGTCAAGTAGTTTAATAGCAGCATTTTACCTGAAATAAAATGCATATTAAAATACTTACCTCACTGAAAGCTTTCACTTTAAATTCTGCCTGGTGAAATAATTGAGCCAATGAGTTAATATGGCGCTGTCAAAACTTAGGAAAACAAAAATGGCCGCGCTTCTGCCAGGTGTCGCCACTGGACCGGATACAAGGTGAATAAAAGTACGGAAACTGATGGTAATTCGACGGGAAACGGAAGTGCTATCTCAATATAAAGCTTTCAGTGAGGTAAGTATTTTAATATGCATTTTATTTCAGGTAAAATGCTGCTATTTATGATATTGGTGTGGTGAGTCGGTTGTTGCAGGCGAATAGACGAATGTAAGAATTGTATTAAATATTCTTTACTTATAGTGCCAGTGTTATACTTTATATATATATGTATATATATATGTATTTCCCTGTTTTTGTTCATGTTGAGTTTGCGAGTAATTGTTTTTGCACTATGCTGAAAATTGTTACATATAAGTGTGATTATGTAAGTTAAGATGTAAAAATGTTGGCAGTACTTTAAGAAATAAATAATTACTTATTGTGAGTTGTCCACGATATCTCGTTATAAAAATAAAAACTTGAGAGGTGTCAAGGGACACCCGGATGGAACGAAGTTCTTTTCGATTAATTAGTGAAGGAATTGTAATAAAATTTTATTTTTTTTAAGTTATAATAATATTTTTTTTATTATTAACAAATATAATGTTATATAAACTTAATCAGTAGGCTCAATTTTCGTAATAATTGGCTTGTGGTAACTGAAGTAGGAAACATATGTTTGGGATTCTATTTTCAAATTTCAAATTCAAAAAGTGTCGTGACAACTTTTCGTAAGAATTTTTTCCGTCTAGCCCCCTTTCACAACGCGCGATAAGGAACTTCGTTCCAATAATACAATCCAAACACCTTGCACATAATCGTGTTAGCCCTAGCAGCAATATGGTTGCGTCGTGGTAATCTCTCCAGCAGTGGGAATAAGACCCGCTGGAAGCACGCCTCCCACGCCCCGCCTGCTGACCCTGACGACGACCCCGACCCAGGGGAGAGTCCAGGCACCAGCAGAGCGCGTTGGAGATACGCTATGGCGCTGTTCGCCACCTATGAAGAGGAGAAAAGAATATATTGTTTTAAACTTTCATGGTCACTAGCATTATAGTAATATAAGTTATTTACGGGATCGTTACCATGTAAGATAAGACACCAGAGACACAGAGTAGACAGACAACCTGTTTATTTGCCATACGTTAAAGGAGTGACTGACAAGATCTCAAATATACTGAATAAGTACTCACTAAACACTGTCTTCACTCCTGTGCGGAAGGTTTCACAATACCTACGGTCTCCTAAAGACAACTTCCCCTTGGAGAAACCTGGTGTCTATAAGATCGATTGCAGCTGTGGCAGTTCGTACATTGGCCAAACAAAGCGAACAGTATCATGCCGAATGAGGGAACACATAAAAGCAATCAAGAACAACGATACGCAGAAATCAGCCATCGCGGAACATTTGATTGATTCGGGTCCTAACCACTGGATTGAGTTTCATAACCCACAGATCATCTCGACAGAACGCCACTACATACCAAGATTGCCAGGGAAGCGATTGAAATAATAATACATAAAAATTTCAATCGTGAGGACGGGTTTAAATTGTCGAGTGTCTGGAATCCTGTGGTTCGTATGTCTAAAACCGGAAATAATCAAAAAAGTGTCGTGTCGCGATCCGATACTGTAAATGTTGTGTATCGAGAACAGTTTCAAGTGAAAAGTGAGAATGTGAACAGTGGTACGGGTATCGAACGCAATAAAAGACTTCGTCGGAGGCTAGACCGATATGTCTGCCAATAACAGGCTACCTGCAATTACTTCAGTTACTCCGTGATTATGGCGCTTGCAACAGTGCCTTAATATCAGAAACTCTCTAAAAACAAGGTACATGATAACAATCCCGCAAATAACTTATATCTATAAGGAGAAAAGAACTTCATTATTCTACACTTCAGTGATTTATTTAATTCTATTTATGACTCTTGACTCTACCCCACCTGATCTCAAGTGGTGATAAAGTCCAAACGCGAAGATAGCTGATACAGCAGTTATGAACTGCTACATCAACCATCCTCACATTGCCGGCCTGCAAAAATGCTGCTTCACGCCTCTCTTAAAGGATCCCAGATTATAGGAAGGAGGGAACACGTGCGCGAGTGATGATGGTGGAAGTTTACTATAACGTATTTTTAAATACGCTGTATTATTAATAACTACGTGTGATCTCATCCTATCAAACTAACCTGTTTCCGTCTGTCTGTGCAGAACTCTGCGATCCCTTGCAATAAGGGCATCCATGCAACCTCCCAGAGATCATACTCCTCAGCACCTAAAATAACAAACCAAAATAAATGAAATATTTTAGAGGATATCATTTCATCTTATGCCCGGTAACAAAAAGATTCATCATTATAATATCCCCACTGCTGGGGCACAGGCCTTCCCTATGAATGGAATAGGAATATTGGGCTATGACCCACCACGCGGGTCCAGTGCGGATTGTTAAGTAACAGACATTCTTAAAAGTTTATTGTCCTTAAATTACCTTGACCCTGGTCTGCCTCGTCATGCCACCATTTGAATATCTGGGCGGTCCTACTGTGTAATGTGTGCATTAGATCCAGCAACTGAAACAATTAAGTATACGTTTCATCATCATCATCATCATCATCATCATCAGCCTATTAATGTCTCCACTGCTGGGGCACAGGCCTTACTTATGGATGGAGTAGGGAGATTGGGCCATGGCCCATCACGCGGGCCCAATGCGGATTGGCGGGTGCTAACGACTGCAGATGCAGCCGGGACCAACGGCTTAACGTGCCTTCCGAAGCACGGAGGAACTCGAGATAGAAGATTTTGGTCACCCATCCAATGACCGACCATTACGAAAGTTGTTTAACTTCAACGATCGCAGCCGAACTCGCTTACTACCCGCGCCATCGAGCTCGTCTATATAGAGTATACGTATGCGAATATTTTATTCACGAAAAAAGATTAAAGTTTATGTGTATATTACAAACCAGAGAAAAGAAAAAATAACTTCGTAGCGAGGGCACGTCACTAATCATCATTTATCATGACTTTTCAAATGATGTGAAAAAGGACAATGTTGCAAAGTTATTTCAAAAAGGAAAGCTGACTAATGTCAAATCATGTGTCCTAGCAAAAAGTTACACAGTCGTGTTAATATAATATCAACATTGGTTGCTTTCCAATTACAAAGCATAATGCGACTCAGTGCCGCACAATGCCGAATTCTGCTGATGCTTAATTGGAACGTGAATTAGTTTTCAAATACACCAGCAGAGTGCGCTAAGTTCAGTGTTGAAAAAAAAAGTAAATTTTTGTACCTTCATCCATACTTATATTTTTTTTTAACAGTTTGAATGAATTGAAATTGAAATGAATGAAATGAAATGAAATGAATTAATTAAAAAAAAACTATTTAATGAAACGAAAGCTTTAATAATTTTTCAACAATAAATAATATTATTAAAGAAAAAACACTTGTTAATTTTCTGTCTCTAAGTTGGTACGATTGCACGCATCACACGAAAGCATCACTTTTGAGAGTGCTCAATTGTGCGAAGCGTTGCTGTAGTTGGAACACTCAACGTTAAGCATTATGCCGCATAATGCGCTATAATGCTGTAATTGGAAAGCAACCATTGTCTCACCTGTATGCTGACCATGTGGTACTGATCTAGGGTGTCAACTTCCTCGTCGCTCGAGTCAGGATTCTGCCGCCGTGAAGAGCTCGACCTCTGCTTTTTTCCATCCTGTGATTTCTTGGCTAAACATAGAAATTATTATTGTTAATTTACAGTTTAAAGAATAGACAAGACAGAACGTTTACTATATGACTCTATAGTTGAAGTGGACAGACAAAATATGAAAGAGACAAATCGATGGGGTGGCTAAAAGTTTGTATAAGATTTTTTTTGGCTGTGTTAGGATCTTCATAGTGAATTTATTATACTGTTTACTTATGACTAAGAGTTGTCATGTTATGTTTGTAGTGACACAAAAATATAATGATACTTCGCATTACACACATGTAAATACATGATAAAAAAAAGTACACACTGAACTCTCGCTTTTTCTCTTTCTAGAGAATAGTCAATAAAAAAAATGCCCGTGTCGCTGAGTCCCTTTGTCTATGATTGTTACAACACAACATCCGCCATATCATTAACATTGTAATTTTAGTCAATTAGAAAGTATTTAAAATACTCATTCGGTGAAGAGCTCGCGAGCAGTACCGCCAGTGCGCCAGCAACAAATCCTAATTAATTGCAGCTGTGAAATAGCGCAAATCGGGGAGCAGTAGGAGCTCGAGCGCGCAAACGCTTAGCGCTTTCGGGTACGATCATTGCAGTTAGGTAAGCGTCGCGGCCATGCTCTCCCACCAGCTGCAATACCTTGCGGTGGCGTGGCAGTTGTAGGGCATCACGTGCGCCATGCTTAAATTAAAACAAAAAGGGTGATACGGCACTAGCCTCACAAAAGTGATCCGCACAAATTGTGGTCCACGACCCTAATCGCTTTAGTCACAACTTGACATGCAAACGACGTACATGTGAACGGCAAAAAGAAATATTGATAATATTTTGTGTTTAAATGATAAAACAATGCCTAAGTATGTTTTTAAAAAGTGCTCAAATTGCTCAGGAACTAAAAATAAAACCCACTGCATCACTTTTCTACTATAAAAAGTACTATAAAATATATTTTTTCATAAAAATTGCTGTTTGTTTTGAATCTTATTCGGTAGTGACGTCGAGTACTGGTCGCGTGATTGGTCGCTAATGCAGTGACGCGGATCTCGCCGTCCCGTTCGCGCTGTCGTAGGATCAGTTTTTGTTTGATGCAAGTATGAGCGTACCGTATCTACCCTTTGTGTTTTAATCTAAGGCGCCACGTCGCGCACCACCAGCGCCAGCGCCTCGCAGCAGCGGGACAGCGCGTCGGCGCGGTGTCGCCGCAGCGTCGCGGCCATGCTCTCCCACCAGCTGCGATACCTTGCAGCGCGGCGGCGCGCGCGAACAGCCGCACGCAGCGCACGGCGGCGCGGCAGTTGTAGGGCGTCACGTGCGCCACGTCGCGCACCACCAGCGCCAGCGCCTCGCAGCAGCGGGACAGCGCGTCGGCGCGGTGTCGCCGCAGCGTCGCGGCCATGCTCTCCCACCAGCTGCGATACCTTGCAGCGCGGCGGCGCGCGCGAACAGCCGCACGCAGCGCACGGCGGCGCGGCAGTTGTAGGGCGTCACGTGCGCCACGTCGCGCACCACCAGCGCCAGCGCCTCGCAGCAGCGGGACAGCGCGTCGGCGCGGTGTCGCCGCAGCGTCGCGGCCATGCTCTCCCACCAGCTGCGATACCTTGCAGCGCGGCGGCGCGCGCGAACAGCCGCACGCAGCGCACGGCGGCGCGGCAGTTGTAGGGCGTCACGTGCGCCACGTCGCGCACCACCAGCGCCAGCGCCTCGCAGCAGCGGGACAGCGCGTCGGCGCGGTGACGCCGCAAAGTAACGTCCATGCTCTCCCACCAGCTGCTTTCGGAATCGGGCGGCGGACTAGAAGCTGGCTCGTTCTTCACCTGCACACGAAACAGTTATATTGTCTAATGAAACTGTAAACACGGTACAGTTCATATTAAATTTTTTGACTATGATATAAGATATAATCTAGAGCATTTAAAAGCCGGAGAAAAAACAGGTAAAAATATACTTATGTTTTTATTTATTTTTAAGCATTTAACTGCTAGATGTTTAAATCTAAAGATTACATGACTATAATTGCTATTTATTCTTTCAAATGTTTAATACTTGAAAAAGTATTCATTTGACAGTGTGGGTTACCTACAATACGAAGAGATGGCGCTGCCTTGCAGCTTAAGGCTAGGAAAATTTCGACGCGGCGAATAGGGCCGTGGTAGCATAATGGTCAGTGCATTCGCCCGGATTGCGAAGGGTGCGGGTTCGAGTCCCGTCCACTGCCTGGTCCGCGTGGATTTTTTTTCTAGTAAACTTTTCTTTAGGTAAAAATATAATTAAATAAAATTACAGAAAATCTATTCAGCGGAACCACTACCTATATTCTCAGTTTGATTCCGCGTCGGAACACTTCTATGAATATACTACATATGACTAACCAGATTATATTTTATAACAAAATTACAACTTACCAGTATCCATCCTTGCTGTGGTGATTGTGACAGTTCACTCTCCGACGAGACGCTTTTCGGTCGTCGGTCGCTCTCATCATCAGAGCCCTCTGACCGACTCGACGCTGCAAAGACAATAAAATCGTTTCATGTATGTGTTTGAAGCATATGTCCTTGGTCCGAAACAAAAGCACCTGACTGTACATTACTTGTGCGGTATTGTTTAGTAATTTACACTCCGTGATCATGGCGCTTGCAACAGTGCCGAAATATCGGACTCATAAAAAACAAGATACATGGTAACAATCCCGTTAATAGCTATAAAGTTTAAAACAATATATTTCGTTTAGTATACGGTAACTTTATAATAATTGATGTTATTTACTTTAAGGTATTTATCTATGGGCCTACTTGCATGATTATAAAGAAAAAAATGTGTGCGTGTACTAGTGTACACACGTAAGAAGTGAAACTTCTTTATGGCCTTATTTTTCGAAAAATGATCTACATGCAACTTTCCAGAAATTGGTTAAATAAAGTTAAATTAGATAAAGTTTAAACAAAAGGATTTTATTATCATAGACATGAATACAAATTACTGCCTATGAAACTGTTATGATTACACGGCTCAGTAATCTAAGGCACATGTTCCACCTCCGACGATGAACGATAAGCGAGTAGAAATTAGAAACGAATTGGCAGTCCTGAGTTAAAATGCACGCGCACGGCTTTTGACAGCCAAGCCAGCTTAACCGAGCGAGTATAGCTGAGCGAGTATCGCTGAGCTAGTATCGCTGAGCGAGTATCGCTGAGCGAGAATCGCAGAGCGAGCATCGCTGAGCGAGTATCGCTGGGCGAGTATCGCTGGGCGAGTATCGCTGGGCGAGTATCGCTGAGCGAGTATCGCTGAGCGAGTATCGCTATGCGAGTTTGGCTGAGCGAGTCTTATCTTTAATAACTATTGTCACTCAGCTACAAACGAGTAGAGAGAGTTCTCGCCGGCGACAGTGTGATCATTCAGCTATCAACTATTAATATAAAAAAAGATGGCGCGTAACGGAAAAATGTGACGCGTAACCGAAAAAATGTGACGGTAAATTTTTTTCCAACGACGATAAAGAAGTTTCACTTCAATAAATAAAATTTATCGTTTATTATACAGTACCTGTTTGATATTGTTCGGATTGAGCGACGCCAGCAGAGGGCGGGCGGCGTGGCCAAGCCCCTGCTCCAGCAGCGCACAGTAAAGACAGTAGAATGCTCCACTCCTCCGCGCTGTGTATGTTCTGAGCGCTGGTCTTCACCACTTCGTATAAGCCGCAAGATATCTACCCCAAAAAAAAGATAATGTTAGTACCGAGTAACTGCGGGTTACTTTGATCTAAAATATACACTTTTTTTAATCAAATTGTAGCTTCTCTTTATGATGAATGTGTCACGTTTATATCTTTCCATTGTGAACTTTAAGGTATAAGTTACAAACATACGATTATAGGAAAAAATAATGTTAAAGGGTTAATATTATTTTTTTTAATTTTGGCCAAAGTTGGCCTTAGAAGAGGGTTACTTTAGCTCGTTGAGTTTTCTCTGCGAAAAAAACACATTTTAAGCCATGTTGGGGTTAAGTAACCTTTATAACAGGTTACCATTAGCATACTTAATACACAAATGGATGTATTTTCCCAAAAATAATTGAGTTAAATAATAAAAAAAACGAAATTATTTTTATTAATCAAACGTGAAACGAAATATTGACAAATTCTTATTTTCATAAGTAAAGCTACATAAAATATTTATACTTTGGTAAGTAATTAAATTGAATTAACAACAGGAACTTCGTAGTAACATAATAAAATTAAAACATAATTTTTTTTTCTTCAGTGCTGCTTGTTATGGTATGTTTTGGTTGCTTTTTCGTCTGTTTTTGTTTTGCAAACCGGATGGCCCTGCTTCTATCAGATCAGCAACACAGATGGACTTGCCAGTAAGAACATAAAGAATTCTTTTCTTAACAACTTTTTTTTTCAGTACACACGAAACTAGTGCATGCATGTGTAAGGCTCGAAATTTAGAAAAGAAAAACCTATAAAATCTAGAACGTACGAGTAAATCATAAAGTAGTGTTAAAAGATGTTAGCTAATTTAAAATACATGTAAGTAGTAGATTGAGGTAGTTAACGGCGTCTTGAGATTACTAATTTGCGCTAAATTTGTATGTGTTTAACAGGTATAACTTTATTCTATTATTTCTAAATCTAAGGTTGACGGGTAACTTTGGCCTAAAAGACAAAGTTACCCAAAAACATAGGCTAAAGTATACCTCCGTATCTTTCCCTAAATATAAACAAGTAAATTTGTGTAAAACCTTTTGAATTTATTATCAACGTACTCCCATGAACATGTTCAATAACGTTAAATATAGAAAAAATAGTAAACTTACAGAAAACCACAGTTTTACGAGAAAGTTTGTTCATGAACTTCCGAACTATTTCAGCTACAAAAAATCCCGCGTAACAATGACAGGTTGATATGGTAGTAGAGGCGGTAGGGCAGCGCCAGCAGCGCGTGCAGCAGCGCCAGCACGGCCCCCACGCACTGATGGCAGCGCATGAGCCGCGCGCCGCCCCGCAGGAGGGCGGTTAGTGCGCGCCGCATCGTGTACAGTACACTCACCACTAGCGCGTGCTGGTAGTAGAGGCGGTAGGGCAGCGCCAGCAGCGCGTGCAGCAGCGCCAGCACGGCCCCCACGCACTGATGGCAGCGCATGAGCCGCGCGCCGCCCCGCAGGAGGGCGGTTAGTGCGCGCCGCATCGTGTACAGTACACTCACCACTAGCGCGTGCTGGTAGTAGAGGCGGTAGGGCAGCGCCAGCAGCGCGTGCAGCAGCGCCAGCACGGCCCCCACGCACTGATGGCAGCGCATGAGCCGCGCGCCGCCCCGCAGGAGGGCGGTTAGTGCGCGCCGCATCGTGTACAGTACACTCACCACTAGCGCGTGCTGGTAGTAGAGGCGGTAGGGCAGCGCCAGCAGCGCGTGCAGCAGCGCCAGCACGGCCCCCACGCACTGATGGCAGCGCATGAGCCGCGCGCCGCCCCGCAGGAGGGCGGTTAGTGCGCGCCGCATCGTGTACAGTACACTCACCACTAGCGCGTGCTGGTAGTAGAGGCGGTAGGGCAGCGCCAGCAGCGCGTGCAGCAGCGCCAGCACGGCCCCCACGCACTGATGGCAGCGCATGAGCCGCGCGCCGCCCCGCAGGAGGGCGGTTAGTGCGCGCCGCATCGTGTACAGTACACTCACCACTAGCGCGTGCTGGTAGTAGAGGCGGTAGGGCAGCGCCAGCAGCGCGTGCAGCAGCGCCAGCACGGCCCCCACGCACTGATGGCAGCGCATGAGCCGCGCGCCGCCCCGCAGGAGGGCGGTTAGTGCGCGCCGCATCGTGTACAGTACACTCACCACTAGCGCGTGCTGGTAGTAGAGGCGGTAGGGCAGCGCCAGCAGCGCGTGCAGCAGCGCCAGCACGGCCCCCACGCACTGATGGCAGCGCATGAGCCGCGCGCCGCCCCGCAGGAGGGCGGTTAGTGCGCGCCGCATCGTGTACAGTACACTCACCACTAGCGCGTGCTGGTAGTAGAGGCGGTAGGGCAGCGCCAGCAGCGCGTGCAGCAGCGCCAGCACGGCCCCCACGCACTGATGGCAGCGCATGAGCCGCGCGCCGCCCCGCAGGAGGGCGGTTAGTGCGCGCCGCATCGTGTACAGTACACTCACCACTAGCGCGTGCTGGTAGTAGAGGCGGTAGGGCAGCGCCAGCAGCGCGTGCAGCAGCGCCAGCACGGCCCCCACGCACTGATGGCAGCGCATGAGCCGCGCGCCGCCCCGCAGGAGGGCGGTTAGTGCGCGCCGCATCGTGTACAGTACACTCACCACTAGCGCGTGCTGGTAGTAGAGGCGGTAGGGCAGCGCCAGCAGCGCGTGCAGCAGCGCCAGCACGGCCCCCACGCACTGATGGCAGCGCATGAGCCGCGCGCCGCCCCGCAGGAGGGCGGTTAGTGCGCGCCGCATCGTGTACAGTACACTCACCACTAGCGCGTGCTGGTAGTAGAGGCGGTAGGGCAGCGCCAGCAGCGCGTGCAGCAGCGCCAGCACGGCCCCCACGCACTGATGGCAGCGCATGAGCCGCGCGCCGCCCCGCAGGAGGGCGGTTAGTGCGCGCCGCATCGTGTACAGTACACTCACCACTAGCGCGTGCTGGTAGTAGAGGCGGTAGGGCAGCGCCAGCAGCGCGTGCAGCAGCGCCAGCACGGCCCCCACGCACTGATGGCAGCGCATGAGCCGCGCGCCGCCCCGCAGGAGGGCGGTTAGTGCGCGCCGCATCGTGTACAGTACACTCACCACTAGCGCGTGCTGGTAGTAGAGGCGGTAGGGCAGCGCCAGCAGCGCGTGCAGCAGCGCCAGCACGGCCCCCACGCACTGATGGCAGCGCATGAGCCGCGCGCCGCCCCGCAGGAGGGCGGTTAGTGCGCGCCGCATCGTGTACAGTACACTCACCACTAGCGCGTGCTGGTAGTAGAGGCGGTAGGGCAGCGCCAGCAGCGCGTGCAGCAGCGCCAGCACGGCCCCCACGCACTGATGGCAGCGCATGAGCCGCGCGCCGCCCCGCAGGAGGGCGGTTAGTGCGCGCCGCATCGTGTACGCGCTGCGAGTGCCCGCCCACCACACGACGCGCATGTAGTGAGCGCTCGACGCCTCCCAAACGCTCAGGGAACGATCCCTGCACAATAAGAGACCACCATTTTTATTCAACACTCGCGATTCACCCAGACTTTGCACGCAAAACATTCATAACGATAAAATATACTATATGTAACTCAACTGTCAAATTCATTTTTATTTATTGATGTGTAACATCTTTCCTCTCGCTTTCCTGCAATTGAGATTGTGGGAGTGATTTCGTGAAATGGAACGGAAGCGTATTACAGGAAGTCGCGAAAGCCGCGCTACTTGATTTGATTTTAGAACATAATGTTCATATGACTTATTCCTTTTGCAGTAGGTTTTATTTCTTTTTTTTCTTATATACGGTGAGGTTTCAAATGTTACACATCATACGCGACTACTGTAAGGCTCGCTCGTCTTTTATTCATTACAAACATACAAATCTTTCTTCTCCATCTTCCAATCACACAAAATAATTATGATGATCATCATCAGCCTATTAATGTCCCCACTGCTGGGGCACAGGCCTTCCCTATGATATAGGATCGAATAGAAGATGCGACCATAGGCCACGCGGACCCAGTGCGGATTGGCGGGTCCTAACGACAGCAGATGTAGCCGGGACCAACGGCTTAACGTGCCTTCCGAAGCACGTAGGAACTCGAGATAGAAGATTGTTGGTAATCCAACCAATGACGGACTGCGAAAGTTGCTTAACTTCAACGATCGCAGCCTAAAGCGCTACACACCCGCACCATCGAGCTCCTCAAAAAAAAATAATAACAATGGCAGATAGAAAACTAAAATTTAACTCGAAACTATATTATAATAATAGCGATAATAGCAACCATTCTTTGCCCCAAATATCTATCAATTAGCTACTAATAATAGATATAGTGCGATACAAATAAGAATAGGAAAGCCAATGACCTCCATCTGTCAAATGTCGCTTGAAAAGTACGGTTTGTAAAAAAATCTTGGAACCTTTTTTTAGCACTCAGCTAATTTTTAAATAAAAACCAAACATTTGTAAACAAACAATAACAAATAGTGATAATTAAAATTGTAAGATATTTTTTTTTCATTTATTGAGCTTTGGCTATGACTGATTGATAACCTAAATCGTCAACCAAATGTCACTTTAAGTTGCGCTCATAAACTCGATTTAAAACTTTCGTTAACATAAAGGATGCAAGTTTGTATGTGACTTAGTAATAGTGCATGATTATTCATAACTACTCCGGCGTTAATGCAGAGATGAGCGAAATTGAAGAGCTAGATTCTGATTTATGTTTTTTCTTAGACAGTCTTAATAAATAATATTATTAAAATTGGTTGATTTTTCTTCTTAATCTTAGTAAAGACATTTTATTTAAAAAATCTAATGTTTTTTTCTCACTTAATCTTAGTAAATAAGTTTTATTAAATAAGATCTTTTTTTGTTCACTCTCCCTATTTGGTTTGAATTGACAGCTATGACGTCACAATATGGCGCCCAGTCGGTCCTATTCTTAGTTGAATCGCATTATACTGTTCTAAGTCCTACAAATTCACGCGAGGAGGTATCTACACTCACGCGAGCTTCCCATTTAAATTCTCGATCGTTATGCGAAATGGACTTCTTTGATAGTGCATCAGCTTTGATATTGTGTGCATTAACATACTACAGTCTTATAAGTGTTCCAAAAAAACAAAAATATTGTCACGAACGCTCTCGAAAAGTAACCGCGAAAGTGCTAGAGATCGAATTTGCTAGATCACCGCAGGTCGCGAGAGGTCGAGTAATGCGGCTCATTCTAAAATGAGCCTTATGCAGTGCGGCGTTAGGGTGAAAGTGCAACGATATCTGCACTTGTTTACAAGTTATGCGTGTTACCTGTATAGGTATAAGTAGGTATTTCGTACTCGCGGGTGCTAAGTAATTCTCAATATAACAGGTACTTTCTAGAATGTGTCGATCGGCGTATATAAGCGCTATTGGCGCCGCGCAGAGACAGTTGAGTTTCAACAGCGATTTCGGAGCGAATCCAAAGGCGATCAAAGTGCAACAAAAGTGTTCAAGTGAGATTGTTTATAGTGAAATATAGTGTTTAGTGAGTGTTTTGTAATTAACATTGTGTGTTAATTGTGTGAACGGTGTGGTGAATAAAGAACTGTCAAGCGTGAACTGGCATATAATTTCGAACCCCATCCCGACACGTAACAATATAATAAAGAAAAAAGAAAGCGTGAAATTAATCACGTTCACGCTTAGGGTGTTCTCGTGGCTTCTCGGCATAAGTCTGTCCAGCCTAATCAAAATAACGAGACAATACTCTAAAAGCTGTTTAAAAAAAAAAGATCTGGTCAAAAGTCATGAAGACTTTTTATTTCAAATATTTTTTTGACTTATCATTTACTGTCATTATTTCATAAGCATAAATTTGAACAAACCTGTTCTGTATAAGTGTTTGACCCAGCAATTCCAGGAAGAATATAGTGATATCTTCGAGTTGCGGGTTGAGTTGCAAGCTGTCCGAGTCTGGAGGCGTACCCACTGTCACCATGGCGTGAACTAATTCCTGTCACAAGACGTAATACATCGATTTAATTACTTGTATTTACATTACTGGTACGAAACCCCATAATCCGTACTCGTTTGCCATGTACAATAGGGATGATGACTATTTCGTTTATCAGGTAGATTATCAAAAAGTATTGGACACGTATTTTTTCTTTTTTCACATAGTATAAACATTGCAGATATATACTGATTTGAAAATTCGCATGACGTCACGTTTTACAATTAAACAAGTACAATTTTCACTCAAAAGTGACGTCCTGAGCCCCTACTCCCAAACTTTGACGCGCTATAACTTTGTCATTTTTTGGTTGGTTGCCCAAAGAAAAAATACGTGTCCATTATTTTTTGATCATCTAACAGACGGACTAAATAGAATTTCGTTTACTGTTCCCTGTTATCACCCCTATTATTGAAGGGTAACTTCTTTATGCACGCTTGACTTGGGGGGTAAGCTGGCGAATGCGTTACGCGTTACGAAAAGTGTGTTCGGGCAAGGTGAACGGGAGTCGAGTGGGGATATAAGCAAGAGAAAGCAGTGCGTGCACACATTTTCTTTCTCTCTTTCTCTCATAGCTAGTAAATGAAATATGTACATACATGTATATATTGTACACACACCTATAAATGAGTGTGGTGGCTTCTAAAAATTTTGTATTGGTGAATAAATAATGATGTTTTAAAAGGGCTGCAAGATCAAGTTTTTCTGGTGTGAGATTATTGACTTTGGAAAGTTATCGTGGTTCGACTTACCTACATCCCTTTACGAACAAGATTGATATTGAGTCATTTGTTTTATCTAAGTAATTACTTAGATAAAAACAAAACTTTTTCAATAATTTGTAAAATTAACGCATCATACTGCAACTCGGTGTACCATACTTTGCGTTCTGCTCCGCATCGCAAAACGCAATCTGCAAAGCAATCAAGAAATCTAAAATTGTTATCTATAAAGGCTCACCTGCAAACTCTCCAGCTGCAGAAACTTAGTTTCGGAAACAAGCAGGCCGGGCAGGTTGCAGCCGCTCACACATTCGGTAGCCACGTCGATCAGACTTTTCTCGTGCGGCGTGGGCGCACGCATTCCTGTCCAAATCGTATACTTAATTACTATATGCTTGATTAACTATATATCTGCCATGCTATCGATAAAAGCAGAAAGAATTATTTATTTACATAGTTTCTAGAGAATGCCGTTCAAAGTTTCCGTTATTTTTTAATTTTCCTGACTGAAAAACTTAGTGAACTTAAAAAAAAAGTTCACTAAGGAATGGTTGTTGAATTATATTACCTAAATAAAGTACTTTTTATTGCGAAACCGTTTAACTTGTATTTGTAACAGAATAATTTTAAATGGCAAAAATCCTAAAATATTGATAGACTTACTGCCCTTATTCTTATTGAAATTTTAAGTTCCCGTTGAGCTAAAAATATGGGGGTTAGACCATATTATATTTAACTCAATTTCGACAAAAAAGTTCTTTAGGAATATACACTGGCCTGCAATACTTAGTTTAAGTTGCAAGTATATTAAGTTGATGGTTAAAATTTGAATACAATACCGACTCTTACGAAAAGTCATTTCTGTCACACACACATTGACGTTGCGTTTACAGGCATTCGCGTGCAGTTTAAGCAGACGTTATTCGCGACTCCCAACATGAGTCGACATTAAAGTAATTATTTTCGAGGAATGCGGAGCCGTCTTTCTGGCTACTTTCTATATGATATAGGTCCTTTTGTAAATCAGTTTAACTTACCAGATTCCCCGAGGGCTATGTAAGAGTACAGACTAGAGAATAGGCCAGCTTCCGATCCTCTCGCGGCTTCCCTGATCAATGAAACAGTCCCGTTGGGTGCTAGATAATCTTCCACTTCCACCATACTCTGTAAAGAGACAAATAATGTATGTGATAAAACATCATCATCAGACTATTAGGCTGCCTGTCCACTGGAGCGGAGAAACGAATATTAACCAATAGTATTATAAAAAAAACTCTGCTCCTTTTCAGTGGACAGATTTTGTGCAATCCTATTGGTAAATATTTCTCCCTTTCCTCGCTCCGCAGCCTCATTTCGCTCCAGTTGAGAAGCAGCCTAAATGCCTTTCTTAGGGAAGGCTAGGCTAAAAGGATTGAAGATTAAGAAAAAAACCAAATTAACTAACTCAATCAATTTTAATAATATTGACTAATGGTTTGTTTCAACAATCAATTTTAACAGCTAAAAGAGTTAGTTTTAACACTTTAACCAATAGTGAGACATCAAGTACAAAAATTCAACCAATTATCAAATAATTATATTGTTTTACTCCGTGGTCATCGCTTGCAACAGTGTCGAAATATAGTAAACTCGCTAAAAACAAGGTACATGGTAATAATCCTGTAAATAACATAAATTACTATAACAATCATCAAACATCAGTTAGAAAGCATAAAAATCTTAATGCCTACAGCTTTAAAATCAATATTCCACGCACCTTGGGTAGCAAACGACCGATGTAAAGAGTTTTAACAATTTCCAACAGATGTCGCCACGAGTCTCGCAGGTAGTCCGCATGTCGAGCTGCGACGGTACAAACGCGTCTTAAAGCTAGCTGAGCTTTGGTAGACTGACCTAATGTCACACCTGCGTACAATAGAAATACCATTAATTATGTATTTGATTCGATTTTGTCAATTTATAAAGGTTGCGTGTTCATAAATAAACATGTAACCTGTGGCTCTGCCCTGGGAAGGCGAGCTATTAAAGCACTATAAAAAGTATAAATATTTACCTATAGTGATATAGTTGGAGTGATGCGGCGGTGGTGCCAGTAAGCCCGTCAACTTGGCTAAAGTTAGAGCCAGCGTGTCCATAGTGGGTGTCTCCTGTGGCTCTGCCCTGGGAAGGCGACCTATTAAGGCACTTTTATAAATATAAATATCTACCTATAGTGATATAGTTGGAGTGATGCGGTGGTGGTGCCAGTAAGCCCGTGAACTTGGCTAAAGTTAAAGCCAGCGTGTCCACAGTGGGTGCCTCTTGCGGCTCTGCCCTGGGAAGGGAGCTATAAAGGCACTATAATAAGTATAAATATCTACCTATAGTGATATAGTTGGAGTGATGCGGTGGTGGTGCCAGTAAGCCCGTGAACTTGGCTAAAGTTAAAGCCAGCGTGTCCACAGTGGGTGCCTCTTGCGGCTCTGCCCTGGGAAGGGAGCTATAAAGGCACTATAATAAGTATAAATATCTACCTATAGTGATATAGTTGGAGTGATGCGGTGGTGGTGCCAGTAATCCCGTGAACTTGGCTAAAGTTAAAGCCAGCGTGTCCACAGTGGGTGCCTCTTGCGGCTCTGCCCTGGGAAGGGAGCTATAAAGGCCCTATAATAAGTATAAATATCTACCTATAGTGATATAGTTGGAGTGATGCGGCGGTGGTGCCAGTAAGCCCGTGAACTTGGCTAAAGTTAGTGCCAGCGCGTAACAGTGGGTGCCTCTTGCGGCTCTGCCCTGGGAAGGGAGCTATTAAGGCACTTTTATAAATATAAATATCCACCTATAGTAATATAGTTGGAGTGATGCGGCGGTGGTGCCAGTAAGCCCGTGAACTTGGCTAAAGTTAGAGCCAGCGTGTCCACAGTGGGTGCCTCTTGCGGCTCTGCCCTGGGAAGGGAGCTATAAAGGCACTATAATAAGTATAAATATCTACCTATAGTGATATAGTTGGAGTGATGCGGCGGTGGTGCCAGTAAGCCCGTGAACTTGGCTAAAGTTAGAGCCAGCGTGTCCACAGTGGGTGCCTTCTGTGGCTCAGCCCTGGGAAGGCGAGCTATTAAGGTACTATAATAAGTATAAATATCTACCTATAGTGATATAGTTGGAGTGATGCGGCGGCGGTGCCAGTAATCCAATGAACTTGGCTAAAGTTAGAGCCAGCGTATCCGTAGTAGGTGCCTCTTGCGGCTCTGCTCTGGGAAGGCGAGCTATTAAGGCACTTTTATAAATATAAATATCTACCTATAGTAATATAGTTGGAGTGATGCGGCGGTGGTGCCAATAATCCCGTGAACTTGGCTAAAGTTAGAGCCAGCGTGTCCACAGTGGGTGCCTCTTGCGGCTCTGCCCTGGGAAGGGAGCTATAAAGGCACTATAATAAGTATAAATATCTACCTATAGTGATATAGTTGGAGTGATGCGGCGGTGGTGCCAGTAAGCCCGTGAACTTGGCTAAAGTTAGAGCCAGCGTGTCCACAGTGGGTGCCTCTTGCGGCTCTGCCCCGGGAAGGGAGCTATAAAGGCACTATAATAAGTATAAATATCTACCTATAGTGATATAGTTGGAGTGATGCGGCGGTGGTGCCAGTAATCCCGTGAACTTGGCTAAAGTTAGAGCCAGGGTGTCCACAGTGGGTGCCTCTTGCGGCTCTACCCTGGGAAGGGAGCTATAAAGGCACTATAATAAGTATAAATATCTACCTATAGTGATATAGTTGGAGTGATGCGGTGGTGGTGCCAGTAAGCCCGTGAACTTGGCTAAAGTTAGAGCCAGCGTGTCCACAGTGGGTGCCTCTTGCGGCTCTGCCCCGGGAAGGGAGCTATAAAGGCACTATAATAAGTATAAATATCTACCTATAGTGATATAGTTGGAGTGATGCGGCGGTGGTGCCAGTAAGCCCGTGAACTTGGCTAAAGTTAAAGCCAGCGTGTCCACAGTGGGTGCCTCTTGCGGCTCTGCCCTAGGAAGGCGAGCTATCAAGGCAGCCACTCGCTCGAGCCCGTTCAGAGCCACGAAGGCCGCTCCGTTGCCATTACCGCTTGATACTTCGTCTGCAGTAGGCGCGGGAGCGCGTTCGAATGCCGCTGATAATGCTGTTACCTGTTTAGAAAAATGATGAAGGAATTAAAATGAGTTATTAATTAAAAGTTTAGAAGCCTACTACGAAGGGTAAAGCGAGTGGTTCTTGTGGTATTTTTAAGAAGAGGACATTTTCTTTCCGTTGTAGATTAACTAATGTAATCGAGTCTGAAGGCTATTGGTTCAACTAGACTTTTCTAAGACTCGGATATAGCTGGCTGTTGTTGCTGTGTTATACGCTCGTGTATAATCAGCCAATTTGATTCCGGGCCCACCATAAGTTAAAAATTGCAAAAGAATAAGGTAAAACTTGAATTTATGTACTCCTTGAAAAAAAGTTTTCATTTTAGAAACAGTCAATATAAAAAATTATAGTGTTATAGTGTTACCAGAAGTAAAAAAATTTTTTTTTAACAAAGTTTTTCTTAATGTCAATCAATCGAAAGAGTTTCTATTATATTTACGATTTCGATAGTTATTTCTAAATTCAAATTAGAGTTGGAAAAATGATCTAGTGCATTGAAAACAAATATCAAATTTCAAGGATCTCTTAATATAGTGTCCTTGTAATAAGAAGTTTCCAACTACAATTACGCATTCTGTATAGAAGAAAACTTGTCTGTTTTGTAATTTTTAAGCGAATTATCGGTCAAGGGAGCCAGGAACCAGTTTGGTCGATTGTACTTAACTGTACCTGGTATAACGAGTCATTTATAGACTTTGACGATGAAATTTTGTAGAGCGTGCTGTGCTGTGTTGCATAATTAAAAACATAAAAAATATCTGCCATATTTAATCTTGATGACTAGTTTTCGTAATTTACCGTACAGTCTGCAGTCACAGTTGCATACCGTGACTGCAGACTGTTCGGCTAATTACGCCCCGCAGTACGAGGCCACCCACGTGGCGCCGCGTCGCTGCAACACGCGCCGTCAGTACGCGGCGCGACCTAACACCTGGCCCGCACCCGCACCCGCGTCTGGAGCACTGACCGTGGGCGGGCAGGCTTGCGTGAAGGCGCGCGCGTGGTGGTGGTGCGGCGCCACGTGGCCGGCCCCGCAGTACGAGGCCGCCCACGTGGCGCCGCGTCGCTGCAACACGCGCCGTCAGTACGCGGCGCGACCTAACACCTGGCCCGCACCCGCACTCGCGTCTGGAGCACTAACCGTGGGCGGGCAGGCTTGCGTGAAGGCGCGCGCGTGGTGGTGGTGCGGCGCCACGTGGCCGGCCCCGCAGTACGAGGCCGCCCACGTGGCGCCGCGTCGCTGCAACACGCGCCATAGGTACGCGTCCCGTACGGGGCCCACTCGTTCCGCCGGCATCACCATTTCTTCGTTCCTGTGAAAGTATACTTCTGTTTTACAAATGTTTAATACTTGTAAAAGTATTCATTTGACATTGTGGGTTACCTACAATGCGAAGAGATGGCGCTGCCTTGCAGCTTAAAAATGGCTAGAAGAATTTCGACGCGGCCATCAGGGCCGCGGTAGCATAATTGGTCAGTGCATTCGCCCGGATAGCGAAGGGTGTGGGTTCGATCCCGTCTGCTGCCTGGTCCGCGTGGTTTATATTTTCTAGTTATATTTTCTTTAGATTTAAACATCAAGCAGTTACATGCTTAAAAAATAAAAATTATAACTATACTTGTGTTTGCAAAAAATAAGCTTTACTCCTTCTGTGCTCCTTATAAATAGATAGGGACGGATAGAAAAGGGAGCTTATATTCTTATAACATCTGCTTTACTGTATAAATCAAACTTTTTTTTGAGGGGGAAAACTAAACTTTTTTTTGGGGGGGGGTTGTGTTACATGTATTACTATCTGTGCCCCGCGGTCTTACCCGCGGTTTATTAGGAATATTTCCCACAGTAAAACGTGGCCTATGTATTAATCCACGTGTCGGCTAATTCCTTACCAAATTTCATTAAAATCGCTTTCAGTGAAGAAGTAACAAACATCACTCACTCACAAACTTTCCCCTTTAAAATATTAGTGTAATAAACGTTGACATGATAATCCATCCAATAATTTTTGATATCATCAAATATATAAGAAAAGACAAACAAAGCGGAGGGAGTTATTATATCATAAAACATATAAAATTTGTTGATAATTCTGAAGGAATGTGATTCACAGTGAACTTCGTTTTATGATCAGAGCAACGAATAAGTAATACTATAGCTCAGTTTTTACACATTGCTATTACGTTAGTTAATATCGATCACTTACTTGATAGAGTTATATATGGCCTGCAACATCGCTTGATCAAAGTCCCCGGATCCGTTGCAGCCCCTCAGATTGCGCACGAAGTCGTCTGAAGTCATGGGCACATTCAGTTTCTTCGCGTTGTGATTGTGTTGGTCCATGTTGAGCATTATCACGGCGTACGCGAGACGGAAAGCCGCGTCTGTATTGGCGAACGGCTCGCCGTTTGTGCTCTAGAGATTGAACAAGGAGGTTATTTGCTGTTAAAAGGGCAGGTAGGCAATGTGTTTGTTCGAGCGAAAATGACTCTTAAATCCGAAAGCTTAGGTGCTAAAGAATTGAAATGAAACTACAGTGTATTTTGTTAGACCATAGATTTCTTTAATAGTTTGGTGACGTTTTACCTATATGTAGCTCAAAACATATTTACTAGCGTGATGCAAAGAACTACAGCGCCATCTATTTTGATACATATGAACTAAAATTTTAAATGCACAAATGGCGTATACAGTGTTCTACACAAAAACGTTCTCGACTGATTCCTCCTTGATTTTTATCACTAAAGAATTAATTTTCCTACATACAATTTAATTTTACTCATTCCATGTTCCTATGAGGAGCTCGATGGCGCAGGTGGTTAGCGCGTTCGACTGCGATCGTTGAATTTAAGGAACTTTCACAGTGGTCGGATGGGTGACCAAAAATCTTCTATCTCAAGTTCCTCCGTGCTTCGGAAGACACGTTAAGCCGTTAGCACGCCCCGGCTGCATCTGCAGTCGTTAGCACCCACCAATCCGCACTGGGACCGCGTGGTAGGTCATGGCCCAATCTCCCTATTCCATCCATAGGGAAGGTCTGTGCCCCAGCAGTGGGGACATTAATAGGCTGATGATGATGATGATGTAGTTCCTATGACTTCCTTTTTTCGATTCAAAGAAGCCCTCAAAAATATCAAAAATAAAAACAAAATTTTTACCACCAAAAAAGACGCCTAGTGTGAAAATTAAGTTATAACAAACAAAATAAAACATAGAGGCAAAGTATAACCACTTATTATTCTATGGGTAAAAATTCTTTTGCTTTCGAGGAGGAAATGATCGAGAGCCCAAACTCGATTTTTGCAATTTTTGTACGCAATTTTCAGCATTAACTATTGTTGTCCCTATCATACGGTGTTTACCAATGCGTCCGCTCTTAAGGATGAAGGTAATACAAACAACGAAAAAACAAAAATAAACTAATCGAATAAACAAAATGAGACGTTTTTCTGTTAAAAGCGTTGATATTACACGTAATGACACGTATCTAAAATGGCGATTCCAGACATTCTTTCACCCCACTCCCCCCCCTTCAATGGCACGTTACTTTATTAAATTTTGAGTGCGTTTAAGACTATAATAGCGCCTGATATTAAGCAACGATGTGGTCATAAGCTAGAGTTCGTAAACTTAAATAAGTCATATTGACATTGGCCTTGAAAATCATCCACTATTATCATTATCATAATCAGCCTATATAATGCGATTCAAATAAGAATAGGAAAGCATCTACCAAATGTCGCTTGAAAAGTACGGTTTGCAAAAAAATCTCGAAACGCTTTTTTAGCACTCAGCTGATTCTAGAATAAAAACCAATCATTTTTAAACAAACAATAACAAATGTTGATAATTAATATTATCTGTTTTTTTTCACTTATTGAGTATTGGCTATGAATGGTTGATAACCTAAATCGTCAACCAAATGTCACTTTAAGTTGCTTTCAGAAACTCTATTTAAAACTTTCTTTTACATATAGGATGCATGTTCGTATGTGACCTGCGTGATTATTCTTAACTTCTCCGGCGGTAATGCAGAGATGAGCGAAATTAAAGAGCTAGATTCTGATTGATGTTTTTTTTTTCACACAGTCTTAATAAAAAATACTATTAAAAATCGGTTGTGTTCTTTCTCAACCTTAGTAAATTGATTTTATTAAAAAATCTGATGTTTTGTCTCACTTAATCGTATCAAATAAGTTTTATTAAATAGCAACATTTTTTTGCTCACTCTTCCTATTTGGTTTGAATTGACAGCTATGACGTCAAAATATGGCGCCCAGCCGGTCCTATTGTTAGTTGAATCGCATTATAATGTCCCCACTGCTGGAAGACAGGAATTCCCTATGGATGGATTAGGGAGATTGGGCCATCACCCACCACGCGGGCCCAGTGCGGATTTTCGGGTGAATTACATCTAAATCCTTCTCTCTCCACTTCTCTCTCCATCTCTTATCATCTAAATAACATCTAGACTAGGAGCACTAAGGGTGTCTGTCATTGGTACCAATTCTGGCATGATTCTCTAAACTTAAAACTAAATTTAACATCAGTCTCTCCTTTTCATTCTGTATAGAGAATGACAAGGATATACTGCCGTCAAATTTAAGTTTAGGTTTAGAGAATCATGCCAGAATCGACACCAGTATTACCAGTGCTATAAACTCACGTGCCATCGTTCCGCGAACCTCTCCATGACCAGGAATATGAGCGGCGCCTCTCCCGGCAGCCTGAATGTCTCCAGATATAGTCTTAAAGCCTGGCCTATGCGTAGACCCACAAAGTCGAAGCTTTAACAAACGCTGTGAAGATATCAGTATATTGCTACAGGTAAATACTCACATGCCATCGTTCCGCGAACCTCTCCATGACCAGGAATATGAGCGGCGTCTCTCCCGACAGCCTGAATGTCTCCAGATATAGTCTTAAGGCCTGGTTTATGCCTAGACCCACATAGTCGAAGCTTTAACAAGCGCTGTAAAGATATCAGTATATTGCTACAGGTAAATACTCACATGCCATCGTTCCGCGAACCTCTCCATGACCAGGAATATGAGCGGCGCCTCTCCCGGCAGCCTGAATGTCTCCAGATATAGTCTTAAGGCCTGATCTATGCGTAGGCCAGCGTAGTCGAAACTTTCGGCGAAGGCACCTAAGACACTAGGCCCCTCGCCTTCTTCGTCGCGGCTCGAACGTTTGCATATGTACTCGCCTAAAGAGACGACAGCGATAACATGACTTTATTCATATTGCAAAGACTAAAGCCGAAAATTTATTTGTCTGTCGTGTTATGTCGTGACACGTCAGATCACAGAAAATGCATCAAAGAACAATCAGTTTCATACATTTAGTACGGTTAGAATTATATTGGTGCGTCAAGATGTGTCGAGACACAAATATGATTCACGACACAACACGACAGACAAATATATTTCCGGTTTAAATCAGTAAAGTTTCTGTTCCGTTTTAACATATATACTCTATTCAACTTCCTGAGACATAAGGTAATCAAACCATAAAATGGTTTTACATTAAGTCGATTTTTATATGCATATAAAATCATTATTTAAAAAATGACATTAAAAAAACATAACACTGTAGCTATTCCTCAAGTTTGAACGCATTGTAATACTACTAAATTGAAGAGAGTAGTAATTACAATTAGTATTTTTCAACACATTTGCTCAAAAAAATCATTTACAGAGGTTGTATACATTTTCAAAAGTTCAAAATTACGGGCCATACAATGCGGCGTGCGGTAATACGTTTTACCATACCACCCATGGGTCATACTATCTTTTACGGTTTTTTTTAATTTCGGTCGAACCTTCTTGGTGATGCTATTAATCTATACCTTTGTTTCACTTTAATACTAAAAAGAAAAAGAGATGAAAGATGTAGTTCTAATTTTCAACACCCGCAAGTGGCGCCATTTGTAAAACTTTCTTATTAGATAAAGTTTGCTACTTAAATTGAGTATAGGTACTGTTTTCTTGCAAATGTGTTGAAAACCCTTGTATGACATTCGTGAGTATTTACAAACTCATGGCTATGGTAAGCCCTCCACTTCGTCTCGGGCTTACATATCATAAATTAAATAACAAATAACATCTTCAAATTTTGATTATAATTAGTTCGACATACTTGTAATAACAGATATACTTTGTATATCTATTGTATTTTCGATACACAATGTTGTCGATTCTCTAAACATAAAATTAAATTTGGCAACGGTGTATCAAAAAGTGTGTCGAAAAGGAAAAACTGATGTTAAATTTACTTTTAAGTTTAGAGAATCATGCCAGATTCCACACCATTATCTATTGAAACCAAATTACAACATTTTTGAATACCCTGTAGAAACTGTTAAAATTATCTTCTTCACTTACCAATCATTTTCTTGTCCAAATCCGGGTTTTCTCTAAGGAACGCAGCCACTTGATAAGGATCCAATGGATTTTTCAACACTCCGTGCTCTTGAAGGAATTCTATGCCGCGCTCCGGCTTCTGATTGAACAACTCGGTGCCTTGTGTTACCCACTGAAAGATCAATTTCGGATATCAGTTCCGCAAGAAACTGCGCGTTTTGATTTAGGTTAAAAAAAATATTGTTCGCAATATTTAGCTGTTTTTGGATAATTACCTTGTAGAAACTTGGTTCTCAAATAAAAAATGTATCAATGGTATATAAAAAAAAATTGCTGTGAAGTAAGTATATTAGCTTAATTATAACTCTGGTAAGGAGTGGCAAAATGGAAGAGGGAGTATGCTATCTCTTCCGCTAATAACTTTAAAAAAATGTTTCTTTTTTATTTTTTTTTTTTTTTTTTCATGTAACACAACTATGTGATAAAAGTAATAAAACAAATAACAACGCTAAGGAGTAAATAAAATTAAAAACATGAATAATATTAACGGTATGAAATCTTAACTGGACAAATTCAAACCCATTTTTTTTATCCTATTGTAATTTTATCAAATTTTAAATTAATGTTTGCGTACTTTTACTAAAATTAGCGATGCCCTTGCAGGGCTCATGTTTGCGAACTGTTATTAGATTTAAGAACTAAATTTAACCAATCATCATCATCATCAGCCTATTAATGTCCCCACTGCTGGAGCACAGGCTATGGATGGAATAGGGAGATTGGGCCATTGGACCACGCGGGCCCAGTGCGGATTGGTGGGTGCTAACGACTGCAGATGCAGCCGGGACCAACGGCTTAACGTGCCTTCCGAAGCACGGAGGAGCTCGAGATACTAAATATTTGGTCACCCATCCAATGACCGACCACTACGAAAGTTGCTTAACTTCAACGATCGCAGCCGAACGCGCTAACCACTTGCGCCATCGAGCTCCTCAAATTTAACCAATATGAAGCAACAAATATTACAACTATGACCCGCTATATATCTTTCAATAGATCCCACCAGACATACCTTTTTCATATTCCTGATATTATCCAACTCCGCTTCCGTAGGCAGGTTAAACGTCAGTTTATGGCGTCCAGTCCTTCCGATATACTGACTGATATCATGCGTTACATGATCACTGACCACAGAAGCGTCATCCATTCCTCCCAGCTCTAAAGAAACGTGTCCCGCCCGCCCATATTTTGTCTCGCTCGCACTCTCAACAAGTGCTACTTCCATCTCACTCCTACCTTCTCCCACTTTCTCTGGCTGCGTACCAATCTCAATAGCGTCTATAATCGTCATAAGAGCTTCTAAAGACAAAGTATGGACATTGTAAGCTGTGGAGGAGACTACGTTTTTGGACAGCAACTTTGTCAACTCTTCAAAGATATTCGTGCAGTAGACATCGCAATCATAATTGAGATATAACTCGGTACACAACCCGGGTATTCTGAACATTTGCGCTAAGCTCTCTAGTGTGAGATGGTGGATTTCTTTAAGTTCGTATATCGCTTTGGTCGTGTCGGCGGATATGATTTCGATTAGCTTCTTGAAGTAAGCCTCCATTTGGAATTTTAGATGGAAGCGAAGAGCTTCGAATAGCAAGAAGGACACTTGGAGGTCTAATGCGAATATAGATATCCTCTCGGTGCTCAGCAACTGTGAAAAAGAAACAATTTGGTGACCTCCGTGGCCGAGTGGTAAGTACTCCAGATTTCAAGGTGTCGCCTACTCGAGAGCCCGGGTTCGAATCCCGGTGGGGTCAGATGTATGTGTGATGAATAGGAGCATTTGTACTCCAGCCATGAATGTTTAATATGTATTTATATATAAATATACTTATATATGTTTTCTATACGTTACCCTAGTATCCCATAACACAAGCCTACAGTGCTTACTTTGGGGCTACGCTAATTGGTGTGAGTGTTGGAAATATTTATTTAATTTTAACAAAAATAATAAATGAGTTCTCTAAATCTATTCGAGGCGGTAAGTTAAAAACCTTTTTAAATTTTCAGCCATTTGTCTATCAGAGCATCATGTCGGCACATCACTAAACTATTCGTGTTTGCTATTCGTAAACCTGATATTTATTTTAAACTTTATTGACCAAACTACAAAAGAATGGTACAAAAGGCGATGTACGATGCGACCGTACATTTTTGCAAGACCGCAGTTTAATAAGGTCGATGCAATTTACACCATTTACATAATGCTAACAGCATACTCTCCCAGTCAAACTTTGGGAAAAAAGAAAAACGCGAACGATGATACCATTCTGTACTTTTGACGACCCATGTGGTGGAGTGGTTGATACGCCGGGTTTCATGGTATTGCCGACTCGAGAGGTCCCGCGTTCGAATCCCGGTGGGGGCAGATGTTTGTGTGATGAATACGAGCATTTATACTCCAGTACTGGATGTTTGATATGTATTTCTATATAAATATACTTATATATGTAAAATATATGTATTCTATCCGATACCCTAGTATCCCATAACACAAGCCTTACAGTGCTTACTTTGGGGCTAGGCTAATTGGTGTGAATGTTGAAAATATTTATTATTTACTTTTCATTCTATAAAGCACTGTTGTCAAGTACACAAATAGCAAATACGAATAGTCAAGTTAAGTGCCGGCATTACTCAAACAACCAAACCAAAGAACGGAGCTTAGTTTGCCTATATTTAAATGAAAGCTTAAAATGTGGCTAATAACGAATGTTTTTAGTCAGAGAATATTTAGAAACGAAAACTAAAATTGACTTAGAATAGAATAAATAAAATGACATAAGTACCTATAAATTTTACAATTAAATTAAGTTTGATATTCGCATGCCCTGTCGTTGGCAAAATGGACGAACTAAATGAAAATCACCATCAAAATGGATCTACTCTGTTTTGTGTGAATAAATAAATTACATTTCATTTAAAAACACTCGAAAAAGAAAGGACTCGCAAAAAAGAGAATTGTTAGTAATAATAAATTGATCACTCACGCTAACAAGATTCCTGCACAGTGGATCGCGTACGAGCTGGAACAAAGCCGGATGGGTGGGCAGCTGATCGACAGCCACTTCTAAGGCGGTTCCTACCAGGGCCAAGCCTAACTGCACCATGCCTGACGTGTTCTGACCATCCAGGGGATTGCAGAGAGAGATCAGAAACCTGGAGCATATCATAAAAATCTATACTCAATAATATAATAAAAAGAAAATATTTCTATGCCTGTCACCAGGCCAAGCCTAGCTGCACCATGCCTGACGTGTTCTGACCATCCAGGGGATTGCAGAGGGAGATCAGAAACCTGGGGCATATCATTAACGTCTATACTTAACAATATAATAAAGAGGAATTTGTAAATACTTTTGTGTCTGCCACAAAGAAACTCCAAAATTACTGAAACAATTTCTAGCACAATCCATTCGCGACATGTGTTTAGTTATGAGGCTATTTCACAAGTTTTTGAAAACGTTTATACGTTATTCATTAATGTATTATATCTGTGTATCTGTTGCGTTGCGAAAATTCTGTTTTAAATATGCCACGGAAACGTTTCAAAGTAATGTCACTTCAACGTGTTACGGGTACTGAACCCTTAGCATGAACCAATATCGACCAATAGTAAAATTCGATCTCGATACGCGTCAAATGTCAAGAAAATTTGTATGGAAATTTGAACAGCGCCACAACGGATGTAACGAAAATTTAACATCTTCCATACAAAACTACGATATTAACTAATATCAAATTAGATACTACTGCCAGTTTATTTAATACGATATTGGTTCGTGGTAAGGGTACTAAATTAGAGAATACCGCCAGTTGAATTAATTCGATATTGGTTCGTGGTAAGGGTACTAAATTAGAGAATACCGCCAGTTGAATTAATTCGATATTGGTTCGTGGTAAGGGTACTAAATTAGAGAATACCGCCAGTTGAATTAATTCGATATTGGTTCGTGGTAAGGGTACTAAATTAGAGAATACCGCCAGTTGAATTAATTCGATATTGGTTCGTGGTAAGGGTACTAAATTAGAGAATACCGCCAGTTGAATTAATTCGATATTGGTTCGTGGTAAGGGTACTAAATTAGAGAATACCGCCAGTTGAATTAATTCGATATTGGTTCGTGGTAAGGGTACTAAATTAGAGAATACCACCAGTTGAATTAATTCGATATTGGTTCGTGGTAAGGGTACTAAATTAGAGAATACCGTCAGTTGAATTAATTCTATATTCATTCGTGCTAAGGTACTACTGCCAGTTTATTTTATACATTGGTTCGTAGTAAGTGTACTAAATTAGAGAATACAGCAAGTTGAATTAATTTGATATTGGTGCATGGTAAGGGTACTAAATTAGAGAATACCGCCAGTTGAATTAATTCGATATTGGTTCGTGGTAAGGGTACTAAATTAGAGAATACCGCCAGTTGAATTATTTCGATATTGGTTCGTGGTAAGGGTACTAAATTAGAGAATACCGCCAGTTGAATTAATTCGATATTGGTTCGTGGTAAGGGTACTAAATTAGAGAATACCGCCAGTTGAATTAATTCGATATTGGTTCGTGGTAAGGGTACTAAATTAGAGAATACCGTCAGTTGAATTAATTCTATATTCATTCGTGCTAAGGTACTACTGCCAGTTTATTTTATACATTAGTTCGTGGTAAGTGTACTAAATTAGAGAATACAGCAAGTTGAATTAATTTGATATTGGTTCGTGGTAAGGGTACTAAATTAGAGAATACTGCCAGTTGAATTAATTCGACATTGGTTTGTGGTAAGGGTACTCAATTAGAGTGTACCGCCAGTTGAATTAATTCGATATTGGTTCGTGGTAAGGGTACTAAATTAAAGAATACTGCCAGTTGAATTAATTCAATATTGGTTTGTGGTGAGGGTACTAAATTAGAGAATACCGCCAGTACTGACCGGAACAGCTCCCTCACACAGGCGATGCCGTAGGGCTGCAGCTGCGGCTGCTGCTGCGGCGTGAACCTGATGCCGCGCGGGTTGATGTACTCCTGGCCCGCAGCGGAGCCCGAGCCTTCCGTAGGTGGTGGATCACAAGGTGGACTCTCGGTTTCAGCAACTTCAGAACCAACAGATATTAAATAATATCCAGTCAATTTTCATACTCATGACTCAACTAGCCGTGCCCCGCGGTGTTACCCGCGGTTTATTAGGGAGAATTATTTTTTATCGATTTTCCCATGGGAATAAGATATTTTTTCTACAGTAAAACCTAGCCTGTGTGTTAATCCAGGGTGTTAACTAACTCCATACAAAATTTTACTAAAATCGCTCCAGCCGTTTAGACGTGAGGAAGTAACAAACATACACACTCACAAACTTTCGCCTTCTAGTGTGATTACATTTGGTCGTTAGCCCGTATATGGGTGCACGAAAGATATTACTCGAGTTCGGGCACCCGATGCAATATTTACACTGGAATACGGACTGGAAGACGGTGTTGGGTAACCAAAACGTAAACTGCCCGAATACGGATGTACTCAACTCCGTTCATTTACACTTAGACGTTTACCCGAATTCCATTGGCACTCGTATTCGGGCTAACGACCAAGTGCAATAGCTCCATTATTATTATAAGCAAGACGGTAAGCTCTTGTTTTCCGTTACTTCTGATACAACAGACAAAATAATAACCAGTATATTTCCATAATTATATCATTATAGTTTTAAAGAATAAAATCTAAATATATATGAAAAAACTGAGTCACAGACTAACTGACTGACATATCAACGCACAGCTCAAACCGCTGGGTCTAGACTCCAAATTTGGCACGTAGATTCCTTATGTGGTCTAGTGGTGCACAAACAATGGAATTTTCAAAATACACCCCCGAAGGATTAAAAAGTTTGTATTAAAAAATCTTATTCCTTGAGTTAATTAGACTTGAAACTTAGCACGAATACTTATCTAAATAAATTATAAAGTTTGTCATTTTTAGCTATGCTAAACTACCCCCTGAAAAGGGATTGGAAGGGTGTCGCAGTTATTATATATGGATGAGTTTTAACGCGCATTTCGAATAACTGTTAACTCAGTATTTATATTAAACTAGTTTTAACGGGTTAATGCACGAAAATTATTTATTAATTGACGTTTCGCAGCCTTTTCAGGTCTGCATCGTCAGAATCAATCATAATATAATAATACAATAATCGTCAGTATTTATACTTGAAACCTGAAGAAGACAGAAGAACTTCACAATTCAGGTGAGCAGACAAACACTAGATAAAATAAAAAGTATGTACTATTTTTAATAGAAAATTCATAACTAAAATTTTGTCTTAATTTAAAATCCTGTGACAACTCCAAAAATACATAATCATCCACCATATATTGTTTAACTAAAACATAAGTAATCAAAATCAAAAACATAATCAAAACATTTATTCGACGCAGACATGGATACAGACTTATGTCTACACTTGTACATACATATATATAAACTAGCTGACTCGGCGAACTTCGTACCCCCCAAAAGTAATAAATAATTTGCAATAAATTAAAATTGCGACTATAATTTGAGATTTAAACTATCCTATCTCTCAAGTTGGATCGAACTGCACATGGTGTGCGAATTTTATTATAATCGGTTCAGTGGTTTAGGAGTCCATTGAGGACAAACATTGTGACACGAGATTTATATATATTAAGATGGCCAATAAACGATGGATAACATTAAACATTCACTTAATATCTATGTATGTTAATATCCTGTAGCTGAGCCGAATAGGGCCCAGTTCAGCATTGTGTCAGTTTTCACTGACGCTGTTTTTCAACTGGGCCCTTTTTCTCACATGTGGATGCCAAAACACTATGATACATGTAATCCTAGTTCACGCTAACATAACTTAAAATTTACATAACTTTTGGTTTTCTAAAATCTAAGAAAATTAATTTAAAAATGACTTTGACACTCACCAATACTATTCTCACTGGTGTCGGGTCCGTTTTCCTGCGGTGTCTCAGCGGGCGCATCGGCCTGCCCCTCGGCGTTGCCCACGCATTTCTCCAGCAACTGGGTTATGGACGGGTTCGAAGCCGCCAAGTCCATAGAGGAGTGGCGTCCATGCTTCTTGGTCGGACTTTTGGCTGAATCCACGGGCTCTATAGTTATCTCAGCCTCGTTTATCAAGTTCTTGTCTTGGCTGGTGGAAATTAAAGGGTTGTTTTTATTTATTTATTTATTTATCTCAGATTGCTCATGTACATTTTTTATTATAAGGTCTTACATACTTAATAGAGAGTGGTACATGACCCCGTTGGGGTGTTGCAACAAACTTAAGCTTAACATTAAATACATTAATTTCACTGAATTGTTGATCATATTAAATCACATCAGGTCTAACCAAATTTAAACAAAATCAATCCATTTTAAAAATTAATCAAGTAAATTTATATCATATCATGTCATCATAATCATATTATATCATAATAGTTGTTTTTAGAACACTCTTAGTTTGGTTTAATACAAATTAGGTTTCTCATATACATAATTGTCTATTAATTAAATAAATAAATATTTCCAACACTCACACCAATTAGCCTAGCCCCAAAGTAAGCACTGCAAGGCTTGTGTTATGGGATGCTAGGGTAACGGATAGAATACATATACAGCACATATATAAGTATATTTATACAGATATACATATTAAACATCCATGACTGGAGTACAAATGCTCATGTTCATTACACAAACATCTGCCCCCACCGGGATTCGTCGAACCCGGGACCTCTCGAGTCGGCGACACCATAAAACCCGGCGTACAAACCACTCGGCCACGGTGGTCGTCAAAATTAAATTCTTTTGTAATTTTTATCTTTAAGACTGTATATTGGGATACCCTGACAGGGTTCATGTTAGGTACTATAAGCACTTTGTAACCATCTATGTAACCACATGAGTGGAATAAATTGAATTGTTTATTTTTATTTTATTTTATTCAGAACAAATAACAGTGGTACAATTCTCATTAGACAAACAGTATTGTAATACAAGTGACACTTTAAATGCTTGTACGACCAACTTCTTTATCCATTAATTAGAATCTACAAAATACATATTATTACGCTTCTTTAAGATTTACTATTAATACAGTAGGTACCAATAAATTATCAATAAAACACACTCTTTATCATTAAAATACCAAGGACACATATACATAGTTCTGTTAATTTTGGGTCATCATCATCAGCCTATTAGAGTCCCCACTGCTGGGCCTTCCCTATAGATGGAATAGGGAGATTGGGCCATGACCCACCACGCGGGCCCAGTGCGGATTGGTGGGGGCCGACGAATGCAGATGCAGCCGGGACCAACGGCTTAACTTGCCCTTCGAAGCACGGAGGAGCTCGAGATAGTAAATTTTTGGTCACCCATCCAATGACGACAAGCGGACCGAAATACATACTTACAATGGTACATAGATAAAAATATATTTTTATAAAGTTTATATAAAGAAATAATTTTATTTATATTACCGGTAATACACTAGCGGTCACCCGCGACTTCATACGAGTTAACTTACACTGGAACCTAACATTCTTCCGGGATAAAAAGTATCCTATGTCTCAATCCAGGTCATAAACTATATGCGTACCAAAGGACATGGCTAAGAAACTGCCCTTAACGTGTATAATTATTTTTCACTAGCCCATAATTTTATAACATTTTTTTATAAATTATGACGTGTTTATAATTCTCATACAACTTTCGTGAAATAATCAAATATTTAAAAGTATAAACATTGACTTCATGTCTGTTTCAAAAGGAAAATGTTCCGTTTTACTAAAATAAATGAACTGTAAATGTATACTAAAAATATTTCTGTCAGTATATCGAAATAAACAATATGAATTCAAAACTCCCAAAAACTATGACTTATTTGGCTCTAATTTTTATTTTAACAAATCACTGAAGGCCTAAAATAAGAGATTTTATTTTTCTGATCAGGCTTGAGAGAAGGCTGTATGATAAATTAATGCTTTGATTTTTGCAAATGAACAAAATAAAACTTCACAGATTTCATGTCAGGCCGATAACAACATTTTTTTTTGTATTTATTTTTACTTTTAAAAATGCTTTTTGTGAAGTGTTAATCAGATAAATGTAAAGAAATATTCTAAGAAAATGCGAAATTGATGGCTCTGTAAATAATTGGCAATATCTTTTATCAAATGTAGCAAGGTAATGACGTCGTAGGAGATCTCAAAATTTTCAAGATTGTGACTTTATCAAAAGTTTCTGAGCCCTTTTTCATAGAAATTATAAATATTCAGTCATTCTGCATTATATATTACTAAGTACAATATTTATACATTGCTAGGGCAGTCGCTCATACAAAATTTTACCATGTCCTTTTATCCAAATTCGTTCAGTACTTTTTGCGTGATTGAGTCACAAACATACAAATTTACAAACTATCTCATTTATACTTAGAGATTGATGAAAACCTCCGTGGCTGAGTGGTTTGTACGCCGGATTTCATGGTTTCGCCGACTAGAGAGGTCCCGGGTTCGAATCCCGGTGGGGGCAGATGTTTGTGTGATGAATACGTGCATTTGTACTCCAGTCATGGATGTTTAATATGTATTTCTATATAAATATACTTATATATGTACAGTATATGTATTCTATCCGTTACCCTAGTATCCCATAACACAAGCCTTATAGTGCTTACTTTGGGGCTAGGCTAATTGGTGTGTGTGTTAGAAATATTTATTTATTTATTTATTTATTGGATAACCAGATGCATATTGACCTAAAGTTATTTTTGTAATTGTTGTAGGTTGTAAATCGTTTAAGTGGTTCGAAAGCCAGATTACGAGATTTTTAGCTGCATAAGTACAAGGAAAAAATCTACGGTTGGCAACCCTGGAAATCATTGGCATTCTTCCTTATTTTGGCAACCCTGGAACTCATTGGCATTCTCCTTTATTAAAGGAGCTAATTAAGTGAATCTCTTGTTGTTACCTATGCCTTAGACTGGTGTCGGCCTTAGTGACGTCACCGCCGGCGTCATGCTCGGCGACGCTCGAGTTTGAATGCTCCAATGTTGGTGATTTCCGTTCTAAAGAATTACCTACAACAACATATGAAAAAAAGTCTAGCACATTTTAAGACTGCCAAGCCAGCAAGGGATTATACAGGTTGGTCCAATTTGTGACTCCTTGTGATGATTTTTAGCTTATATGCCTTCGAAAGCCAATTAAAACAAAAATAGGCTGATTAAGTACTATTTTTTTTATGAGTTTTAGTAGTTTGGAAGCTTGCGGAGCTTTTTAAACTTAGCCAGAAGATATGGAAACTCCTTTTTGTATTTTTAAATTGAAGTTGTATGTTTGAGTAAATCCTACTAAAAATTAAGTTCCAACTTTCAAGCCTTTTTTGAGTAACCAAGTTATTTCACAAAGCTGAGTTATTTTTATTTATTAAAACAACATTCAAGACAATTATGTCACAAAAAATACTGCAAAATACCTACTACGAAAAAAGATATGAATTTTAGAACCTCGCTGGCTAAAAATACGCAAAAAAAATATAACTCGAAAACTAAGAAAACCGCGGAACATACATAGGGTATTTTCGGATACCCCCAGGTGCGAGGAATCTAAAAAAAATTGTTGACGTCACTAATTGGACCACCCTGTATAACGTGAATATGTATATTGTATTTATACCACAGAACATAGAAAGAGGTTAGAAAGGCCTTGTGGGCGGGGCTGGCGCGCCAGTTATATGTGAGCAAATGCTCATAACTTGCCCAAAACATGGTTCTTATTGTGTCGCCGTTGGTCTCGGGTGTTACTGTTGATTGGTTCGATTGTTTGATGCCGCGCCATTTGATTGGCTATTGTTTATTAGGTGAAAGTGTAGTGTAAGTCTATGAAGGACCGTTCCAACCTCTTTCTATGTTCTGTGATTTATACCAGCAGCCGCCCGCGACTTTGTCCGTGTTAACTTTAGTTTTTTGAGTATCCCTCGGGAACCCAAATTTCTTCTTTCGAGATAGAAGTATCATCTGTCTCAATCCAGGTAATAAACTATGTGTGTGCCAATTTTCATCCAAATCCGTTCAGCCGTTTTTGCGTGCTTGAGTAACAAACAAACATACTTTTGCATTCATTGTAATACTTACGGCCTCCCATGACTTCGTCCGCGATAGCTTTAGCTGTTTGAAGATACCTCAGAAACCAAAACATTTTCCAGGCTAAAAAGTATCCTGTATCTTAATCCAGGTCATAAACTATATGCGTACTAAATTTCATCCAAATCCGTTCAGTGGTTTAGGCGTGAAAGCGTAACAAACAAATAAACAAACCACAAACAAACAAATAAACAAACCACAAACACACAATGACTTGAACATATGATTTATAAACATTATGACATATTACTAAAATCGATATCACACGACAATAAATGTATTGATAACAGTATGTGCAACTGCTCATATAAATAATATCGAAGTGATAACGACTAAAAACGCGGTAGCCACGATTCACAAATCACGTAAAACTAAAGTGGGAATTTAATGACCCAATCTATTTATATATTTATTTAATAGGTTTACCAACAATAGTAACACTTAAGCAATTACAATTATAGACAAGGAGACACTTATATCAATGTTACAATTAATTATAGGTAAACACCACATTTACCATATGATGATTTATTTATGAATTAAACACTTGACAATATACAAAATAAATATTAGAGTTCCATGGTGCAGCAGGAAGGTTGTTCAGTCTAGCAAGTTTTTTTTTATAATCTCTTTTTTATTAATTAAGGGTCACTTGCACCAACCAACATTCTTAAATCAAGTGTAATCTTAATTAATCCTTTATAGGACATCACCCCGTCTTTTTCATTAATTGAATCCAAATAAAGATAGAATGAGGTAATTAAACATTTAAGTAGTGGTGCAGGTTAGATTCATTAATTTATATTAATGATAAAATGGCAGAGGAGGCGCCGGTACATATAGGTAGCCAACTGCCTCTCTGAGCAAAAAATTATGTGTTGAGTATGTCTTGATAACCATACCCCGCGCACCGTTGCCGGCGCACGTGCCATCGAAGCGGCAAACACCCTTTTTTGGCCAAACAAAACTCATTTGGCAATATGTGCTAGCTACTGGGATGAAACGATATCGCGATGCAGGAAAACGCAGCGCCATCTAGTAATGAGTAGTAGCAATAGTTTATTAAAATAAACTTTTTTTTTTATAACTATCACCAAGATCAAATAAGAAGGACAATACCATTTCATTAATTATACCTCCTAATTAATAAACGACGAATAACATTTTAATGAACAGAGACAAAACATGGAGTAACTAATCCAAGTTTATTCTGCGTTTATTAATAAGCCATTCCCTTACTTATAAAAGTTCAAAAATTATTTAAACATTTTGTAAAAGTCTTGTGAGTACAGTATTGTATAGGTTTCATGTTGAAGTATGTACACATATTAAATTGAATAAAAATGTGACAACAACAAAATATTATTAATTTTTACTTACTAGTACTCCCAGTCAAGCTTTTCTTCTTAGTTGATTTGTCACGCTTTTTCAAGGAAAGGCCGCCCACAGTAGAGAAACTCGCGACAGAGGTGTCTTCTGGTGGGAACTGAGGCAGCCTCATAAAAATCAGTTGGGTCATATCCCGCAGGCACTGTTCAGCATTGCGTCGAAGTAATTCTATGCAAATATTTTTTTTATGTTAATTAAATAAATTGTACTTCAATATTTTTAGTTTTGTAGCACAGATGGTAATTATATATTGCAGGGAATCACATCAAGGCCTCAGTCTAAATAACTTTAGGTTAACCCCTTACCTTCTAGGAAATTTTCTATTTGAAGCCAAGATATTATTAATACACAGACATTTTAAAAAGTAACATAAATGATTTAACTGCCCTTAACTGGCGGACTACATTTTTTTTAATTTGGACCAATTCCTAAAGATTATCTGGAATCAACAGCTTTGAGCAGTTTCATTCAATACCCTTGCATACCCTAGCTTTTAGGGTTTTTGTAACTGTATACTGTAAAAGAATCACTGCAATAGGGATGATGACTAATTTTTTTTTCTTTGTTTATCAGGTAGATTATCAAAAAGTATTGGACACGTATTTTTTCTTTTTTTTACATAATATAAACATTGCAGAGATATATTGATTTGAAAAGTCGCATGATGTCACGCATTAGTACACTTATAAGTGAAAATACTCCCAAACTTTGACGCGCTATAACTTTGTCATTTTTTGGTTGATTGCCCAAAGAAAAAATACGTGTCCATTATTTTTTGATCATCTAACTGAAGGACTAAATAGAATATCTTTTACTGTACCCCGTCATCACCCCTATTGCAAATCTACTAAATATATAAATGTAAAAGCAAGGGCACATCTGCTGTACATTATAAGCCTTAAGTTTATTATAAAAAGTACAATTTACCTGATAGTCTTGTTTCAAAACAAATGCGAAAACAGCTGAGCATAATTTCGCATACGCTTTCATCAGTCAACATGGCTCCTTCGGGACTCAACATGAGTGTGTGAAGAACCTTAAATGGAAGAATGAACTTGATAAAAAGTCATATTATTTAACTAAGATGATTGTAAATAAATTATAATTTGTATTATTAAGATTTCTTAAATTTTCTTATTGGCTTCAGATACTAGGAGTTATTTTGCCAGTCTTATGGACACTTTCAGACAGCCTTTTCAAGAGAAAAGAGTTCTAGAAAACATTGCATTATACATATTTGGTATGGCAAGTCAGCATTTTATTTTTCTCTTCCCTAGTATGAGCACTGATTGCTGAGAGAAATATGCTATTTAGTTCTTTATTTACTTTAGCTATTGAAAACTGATCACTATAATGAAATTCATAAATCAAATTATAAAACAATAAGTTTTTTTTTATATTACTTTATTCTGTAAATTCACAGATATATTAAAACTTTGAACAGTCAAATATTATTACATGTTATAAGTTGTTATAGCATAATAATTATGTTATATATTGTAGTCCCATGAACTTTAAAAACTTATTTAAATTTTTAATAGGTAGGAACAAATTTTCAACTGAAACATAAAATAGAAAAACTTACTTGCAATATTTTCATAAGTACCACACCATCTGAAGAATGGTCAGTGCCAACAAATCGAGCATGTGTGACTGCATCTGCTATATCTTCTACAATAGCTGGTACACTAGGATGGGTTGGATCTGAAGCGATTCAAATAAATAAACAGTAGTTTAATGGTATTTTTTTATATTAAAACCATTGCAAAGTTGTGCTGATTAAAATTTTATAGCATCAACATAAAAAATATCAATATTGCATATAGCAACCTAAGGCCTGATGGTATAAATATTGATCTTTCTTCAATACCTTGTATTTGATATTAGGAATAGAATTAGCTTATTATTTCACTTGTCTTGGCTTTTAAAAGAATCATGGAAGAAATGAAAATAAGACAATTGGCCCCTTAATTGCACAACTCTAAAACTCTGCTTTATTGTACAAATCAATCCCAAATAATTATTAATGTAATATATATCTTTATTTGAAGTGCTGTTTTTAATCTGATAAGAAATCTTGAAAGCAAAGTTTTGTATATACTTTAAAATGCAAAACTGTTACACTCTTGGATAGGCAGATTTATAATTTTAACCGAAACATGTTCATGATTTATAAAATATTAAATAATTTACTAAAATTTGTATTTCATCAAATTACTAACCTATTAGTCCATAAGATAAAAACTTGTGTATTGCTGATAATGCCAAACTAGTCACAGGCCCTGTAGTTTCCTTGCTTCTAATTACTTCTAAAAAGGGACTGAGATATGTTGCTGGATCCAGGAGTCTCAAATCATCCACTTGATTGAGAATTGTCTTCAAGTCTTGGAAAGTTTTCATCAAAACATCATACTCTTCGTTAGGAAAAGAATGAGATCCCCAACGAGTGCTCCGTCGCATGGATGTGACGAGCATCGCCATCTCACCCTGGACAACGAATATTCCATTCCCGGGGAGCGACATTGTTTCTAAAAATTATTAACTACTGACTGGTGAACATCCATACAGTAAATAAACACCTTGATTTTTAAAGGGGATTATCACGAGAACACATATTAAAAAGTGCCGTATAGGATTCACTCTCACAAGTTTACGATTCTTTTCAAATAAGATCTGATTAATTACTGATTTAAACAATAAATTAAAAGTTATCAGTGGAAATTCACAATTTGATTAGCAGATTCCATCACAATCATGTTGACGTTTCATAATTTTAAATGTGCTACTGCCCGCTAGATGGCATTGTCCTGTAGTCCTGTCATCATGCAAAAATAACATCAAATTTATATCGAGTCATCTCAATTGAATAATCGTTTCGGATTCAGCGAGTCTATACAATACTTTATAAATAAGTATAATAATTATTTTATTTTAATATGGTAACACTGTCAATATGTCTGACGGCCATGGTTTACTTTTCTGATCAAATCTCAAGAAAATAGATTTTTCTTTGTTCTTCACGATCTAATATTAATATTTTCAGACTGCATGTAATTGTAAGTGAATAGGTTAATTACCAATAATATTTTTGTATCGTTTATAATGTTTTTAAGTGCATTTGTTTATGAATGTGCGTTGTCACGCGTGCAATGGCTATCGACACAGTTTGTCATTTTTGTCTTTTTGTGTTCGTGTAGTTATTATTACCACGTCTCTCGTTACGTGTTTCAGGCAGCTAACTGAGTCAGCGCAGCAATGGTTAAGAAAAAGAGACAAAGTGATCCTGGCGAAAACGGGGACGAGTCCACTGAATCCTGTGACGAAAACGTCAAATCCGCATGTCCTCACGTTGCCAAGGCTGTTGATCTCACACGCCTCAAGAAGTCTCTGAAGACGGGAGGATTCGACAAAGAATGTGCTGAATGCAAGAAAAACGCCAAAAATGAGATACCTGACCCAGATTTTGAAGAAGATCTCACTCTGTGGATGTGTCTTCGCTGTGGGACTCAGCTGTGTGGTCGAGCTCGCAACAAGCACGCCTTGAATCACTTCAACACTCCCCATTCTGACTGCCATGCCCTCACAGCCAACACCACAACCTGGGAAATCTACTGCTACAACTGCAACAACGAAGTCACAGCTTCAAGCTCCAAAAAACTTCACGAGTGCATAGAATACCTCAAAAAGCAAGCAATGGCTGTTGTGAGTCCTAAATCTTTGCCACCTTTAGAATTACCATATGAAAACAAATTGAAAGTAGAGCTTGCATTGCCTGTAGATTCTCTATTAAATAAAGCAGATAAGGGCAAAGATAAAGCGATGGCTTTGAATCTACCAAGAGTTAGGGGATTATCAAATTTAGGAAACACATGTTTTTTCAATTCTGTTATGCAATGCTTAGCACAAACACCGTATTTGCTACAAGTTTTGCAAGAGATGGCCTCTCCTGGTGAAAGGTTCACATTACCGGGTGGGAAGCTGAAGCTGAAGACAGACAGTGATGAAGTTAAGGAAGTAGATCTCCCCCCGATTGCTGGGCAGTTGGCTGAATGGGGAACTCTCACTAGAACTCTTGCGGAAACATTAACTGAATTGCAATCAGGTAAGACACATTACATACATATATTCTACTACAATCATACATCCCGGCAAACTTCTTGAGCAACAACCATAAACCAAACGAGTGTAGCAAGGAAGCCTGCACAGTAGAAATGTTAGATTCAATACTGTCTACTGCGCATGTTTATTTGTCTTGCTTAAGAAGTTTTCCGCTATCTATTATTTATGGCATAGTTGATATAGGTAGTTACTTGAAACTAATTAATTACAAGGACAGACAGTTTTCTAATTACATTATTGTGGCAGATTCATAGCTGCTTAACAGTAATTTACTTCTAGGGTTTTAGTGAAACCTATATGGAAGGTCAAAGGTAAATACACATTCATTATATTCACAAAAACATTGAACACATGAACAATGTTTATACTAATATTATAGTACTGGAGTGGTCGACCTATTTCTGAAACCTATTTTAGGAACCACCTAGTTTCATTTTGGCTTGTGGAGACGATTGCCTTAAAATTTTCAGAAATATCGTTTGAGTCATCTTTTTAAAATGAAGTTTAAATTTCTTTCATGCTTTTTTACGTCTTTAATGTTTTTGTAATTATATAATGATCTCATTTATTAATGAGGTTCAGTAGTCTTATAAGTACTGTCATGTCAATATGGCCCATTTATTTCATAGTTTTTGTTATATTTATTTGTTGAAACTAATGAGTTTGAAATCTATGAATTAGTATATTAGTGTAAATGATACTATTTAGATGCTCATTAAAACTGCAGCACTCTGCGTGTGTTATTAACATTGAGTATGTTGTATAAATTCAAGATGAGTACATTAGATACTTCCATGCCCAAGTCTAGGGTTTCTTAATTGGATCCATGGACCCCTTATGGGTATGACTCTGTATCATTTGTATCATGAGTCCATTGTAGATCACATAACTGTAAAAATTTAATATAGTACTTATAAGTGTAATGAACTGCCAACAAAATTATATTCTTTGACAGCTGTCCATAGAATTCTTTAGGTGGTTATAACATCACTCTTTTTGCTTTGGCAGTTAAATTATGGTCTTTTATAATTTTATATTAATCAATGTACTACTAAATTATTATACTTGAGTAGTTGATATGATGATCATTCATGTAAATGCCCTATAATTCCCTAGATTAGTACAAATAATGAGTTGTTTTTGTAATTCCACAAAAAAACTAATAAAGCACCTAATTAAAATAGCTAGTAATATATTTTTGGCCACAAATAAAAAAACAGTATTCGATGTAATAGTTCTAAACTGCTGAAACATTAGTTAAATTTTTAATAATTTAATGTGAAATTGAGAGTTTTATCGAGATTGCAATTTATTTTTTCGTTTTATATTTCTTTAGTAATTATTATTTTTAAACATGCATAGTAAATGAAAAATATCTGGTTATAAATAAACAGTACTAAAAAACGAAAAAACCAGTCCGCAGTGGGCGTTGTCGTTGAATCCTTGCGGTCAGTCCTGCGGTTGTGTTTTTGCGTTTTATTAGTAGTGTTTATTTATTAGTGATTTCTTTTTAAGGAAACAAAAATATTTAAATCTGAAAAAAAAACAGGCATACTGTATACACATAACCAAACAATCGAAGTTTCAAGAAAACATCACCCTATCTCTTATCTATTAGACAAGTCCGTCCGTGGTGCTGTTTCAGCCGCCAAACCGTAAGAGATAGATATAGAGAATGTTTAAGTTATAAGTTAAGAATAGTCTGACAAGACTACAAACCGGATGTGAGTAACGTAGCACTTCCGGTTTTCGAGAAATCACGTGATTTCTATTTCAAAATTTTTTTTTTTGGTGAACATTTGGTTCACTGGTTTGCTAGTATGTTATAATATTACAAACAAAATTCCTTTCCTATTACAGGTGAAGGTGGTGTTTATACTCCCAGAAAACTGCTGATGTTTCTTGTAAACAAATTACCCCAGTTTGGTGGAGGTGACCAGCACGATGCGCACGAACTCCTCAGGCATATGTTGGAGGCAGTCAGGTATACCTTTACATACTTTCAAATTTACTGCTGAAAACCTTTTTAAGAATATACTGCGTTTATTTTCTTCCAGATAATAAACTTGAGTTGATTTTTTGTTTTTTTTTTTTTTTTTTAAATTACTAGCTGTGCCCCGCTGTGTTACTCGCGATTATGTATAAATCCAGGATGTCAGCTAACTCCATACCAAATTTTATTAAAATGCCTCCAGCCATTTAGACGTGATTAAGTAACAAACATACACACTCACAAACTTTCGCCTTTATAATATTAGTGTGATAGTGTGATGTATAAAGCTACTCCCATCATGGCTCGAGTGGTGTGTACGCCGGTTTTCAAGGTGTCGCCTACTTAGAAGTCCCGGGTTCGAATCCGGTTGGGGCAAATGTTTGTGTGATGAACACAAGCAATTGCACCTAAATCATGTTTATATCTATTTCTAAATCAAAATATAATTATATATGTATTCTATCTGTTACCCTAGTATCCCATAATACAAGCCTCGCACTGCCTTATTCTAAAACGCGAAGTAAAGTTAGTCATTGATTAAACCTAATGCTATCTCTGTCTTCTTTGTAGCAAGCAATAGTGACAGCATCACTTTTAAACCAGTTTAACTGTAGTCAATGTTTTGTAATAAGGGGTTTACACAGTTACACAGTTTAATTAGGGGCTAGGTGCTATATTTTTTTTACTCTTCTAGATCTGAAGACCTACGCCGGTATCAATCAGTAATTCTGAACAGTCTTGGCATGAGTTCTAAGGTGGACCCTGCCAAGGTAGACGGTGAAGTGAAGCAGAAGGTCAAGTTCTACGGTCAGCAAGCGTCTGATACTATGCTAAGGCCAGAACAGGTTTGTTATATCAAATGTTTTTACCATCATTTGAAAGTAATTCTCTGCTTTTATATAACTTCCCTTCTTTGAGTAAAAAGAGACATCTAGATACTTGCAATACTAGGTGTAGCTAATAGATAGAAGTTATTCGCGAGTATTACACACGCACTGTACCCTTAGCATGAACCAATATCGAATTCGAATAGTTTGCGAGTGCGAAATGTCAATGTCAAATTTTGTATGGAAACTTGAACAGCAGCGCCCCAACGGACGCAACGAGAACTAAAAATCTGTACACATTTGAAGTTTAACTAGATCGGATTCGAATATTTGAATTCGTTTTGATACGCTTGATACGAGTGAAGAAGTTTCGTACAGTAATTTGCCAAAGCGGACGTAGAATTAAAAATCTTCCTTATAATAAATACGTCTTGACATTTGACGCGTATCGAGATCAAATTCAACTATTCGAATTCGATATTAGTTCTTGCTAAGAGCACTGGTTCCTTTAGCCTGTCACACATATCCCTGACAGCCTGACTTATGAGGAGAGGGGGGGCCTGAGGAGTTGGCGAACATAACGGTATAATGACATAAAATTCTAGAAAAAAATCCACTCGAACCCGCACCCTTCGCTATCCGGGCGAATGCACTGACCATTATGCTACCACGGCCCTTTTCGCCGCGTCGAAATTTTCCTAGCCTTAAGCTGCAAGGCAGCGCCATCTCTTCGCATTGTAGGTAATCCACAATGTCAAATGAAGTATTTTCAAGTATTAAACATTTGAAAGAAGAAATAGCAATTATAGTTATGTTTTTATATATTTTTAAGCATTTAACTGCTAGATGTTTAAATCTAAAGAAAAGTTTACTAGAAAAAAATCCACATCAAAAAAAATTTTTTTTTTCTTGTAAACTTTTCTTTAGATTTAAACATCTAGCAGTTAAATGCTTAAAAATAAATAAAAACATAGACATAAAATTCATTCAAAATTAAATTAAAATTTTTTTACAGGAGCAATAAAAAACTGAATGACACACCTACAGTGAGGTTTTGGCGTGGTTTTTATTTACTAATGTTAACACTGTTTTAAGGCGGTTCTGATTGAAAATATATATATATAAGATTCAAATCCAGCAAGCCCAAAACCTTCCGACTGTAAAAAGTATTTTGACCGGTACCCTTAGTACGAGTTTGAGCCCACGAAAACTATCATAGTTTTGGTAATTGTAAATTATGTTTCTATGTCCGTTTTGGTGAAAAGTATCCAAATATACTTTAAATTTAAGTAGACACAAATGATTTAATGATAGAATTTAAACAATGTTTATTGGTATTAAAAAGAAAACAATAAAATCAACGAGTGCGAGCTCACGAAAACTATGACTCGTACTAAGGGTACTGATGCGTTTTGTTCACCAGCTCCTTATATAGCATATTTTGGCTACTTAACATAAGCCAGGCCACCCTTTTAAAGAAATCTTGACACCGTGTATATTGACCAGGTATTCCGTGGCTTCCTGGTGTCCACCCTGGAATGCCAAGAGTGCCTGCAGCAGTCAGACCGAGCTGAGTATTTTCTCGACCTCTCTTTACCCGTGGCTGCTTCGCGTCCGCAGCCTCCAGCCTTGAGGACCAGGAAGAGCACCAACGGTGAGTAGATTGGCTAATTGTAATGTCTTGTCGGGTTGGCAGGGTGATCTGTACGGCGATTCTGTAGATTAAAATCAAACTTCCGAGTTTGATTGCTGCAATAGGGATGATGACTAATTTTTTTTTCTTCGTTTATCAGGTAGATTATCAAAAAATATCAGATACGTATTTTTTCTTTTTTCACATAATATAAACATTGCAGAGATATATTGATTTGAAAAGTCGCATGACGTCACGAGCCCCTACTCCCAAACTCTGACGCGCTAAAACTTTGTAATTTTTTGGTTGATTGCCCAAAGAAAAAATACGTGTCCATTATTTTTTGATCATCTAACTGACGGACTAAATAGAATTTCGTTTACTATACCCCATCATCACCCCTATAAGGGTTGTCATGTCACCAAACCCACTAGCCGGACAGTCCAACCAATTTGGCCGGACATTTGGGTAAAAAGCCGGACACCCTGCAATGAGGATTTTGTAACTCAGTAATAAAAGGTACACTAAATAGAAACAATTCGCTTATTAACTCGCTTGCGCTCGCTCGGCGCTCGCTCGTTTCCGAAATGTAAAAAGCCTAACGAAATCCGGACAAGGCGGACACGCAATCAAAGAGCCTAATTATGTCCAATGCAATTTAAGACAATTTTTTTAGTGATTATGGCTGCGTCTCATTACGTGACGATTCTGCCAATTTCTGGCTTAAAGAAGACAAGGTATTATCTGAGACTGTACATAAGATAATATTTATAGAGAATAGGGAAGATGCATATATCATATTTCGTGGTTATGCAGGCAAAACCAATTTTGACGACTTTATCAAAAAATCTTTTTATTGCATGCATCGACTAAGTTTTTTCTGCTCTATCAGCAGGTAAAACCCTTTTCTTCATCAAACGCTCCGTTTCGAAGTTACCGCCAATAAAAAACCAATTTTAAGACTAGTTAGCCGTGCAAGGCTTCAATAAAAATAATTTATGTTGACAATAAATTTTTTACCGGTTCGGATCCCATGCAAAACAAAATAACACAGTAAAAATGGTTTTCCTTTACAGGGTTTACTGTAATCTTTGTGTGATTTCATCTACAAAATCAAATTACATGAAGATAACATACCCAAGAACTATTATGATTTCAGGCAAAACATAGTATTATCATGTACTTGCTTTTCCGCGAAGTTATTCATTAGTGTATATATCAATTTGATCCTAGCAAAAAGTTTATTTGCGTCTAAATGTGTTTTGTTTGAACGAATTTAAAACACGCGCGAATGAAATACCTTCAGCGGAAACCAATTATTCACATATCGTGGTACGGATCGCTGGATTTCTAGAAATCCTAAAATCCACGATTTGTATCAAGTATCGTTGATAAATATCGAGCGTCTAGTCTCTAATCGATATTTATTGCGTCAGTATTAATATAGTCAGCGATGGGAGAAGGACGCGCATATTGAGGCGGCGGCGCCCGCCGTACCTCATACAAACAACCAAAAGCACTTGAAACAATTCATACTAGTGTTAAAACACTACCAGAGGTATGGGACAGCTCAAGTGCCGACACTGTAAATAAAGTGAAAAGGGCGAATGCCTATGAGCAACTATTTGAATTCAAAAAAGAATTAAACCTGGCGCGACTACCAAAGATGTCATTGCGAAGATAAACTCATTAAAATCGAATTAAATAGGAAAGAATTAAAAAAATAACCGATTCGAAGCGATCTGGTGCTTCTACGGAAAATGTGTACAATTAAGGTTCCCAACTCTACTATATAATATAGTATCCTACTATATTAGGGGATCAAATACTATATTCCTTTCACGCACAATGGTCCAATAATTAGGACTAAGTGCGGAAAACGCCCTGAAGAACTAACTAACTAACTATATTCCTAAAAACATATAAAGTAGGCGAAACTACTAAATTTTGCTTAAAGCGGGTTTTTGCCAATAAAAGCTTTCTTAAAAATAAAAACTGTATTATTAAGGTATAGAGCAGCAAAATATATACTAAATTTAAAAATAAAGTAAATATTTTAATCATATACTATATGTTTTTCCATTTTTTTGCCTTCTACTATATTTTAGAGGTAACAGCTTCGAAAATACTATATTTGATAGAAAAAAAGTTGTTAACCCTATGTACAATCCAAAGTCTTGGGTATTTTATATTATCAGTCATAGCTTTATTTATATTGTAATACGAAACTTACGAGTGTACTCAATGAAATTTACTGTCGTACTGACGTGATTCGTATCGTGTGTGTAGTATAAGAAAATATTACTAGATAAATATCACGGTAAATATCGAGATACATATCGAGCGTGTAGCATTCGCCTATATAGACCAGTATACGCTGAGCTCTTGTCTGTACCCTGCGCTGCGTAGTACGAATAAGAGCTCAGTTTATACTGGTACTGTCTAATTTGATGTGAGATTCATAAGGTAGTATAGGTACAGAATGTAACAAAATGTCGAAATAACATTTAAGGGCCTGATTCTGCTGTTTAAGTATGTTTTGGTATGGTAGAATTTGGGTGCTTAAGAATCAGGTTACCTGGCACAGATTTGTATGTGCCAGGTAACTTGTTTCTTTATGTAAGCACCCTTTGAAGTTTCTACCTACCTGAGCAACAGAATCAGCCGCTTAATTTTTTTTTTATAGATAGGTTCGACAAATGACTCCACCCCACCTGATGTTAAGTGAAGGTGAAGTCCAGACGTGAAGATAGCTGATACAGCAGTTTTACCTGCCACACCAGCCATCCTCACCCTGCCGGCCTGCATGTTGCTTCTTCACGCCTCTTTTAAAGGATCCTAGGTTGTAAGAGGGAGGGAACACGTGAGCGGGCAGAGCATTCCATTTACGGATAGTGTGACAAAGAAATGAGTCACCAAATTTCTTTGTACGCGTTGGAATTGTGGCCACAGTTAGACGGTGACAACGTAAGCCAGCGCGCGTGGTCCTCTGAAGGAAAGGAGAAGGTGGGATAAGAGAGAACACTCGCCGTGGTACAGACGATAGAAGGTGCTTAGTGACGCCACGTCACGGCGTAATTGAAGAGGCTCAATTTTGTCTATAATTTCGACATCTCTTATCTATTAGACAAGTCCGTCCGTCCGTGGTGCTGTTTCAGCGGCCAAACCGTAAGAGATAGATATAGAGAATGTTTAAGTTATAAGTTAAGAATAGTCTGATAAGACTACAAACCGGATGTGAGTAACGTAGCACTTCCGGTTTTCGAGAAATCACGTGTTTCTATTTCAAACGAAACCACACAAAATCTCCGAAGTTCTCAATTAATTAAATACATTTTTTTTGGTGAACATTTGGTTCACTGGTTTGCTAGTTTTGTATAATTCATTAATGTTTTATGTAAATTGGCGGAAATATTTTTAATGATTGTTTAGGATGTCAGATTAAATATGCCTTCCAGTAAACAATATCTATCTGTGCTCATCAGTGACGCAAAGAAAAAAGATTTAATTAATTTATGTGCAAAAAACGTTATTCCCGAAGAATACCAGGAATGGTTCAAATCACTTCCAAGTGAAAAAGATAAAAAGGATCAGGTAATACCTGATGCAACGCTTTCCGATGAAGAGTATGATCCAAATGATGATTAAGATTTTAAACTTAATCATCATTTGGATCATACCCTCTATTTTAATATAATTTTTCTTTTTATTCACATTTCGTAATTTTGTCTCCTTTTCATTTTAATAAATAATTTCAATGTATTTTAATTTTTATTCAGTAAATACTAATTTAGTACATTTTTTTTAAGTTTTGACGACTTACCATATTTCTCTTCCTAACTAGTTCAGGAAAAACCAAGTTTAAATTAGGAATTATCGTAGATGTGCTCACAATTTTGTGTACATTTGTTTTTTTATAAAGTATGTAGATATTACATTTAAAATACTACCACGTCATTTATGATATTTATACGTAATGTGAATGATTCTCTAGATAATCACGATTTTTATTCACCAGGGAAAACCAATTACGAATGGTCCATTTTTTGTTTGAACAAATAATTTGCAGACTTCCCTTTTCTTTTTCATATTAAAGTTGTACTTTAACTCAAAATGATGAATTCAGCCCCACCATGACCATACTTCTGGTTGCATTAAAAAGATCTTTAAAACTTTAAAAGGGCTTTGAACTTTATGTAGCGGATTTCTCGATTTGGTTAAATGTCGCATAATTGGTTTTGCCTGCATAACCACGATTTATGAAAATTTAATGATTAAAATGTTAAAAAAATATAAAAGAAATGCCACTGCAACGTTTTTATTTTACATAATGTTGTTTTTTAACAATTATTACGAATTAAAAATACTTGAAACGGAACGTATTTTAAAACACCAATCAGCGTTTAGTGACGTCACTCCTGTTATGACAACTTCTTTGAGGTTATGGTTGTTAAAGTAAATATTATTTTATGGGAATATTTATTGCGTTTATTTACATTTAATAAAAATGGAAGTTGCGTTTATCAAAGCAGACTCCAGGAATTTACCAAGAGTTAGCGTTGACATGGTTATAACTTTTTTTGTCCAAAGTGCAGAGTTTTTAAGTGTAGAAATGAAAGGGACTAAATTACTACGGTATGCAAAAATCGTAGTTGTTAAACTTCGTATTTTATTCAGCGGCTTCTACAAATCTTACGGCGATAATGCAATCGGCTATGTCCAAATATCTAATTTTCGACGTCATTCTCCAACTGTAAAATTAAAAATATGTTATAGACAGGTTTTGTAAGTATTAGGTAGGTTACTAATGCGTTTTTACGTACAAGCAGATTAATTAAGCATATAACAAGTATATTCGCCGATTTACGTCAAAGTGATCTTCTCAGCATCGAATCGGTCTTTGGAGAATAATTGTCATTTCTCTTCGCAGCTTGAAACCACTTTTTTTTCAGTTTTGGGTCAGAAGTTCCAGTCAAAAACAATTTATTTGGGAACTTTGTTGAAGTAGATTGGCACAAAACATGAGTCAACACGGCTTTTTTCGGAATATTAGTGGTATTGTTATGATCACATGATGTTGATGGATAGTCCAATTAAAATTTTTCAAAAAAATATTTCGAAAGTCGAAAGAATATGCAAAAGTATGAAAATTTAAAGCCAGTAACGAACAATTACGACCAGTGACAGACAGGAGTGACGTCATCGCAACCATAGGTTCGTTTTCGCGCGAAAATTTAAATTGTTAATTTAAAACCGCATTTTTTCCGATAAATCACAATGTTTTAATTTTTTAATATATCTGTGGTTTATTATACATGGAATTCTTTAAAATGAAAACAAAAATAAAAATATTGCATCTTCCCTATAAACTACCGTTTCACGGTAAAATGTCACAAAGCAATCAGTAAAAGATAGTTGATAGTTGTCAAAAATCTTATAAATGAGATTGCTAGTAAGATTGCATCTTACAGAATCGACGTTGGTAATTGAGTTAATCAACATAGGTCAACATCCTTGTTTGAGTCTCTATAGTATGCAAAGTCGACATTGTAGTTGTTGTTGTTATATATAATTGTATTTTTTCGGTGCAAGGTCGGTTCGGTGTCTGCATCTTCTCACCTATCGTCGCGTTTAGTATTATTGAATATTTTTAAGAACAGCTCTCGTATTTAGAAAAAATATTAAGAGCCCTTTTACAAATTTGCGCCGCTGCCGTACTGATCGGCGCGTAGGTAGATTTGCACTAGTATATATTGCATTTTACGGGTGATGTTTAGACTCTTATGAAATAATTATTAATGAACTTATTATAAAAATGTATACATATTTCAGTTGTTCAATGATGGTAGATTAGTTTTATGAAAGTTTTTGATAGTAATTCTATTTAATTCAATATCAAAATACGAGGTAAACCTGCATTATTTTATGGGAAAACTCACGAGTTTTAAAAAATAGAGGTCAGATGGTTTTTTTTTTCTTAATTAAATGAGATGGAAAATCTAAATTCTAATACAATTATGTTACAAAGAAAACATATTTCTGATGTCGTAGTAATTAATTTGATCTATTTTTTTTAATATTATTGAGAGATTCAGGCGTTTGAAGTTGGGCATATTATCGTTTTTTTTCGTAAACTACCTGCAGTAGAACGATCAGTACAAAAAAAGGAAAATAGTATTTGCAAATATTCTACATTAACTTACAATAAGAAGAATATATTATCTACTGTTAACTTCTATTGGAAATAGTCAAAATCTTTTCTAAGGGGGTAAACGAGGCGCTCAAAAATTACGATTTTTTGCAAAAAATGTGAAAGGGCTCTTAATAGTTATTTGAAAATAAACAAGATACTACTGATAAAGTGAAACCATCAAGGTGAAACATTATCTACACTGGTTTACAATTAATTTGCTAACCAGCAATATCAGTATAGTTTCAAGGTTTTATAGATAATTTTGCTTTTAAAAATATTTATGCTTGTAGTGTGGTAATGCAGGAATATTTGTTTTATTGCTAATTTACATCTTGAGAAGGTCATCTTAATTCATTAAAGCTAGCAGATCACATTGCATTTCAATGTTACACTTATCATATCTTTGTCAGTATATTTGACAATCTTTCAAAGTTTCTTAAAAGCCTATGAAATGATTACAAAATGAAATAAAGCCTCTTTGACGAAAATTAATATTATTTCAAAAGAATAAAAAAATAGTCGACCCTCAATCTTTCTCATAATATTTAATTCCGATTGATTGTTCAATTGATGTAATCGAATACCATTTCCTTTTTGCATGTAAAGCTTTGCATGGCTGTAGTATAATAATACTAATAATATGCATGAATATATTACTTAATGTTTATAACAAATGTCATTATGTTCAATCTAAAAATTATTGCAATATGTCTTTATTACAGTATGCTTTCGATGTCCCAAGAGTAAATTTACCCCAAATAATGTATACAACAAGAATACATCGCTTGTTAAGTGTTTGTAGAAACGCCTTTCCCTGGCAAGGCACAAATTGATTTAACCACGTATTTTCAGAGGATAATTTGTACAATGCACAAGATGAGAGCAAACCTTCAAAGCATCAGCTGAAGAAGGAGAGAAACGCTGCGAGGAAGGCGGCACGCAAAAACAAAGGTGGTACCGTAGCATATGTGTAGCCTTTGATTGTGTCTGTGGTCTGTGTGTAGATAAGTCTATTTATGTATACATAGGGTACTAAACTCATGCTAATTTTATACAAAAACAATAACATAGCTTCGTTTGATTTATTATCTTTTAGATATAATTTTTACAATGAAACGTCTTCCTTTACAGGTAACTCTACAACTAAAGAAGAAAATTCAATTACGGAAGCCAACGGCACCGCAAAAGACGACGGTAAGTCCTCCTCAGAATCTGACGCAGATGTGGAAGATAATCTGGAAGATGCCCCCAAAGTTAACGACACTCACACCGTGTCCGTAGGCACGCAGGCTTTAGCCCACACAGCAGCTAACTTCGCCGCCTACCACATGGAATCTGGATACAATTCCGAAAAGGTCATCAGCTCAGATTCCATCCGCACCAGCCCCGTAGACTTGGACAAGGAGAAAACAGACAGTACCCCAGAACACGCCGACAAGGACAAGACAGAATTTGTCGACTCATCCACCTCGACTACAGCTATACCCCTGGACTACAAACCTCTTATTTCACTAGAGAACCTCTCCAATCCAGATTCGGGCGTCGCCAGTCCTGAAGCTACCAAACATAACTCGACGGAAACCGTGGACAACGTAGACTCGCCGATAAACGGCAAAGAAATGGGCAGCCACAGCTCGCTGTCCAGCGAAATTAACTTGGATTTATCGAGCCCGCAACTCAGCAAGTTGTCACCGGAGAAAGAATTCGAGAAGAACGGTCCCAGAATGGAATTGGAGAGGCCTCCGTCGAGAAGATCCTTCGGGCCGGAATACTCTAATGAAGTCGTTTCGAGAGGCATCAGCGTGCAGGGCTGCAAGAACCTACTGGAGAACAGTGGAGAGAGCAGCTACGAGTCGCATCCCGAGAATAAGACCAAAGACGTATTCGACGTCTGCCAGGAGCTAAAGCTGGCAATGGACGATTTTAAAACAAAGAAGCCCACGTTACCTTCACCGGTATCGATGGATGAGCCAGACCCGCCACCAGTCCCTAGGCCAAAAATCAAAAACGTCGACTTGGAGAAGAGCATCCAACGCGATTTCTTGTCGTACTCCCGCCAGAGTCCGTCGTCCCCGAGATACATCTGCGACGAGGACGAATGCAGCATCCAGTCCTGTCTCAGCCAGTTCACCGCCCTGGAATTGCTCACGGGCAACAACAAAGTCGGCTGCGAGACTTGCACGGAACGCATCAACGGCAAAGGCGGCAAGACTGTATACACTAACGCCACCAAACGGTTCCTGGTGTCTAGTCCTCCCGCAATCCTCATCCTGCATCTGAAACGGTTCCAGATCGGGCCGCGCTGCATGTTCAGGAAAATGTCCAAGCACGTGGATTTCCCTACGGTTTTGGATCTAGCGCCGTTCTGCGCTATGGATAAACTTAAAAAGCTGCCGAACGTAGCGCGCGGGCAGATGGAGCTGTTGTATTCGCTTTACGGGGTCGTGGAACATTCTGGGGGCATGCACGGAGGACATTACGTGGCTTATGTGAAAGTCAGAGGGCCAGTGAAGGCTGGAGATCCCCGATGGTGGTTCCTGCCTAAAAGTGCTAATACTGTTCCACCGCCGGCCGGCAGCGGCGACGGCGATGCCGACTCGGAATCGGATTTATCAGGTTACGAATCGGGCGAAGGACCCGCTTCCACAGCCGAACCACCTCCAGGAAAATGGTACTACGTCTCGGACAGCATGGTCTCCGAAGTCACCGAGGAAAAGGTTCTTCGAGCGCAGGCGTACCTGCTCTTCTACGAGCGGATCCTATAATCCCATTACCTCAGACGGGCCTGATGAATGTTAATTTGCATTGGAGTGGCATTTAAGTGGAAGACTGATGCTTAGAATCGGATTTAGATGGCGTCTCACGTTCCGAGTGCTGTATATAGCTCACTTTAACTATTGTGCTTTCTCTTAACCGTTTATGTTACGTTTTATGTTATTATTTCGCTTCGCGTTGGTTCACGAGTCGTGCTGATAGAATGAGATGAACTCTGTCCTGTTTTAACTGTCGAATGAAATAAACTGTATGAAAAGCCGACGCTTTTGTGGATTCGATTTTATTGGTTGTTTAGCTGCATCGAGGTGTAATGTTCTCATTGATACGTATCGTACGTACACTTGCAAATTCATCCAGGAGATAGAAGCATAGAGCAACACGGGATGGGAATAGCCATAGCGACATAATACTATTCAAATAATTTCTTATTTTTTTTGCATGCCCCCCCCCCCCCCACATAACATCATCATATATGCACACAAACGTAGTTTAACGTACACGCGTATAAAACAAAACTGAGCCGTGTTGCTCTATGGATAGAAGCCTCCACAATAATTCTGCCATTCAGGAAGGCATAGATTTCTGTCGCCTATCTAATGGAATATTTAATAGTTTTTATTGCAGGCGGTATCTAATCTTTCATTGTCTTTTTTCAGTAACATTAAACAGCTTTAACGATTTCCAAGAGTTTGTCGATTCTCATACAAATGGTAAAACATATTTTGTGAAAAAAAAAAACACGTAGTTATTGTAATTATTTGCGAAGTAAATTTTTATTTTATCAAAATGGTGGTAATCTGTATTGTCTTCCATTCGGGTGTCAACATCTTTATTGTGTGTTGTTTTCATGTCTCAAAACTACTGCATTACGCAAAAATAATTTATTTTTCATTGTTTAAAAATAATTCAATGATTTTAAACAATCACAAAAACTAATATGTATAATTAAATTTACAATAAGTTTCTCTTTTTATCAGACACACATAGAAAAATGTAAACTTGTTTTTATTATTCCAGAGCCACAAAAAGAATGCAAATACCTATTAGCAGAACGTACTTGTTATTTCGTAATGGAAATCATTATTGAAAGCCAATAACGCAGTTTTGTTTATAAATAAATAGTTAGTTTCTTTGTGAAACGCCTAAACATGCCTAAATACTTTTTTATTACAAGTTTTAGTTAGCCACATAGCAATGCCTCATATTCAATGGGTTAGCTTATGTTCAAACGTACCAAATAATTTGTCACTGGTGTCGATTCTGGCAGGATTCTCTAAACTTAAAACTAAATTTAACATCAGTCTGTCCTTTTCATTCTGTAAAGAGAATGACAAAGATACACTGTTGTCAAATTTAAGTTTAGCTTTAGAGAATCATGCCAGAATCGACATCACTGTTCATTTTTTTATAATCACAGAAAATTATTCCATATATCTATGATAAATAAATCAAAAATGCATTGAAAATTTCCGCTCTTAATAACTATTGAAGACTCATGTCAAATAGGACTATTATTAAGAAATTCAAATGTCCTTAGTAAAGCCAGACTTCAATAGAAGTCTTACGATGTAGAAACATTTGCCCCATAAAATGCGTAATTCCAGTTCAATGTATTCGGTTGGCAAAGATTCTCTTTGTGCTACACAACGAAGCGAAACCAGATTTCTCTTTTCGTTGCAAGAATTTAATTATGTAATTTAAATAAGCGAACGACAAAAAGATTTTTTTCACATCATTTCTAATAATCTGGATAAATTATAAAAAACCTCTGACAATGCTAGATGTCCAGACAATCCTAATTTCAAGTCGATAGTTAAATATAATGGTTTTTTGTTTTCTATTAAAAGCAGAATGATATATAGCGGCAATAATTTGCAAATATCGCGTTCCTAAGTACGACCCACAGTGCAGTATTTTGGTGCAATTTAGAAAATATGTCTCATAACTTTCTACGATTCTTTTTTTAATTGCGTCTTTAATGAATTGGCTAATTTATTTATTGTCGTTGTTGTGTTTATGTTTATGTCGTTTTCGTGTTCAGCGTAACTGTATTATGCTGCGAAATATGCGTAATTGATATAATTATGTTCTCTTATGTTATGAGTGATATAATTTCTAAATGACTTCTATCTGAACTTTCTTCATGTCTTGTCTATGTTGATGGGTTCAACTGTCTATAGAACATTACCCTTAGCACGAACCAATATCGAATTCGTAACGTTTGCGAGTCCGAAATGTCTATGTCAAATTTTGTACGAAAATTTGAACAGCAGCGCCACAAAGTACGTAACGAGAATTAAAAATCAGTACACATTTGACACTGACATTTCTTACTCGCAAACGTTACGAATTCGATATTAGTTCCTGCTAAGGGTACAGTACCCCAAGCTAGTCAAAGCTCCGTATTCGAATCGCCACGTCAAAGTTTCTTTGGAAACTAAGCCGTGGACGTAAAAACGGGCTATTTCCATAGAAACTTGAGACATGGCGTCACGAATACTTTTAGCTGGTTGGTCGTGCTGGGGGTACAGACGTGTCTGTAGTATGGACGTATGTATGGACAGTACCATGATAGTTTAACAAAAGAAATCGAAATTCAGCAATCTATTTTGAGCTTTGCCTTTAACGACCGAGGTCTAAAATCGATTGGAGAAGTTTGAAAGTTTTTTAGTCGGAAGAAAGCTACATGCGTATGCGCAACTGTGGTGTGACCTGATGTCATCATGACAGGCATTTTGTATTTTTATATGAATCAAATTTCTATTGTGAGCTTTGGCAAAATCTACACAAAAAGTTGAAATCGATAGTAGTAAACTCAACCTTTTGTATTATCAAAGCCTCGGCGGAAACTATGGGTCATTATCGCCTTTATTGTGCAGCAATAAGAGCTGTAATCGTATTTGCATAAATCCCCACTGTCTTGACTTTGACCTACAGCAAGATAGGTTTCACACAGTTGAGTAAATGCTCTTGAATGGATTCTTAAAAAAGTGATCAATCCTTCTTATACCAATTATGTGTTATGTACATTTATTTCAATTAATAATGTATTAATATCTATTGTATTCGAAAACGTACATGTGATTAAGTTGTATATACATGTCTATTTATTTCGATATCAACATGCAGTGTTTGTTCGATATTTTATTATAAAAATGTTATCGACATGCAAATGGTATGTTAATGTATGTTATTTTTATCCCCGAGTGTTCTGCAAGTCCAAGTCCGGGAAGTGATCGGACCATGGCTTGGTTCTAGTTAACTTGTTACTTGAATTCAATCTGTAAGTTATAAATTATGTAACAATTATACATTTTGAGTGCTCAATATTAGTTATGCTTCGACATACATAATAGTGTAACTTTGATTCTGGCGATGTAAATTAACAACACTGGATTTTTGCTCATATTCATGTCGATAATAATACCAGTTTGTCACGATTTCCCGTAACTAATTACTGTTGCGTGTGTTTTTTAATTTTTGTATTTTTTTTTATATACTGCCAGAATAGAATATGAATATGATCCATCCAGTGTTGCCAGTTCGTCGCGTTGTATTGTTTTTAACGTTTGCATTTGTCTGGACTGAGTTCCACTTTAGCGTTAGTTAGCTTGTGTTAATTATATTTTTATGATTATTATTATTATGAGAAATTTTGTACATTGAACTCCACAATATTGCGTTATGAAAAGGTGTATTTAAAATAAACTTAGATTTTAAAAGCAGATTCTTTTTATTTGTACTTTACCCATTGAAAGCCGTTGTTTGCTACGAGGCACACATTGATTTTTAATAGAAAATACATCTGAATTCTTGTGTGTGTGCGTAATTGAATTACTCCGAAACGGCTCGACCGACTTTCGTGAAATTTTATATGCATATTCAGTAGGTCTGAGAATCGGACAACATCTATTTTTCATCCCCCTAAATGTTAAGGGTGGTCCAACCTTAATTTTTTATTTTCAAAAAAAAATATTTTATTTTTTTATGATACAAAAATACATACAACCCTAAATTTTCACCCTTTTACCACCAACTCCTATTTTATTATGTCGGTACGAAGTTCGCTGGGACAGCTTGTATTTCTTTTATAATTCCATAAGCTTCAAATAATAAGAGTAGCTATTTCCAACCCAAAAATACTCTCATAATTACGCATTTTATGTGCATGACCACATAACCTGGAAAGTTTACGAAACACATGGGGGTAGCTACGAGGGGGCAAGGGTAGGCAATGCCCACTCTAAAATAACTTGTGTTGAAAAATAACTACTAATTTGAGAATGAATATTGGACGTTTGTTTGAAGACTGCCTCCGCAAGGAAAAATCTGTAACTACGCCAATGACGAAACATGGATTATACTAACTCATTGAAAAGTTTTGTTAGTCTTGCTATTGCTATCATAATGAAATAAATTCACAAGTAGGGCAACTCCAGAAAAAATAGTTCTAATATCAGCAGCCATGATGATTTGAGGTATTTTTTTCTTCCAAATTCATACCAGCGTGGAGAGTCGGAGCGCATCGAAGCGAATTTCAGAAACAGTAACATAGCAAATTCATCAATGCACATATGCACATATTCGTTCTGTGCTGAAAAATCAGCAGAATGCGCGCATCTCCTTTTTTTGTCTACTCTTGTCCGCCAAAATAGATTGATTACAATCTGCATCGAGTAACTCACACAAGGAATTAAAAGTCCCCAGGGGGCCAATCGCCTAACGGAAATGCTTAGGAAAACGCTAACGCTTTCGATTTCGTTTTGTTATTTCTGACATCCAAAGGTTTTCAAATACCTCACGCTCATTTTTTTTCTATTGCTTTGGTAATAACAATATTAAAAAAAATGAGCGTGAGGTACTTGAAAACCTTCGGCGGTCAGAAATAACAAAATAAAATCGAAAGCGTTAGCATTTTCCAAAGCATTTCCGTTAAGCGAATGGCCCCCAGGACAACAAGAGACTAGACAGAGACAAATGTACGCAGGATTCCCGAAATACTTTGGATTACTTTCATTGCGTGCGCTTCTCTAAATTTTCGGGCAATAAATATTGCGTTGAGTCCGCGACAAGTCCCCGGCGGACATTTTTTACACGATTCAAAGGAAATTTGTCCTACGTGAACAAAATTTGCTCGTCTGTGCAGACCATTAACAGAAAAAAATACACAGGGTATTTCAATAAACAGGGGATAGTTTTATAACAATAACTTTAATGGTATAATTCGTAACAAGCTTGTATTCTTCTGTTGAGCAACTGAACATGGGTTTCATCGAATGGCACTAGTGCAGTAATCTTGGGTACTTCTAATATTGTCAATTCTATAATACAGTATAACACTTGCAGAGTATCTTTCGCCTTCTGTAATGCCTGAAATATTGAAATAAAATTTTATTTTTTTATTTTTTTCTGTTTTTTTTTATTGAGCTTTAAAAGTTAGACAGGTTATATAGTCCAGTTAGAAAAAAGGTTTTTATATTTAGTTTGGTAAGTCTGGTTATTTTGCTATAATGAGGGTTTTCTGGAATGACGCGTTCCAGGTGGCAGAACTGAGCTGAAAGGTCTACTCATCCGTCAAATCACGTATGTCATCATAGTATATGGATCTATTTATATAGTTCGATTAATTCGCGCCAAAAACTTCATACAAAAGACTTCATGTCACCGTGGCGCCAACTGGTGGCGCAAATTTTCCTAAACACCCTCATTGTATATGATTTACCATGAAATATTTCACACATTTGCTGCTTACTATGCAAAAGAAGTTGATCCGTATCATAGCCAACATCGAGCAGACGGAGAGCTGTAGACCATACTTTCAAGAGTATCAGATACTTCCACTACCGTGTTTGTATATTTTGGAAATGTGCAAGTTTGTACGCAAGCATAGCGAATTCTACACTAGACGACAAGACGTTCCATCTAGATACACATCTCGACACAACAATAAATTAATATTGTCTCTTTTTAGACTAAAACTATCATCATCAAGCACATTTAATTCATCTATTAAAATTTATAACAAATTGCCCAATACAATAATGAATGAAAATAATTACTTGGCATTTAAAAATAAATTAAAGGAATTTCTAATTAACAAATGTTATTATAATGTAAATGAATATTTTAATGATAAGATCAGTAACTATTAATATACAAGTACAAATAATTGATTTATTATATTTTATTTTGTGAAATTATTATTATTTATTTATTTATCTTTAACAAAGTTTCTACAGCGGTTTTTGTGAAATTTAATACAATAAAATATAGATATAATCTTAAGGCCAATTACAGAAACTCATTACGTACACATTAGATATTAACGGTGTTATTATATGTCAGTAATTATAACATTTAATTTTAAAAATTGCATACAAATCATATAATTCATTAACATAAAAAATAAAATAGAATTAAGATTGGGCAAAAACATAACAAAAAGACAAAAAAAAAGAAAAACACTGAATATCCATATAAAAGGGTTTTCAAGAGTTTGTCACATGATAACTTTATGAAGTGTTATTATTTATATTTATAATTAAATCAGATAGTGATTATCTAAATAAAAATCCAATTATAATTTTAATATTAGTGTTGTTCTTTTGGGAAGCGTATCCTCTCTCCTAATAACCAATTGCGTGCCTGACGGGGTCCATAATGCTCATATTTATAAGTACCTACCACCCACTGTACACATTATGGTTGCAATAAATGGTTTGAGTTTGAGTTTAAAAAATAATAAGAGGTCGGAGAAGGCCTAGCGGACTATACCGAACACTTGAGCCAAAACTATTAGAGCAAAGAAATATTCATATGAAGTGGTAGGTACGATGTTTGATATGCTCTAAAGAAAAACAATTCAAAACAAGTGGAACATTGTCAGGTACTCACCGAGACTGCCTTTTCTTTAACCGACGGATCCGTAGCCATCTTTTTCTTCATAGAATTCATTTCCTGCGGTGTGAATCCAACCAATTTCGATAGGACATCGCTTGTGAAATCTACATCTATACCGCCAGTGCCATCTATGATTGTGCACCGTAAACTCCAACCGTCCTTCCCCACTGACAATTTGGACAACAGTTTCATAATTTGAGCTTTAACCCTGAAGACTCTGCCCGCTCTATCGGCTTCCTTCATATCGTTAATCTGTTTAATGTAAACGAAAGGTTCTGATGGCAATATTTTAGGTCCTGTAGGCAAAATTTTAGGTGCTGCAGGCAATATTTTGGATCCCGCGTTCTTTCCGGTACAGCCTTTCTCCTGCGCTTCGATTTGAGCTTCGACTTCGCGTAAATAATCCTCATCCTCGTCGAAGAAGCATTCGTCTTCACCGGGATACTCATCAGCACGGTTATTGGCAGTTTTGACAACTTCGGTTTTGAGCTTCTTGTCCGGTTTCGTGTTTGCCTCGTTTAGCGGTCTTTTGCCGGGGTTGCAGTATTCTGCTTCTATAGCTGCTATATCATCTATGTCAATATCGTCATCTGCTATGCCATGTGCTACTTGAAGGCTTGTAACTATAGCCACGGGGCGAGAGGACTGGTCTTGCGTTTGCGTTTCAACAAGTCGGGGTGGAACGTGTGAATGGGGTGTTGGAACATTCGTATTTCTGGTTTGTACTATTGTCGAGTTATGAGCGGACTCTGTAAATGAATGAATAGGAACTTAGTTGTTGATTATAACTCTATCATAAAAGAGACGAAGGTTTTTCTATTTAATTTTGACAGTGTAGCATAGCAATGAGATATATGGTCTACCTTTTAATGATAAAATTTATCTACTGTCCTTGTTGGTAGGTCTTTTTTTTGCTATAATAATTTTTTATTTATTAATTATAACAAAACCCATAATAATGTTACAATATATTTGAAAGTAGCTCAGTCTATTTAACTTTCCGAGTCTTTAAACTACTCAACCAATTCTAATAAAATTTGACATGCCACTAAAGCGGGCCTTAGAGACGTTGGCTACTTTTTTCATTAGAACAAAATTCGATGTGAGCAGAATGGGTAACACATTTATTTAAAATCAGTTAATGTAAGGGGCTTTCCCTAGTTAAATAGGCTATCTGTATTTAAAATTAATATTAGCAGCGAATTTACTATTCTGAGAGAACAAAAAATTAATAACTTTTAAAAAATCATTTTATGTTCTATGGTCTTCTAGAAACTTCTGGTCAAAATGACATTTGTATCGTTTGACGTCACATGCTAGTGAGTCGCCGTAATGTCCAGAGAAACATTTCGCGGCAACTTTGAAAATTTAATTTACTTAAGTTTTTTTTTTGCTGAAATACTCAACAGAATGATGAATAACGGCTTTTCATGGATTACGTAAACATGAGTAAATTACGTGAGATTGTTTTCTAAAACTTGTCAAATATCCTATTAATAGTTTAGCAATATCAGTATCAGGGGCGTCTTTCCCATAGGAGCGCTGGATGCGGCCGGTCCGGTATATGGTTAAGATGCCCCTGATCCTGGTCCAGAGAACGAGGTGGTGAAAAAGGTGTCACACCTTCACTCTATCAAAAATGGCGTGCTAAATGGAATGTTTTTATTTTAATCTTACCTAATGGCACGCCAAGTTTGGAAGACAATAGTCCAGCAAGAGAGTTGGAAATGGCAATCTCCTGCACTTCTCCACCGAGCAATTCGATCGCACTTTCGGTCAAGAGAAGCACACCTCGACGGCATTCTATGGGTCCTGGAAATGTATTTTATAGAGTACATGTTTGTTTTTTTTAAAGTTAAAGCTGGCGAATGCGTTACGCGTTACGAAAAGTGTGTTCGGACGAGGCGAACGGGAATTGAGTGGGTGACACACACATATATATATATATTATATATATATATATGTGTGTGTGTGTGTGTGTACAATATACCTAAGGAAGTTTCACTTCAGTCGTGTGGTCATAAGCACACTCGTTTTTTTATTCCACTGTAAAGTTACAGCCACCATAAAGATGGCTGGACAGCAGAGCTTTAAAGGTGCTCCATAGACGGATATAAAAAAACAATGGTAATGAACTCTTATACTATTTGATAAGAGAAGATAATAATATACCTTTGATTAGTACCTTGCAGCCTGGTGTGATATCACAGCTTAAATTTCTCATAGGTCTATACTCTATTGCTGACACATCTTGCACACCATCAGTAAGATACAATTTGATCATTCTGTAATGACAAATTTGGTAAGTAACAAAACTTATTTATTATCAAAAATTATTGTAAAAAAAAACCTTGTATATTTTTTAGAGTCCGTCTGATATCAAGTTCTTCCCCCGTAGCATGAGCACTACAATTTATATATATCACGTTTTTTTTATCGCGTGTAACTGTCAAACTCCATAGTAATTTGACAATTGAGCGTGAAAAAAACGCGTTATTTAACATATCGCGGTGCTTATGCTGCATACTTTAGGTTGAAAAAAGAAGTTAAGCTTATTGTTAATTTTTTTTAAGAGGGTATTTTTGACGAGTTTTAGAAAACGATCTCATGTTGTTTAGTAATGTTTATGAGTTCCATAAGAAGTTGTTATAAGTCGCGGCACGAAACTCTAGCGCTGACCATTTTTGGGCAGATGATTGAAAAATTAAGATGTGTTGGGGGGAAACGAGGTGCGCTGGCGGGCGTGCGTTGCGCCGATTGGCTCACCAGTTAAACCCATGCGCAGCTATACCTGACGCGTTTTGGTCAGCGTTAGAGTTACGTGCCGGGACTAGGGTTGCCAGGCCATAAACTGCAAAGGCTGGACTGCGCACTATATTATAAGGCCTGACATTTTTCCCTAAAAGCCGGACATATTTATTACATCAGACAACGGGGCGGGGTAGTCACGCTCACGTCACGCGCCACGCGCGCCAACAGTTTGCTCTCTTGTCCGCTCGGACGCTCGTCCGCCCATCGCCGTACGAATCGCCACTCTGACAAAAAGCCTGACAAAAGGCGGACAGGCCAAACACGTACATATATCACGCCGGACGCGACCGCAAAAAGCCAAACATGTCCGGCTAAAGCTGGACACCTGGCAAGCCTAGCCGGGACCTGTATTCATCATTCTGTTGCGTTTTTCAGTAAAAATAACTAACTCAAAAATACCATTTTAAAGACATTATGGCATCTCGCTGCTATGTGACGTAACACGACTGTCATTAAAACGTCAAACGATACAATGTAATGTCACGTGGACCGGAAGTTTACTAGCGTGTGACGTCATATTAGTTTTAGCCAGTCCTAGGCGTTTTCGGTCACGTGACCGTAGAACAAAAATTCGTTTCTATTTGTTGATTTTAGAAAAGTTATTATTATAATTATTTGTTCTTCTCCAATAGTAAAATCGCATAAAATGACAACCTGTCAAATAGCCTAATAACAAAAGAGTGCATGTAACTTCAGTATAAAAAAATATACCTATGACTGGATATTTTATCTTCAAAAGTGGTTGTAGCTTCTATATTTTCCATGTTAACTTTTTGCAACTTCAAATATTGCTGATAAGCTGGAGTACCTAAACAGAAATAAGTTAATTGAAGACAAGGTCTGTATGAGCATGAAGATGTTGAGCAACTTTTGTAATGGCTTGACATAGGATTAGTGAATGAACCTGCACTGGGCTCAGTTAGTTGGTCATGGCTTGTTCTTCCAATTCCATGCATAGAGAAGAGGTGTGCACCAGCAATGAGAATTCTAGACTGAAGATGAGCCTGGATGTGTTAACTTAGAATTTAATAATATTAACATAAAACAAGCAGCGGACTGGAAAAAAAATCTTATTTGTCTGTAAATATAATTGTAAATATTTTTATAATTTTAATTATTTCCTTAGAATGTCAAGATCATGTAATTCTGTTGATGACCCAAAAAACTAAATAAAAACAGCATCTTTTACTTTCAGCACACTGACTTCTGGTATAAAGGTCATGTTTTTGCATGGAAACTGGGCGCCGCCATACAAAAATATATTGCAGTGAATGTATGGAAATTATATTTTCATGAAAGTACAAAAATATACATATTTTTCATTATTAAACTATACTTTAACATTGGCAAAAAATTCCAATTCTGATAATGTTTTGTTGGAAGTTTATTTATTATTGTTATGAAACATTTTTATTAATAAAAAGATGTTTCATTAATAATTTAAAAATTATATTTATTTTACCTAATGAAAATATGGTTACTGTATTTTTTTCATTAAATGGTGCTTTCATTTTTGTTTTATTAGAACCATCTTATCAGTAAAACTACATTATGGTAGCGGTTCTAAAACTACTTCAGTTTAGGTCCACTTGCAGCAGTTTTGCTAAATCTCAATTCAACTAAAACTACATGTTTTGACACTTTTCTATGGGATAATGCATCCCATATCGGTGTCAAAACATCAATGTCAATTTGACATTATTGTATGAGCTAATTCTAGTAGTGGATAAATTCAGATTTAGAAAAATTGCTGCAAGTGGACCTTAGCCTTTGATTAAAACAAAAGGGAACATACTATTCAACCGAGTGAGGGAGCTGAGCCGTATTGTTGTCCTTTTCTTGATAACAAAGTGGCGATTACGTAAATAAAATTCAACACAAACCGTGATTTTTGAGAAAAAACCATTTTTACAGTTTTATGAATGAAAAGTGTTGCAGAGGCATTTGATTTTGAACTATTTGTGTTCTTTATAAAATAATCAAAGGCATTGTTTTACCTTTATAACACAGAATATATACAATATTGTTATATTGTGCAGTGTGTTTGAATGTCCAATCATGAGTAAAGCCAATTATGGTCATGTACCACAATTTAAGCAGATCATCAGATAAATAATAGATTAACGTGATACCTATATCCACTGCAGAATTTATTTGAAGCACAAACTTTCCATTTAATACAGTTTTCTTTAATTCTTTCAAGTTATTTGGCAGGGACCCAGGGCATATCTCTTTTAAATCATTCAATAACCATTGTTCTCTAGCCAAATTTTTAATGTCCTGTTCACTAAGGTTACTACCACTGTCATCTTTTAAATACTCTACACACCTGAAACAATATGCAATAAATTATCTTAAGCTCCTTTTTAAGTCCCAAAAGATTATAAAACAAACTTGTTTACCCTGAGAGCCATTCGTCGTCAGTGTACATGCTTTGTGAAACCAAATACTGGCGTACTGAATTTATTATTGTAGTTACAGACATTTTCGTAGTGTTTAATTACCATATCGACATTATAATAATTAAAGTTTATAAGAAATCTACAAAACTGAAAATGGTCTGTACTCAGGACCTGGGTTTATTTACATTTTTGACAACGACCACAGTTAACTAAAATTATTGACGTGTTGTGTTTTTTAAGCTGGCACATCACTTGGCTATCCGTTTTTGCTAATTATAGACATGGAGTGAGTAGTGTTGTAACCATAGACCACTTTAATCCTGCTGGAACATGGTGTTTCCTGTTTAACATACAAATATTTTCAATTTCTAAAAAGTAAGTACAAATTGTATTCTATATTGTATTGTATCCTAGTGTAAAATTCAATTAAAAGAAAAGGCGCGGAATGATGGTGAATGGTATTTTTATTACTGGAAAAAGTTCTACCAAATTTAATTAAGTCCATCTGCCGATGCAAATAGCAAGTCGACCAAACAAATATACATACATAGAATTTATAAAAAAAATACATTCAATTATTACAAATCGATCGTCAATGATTGAATGATTGTGTTTTCATTTTAAACTTAATCAAACAAAGGTGTTGCTGGCGGCATAATTTTCTAAGCTTAAAATTAAATTCAACATCAGTATCTCCTTTTCATTCTGTATAAAGAATGACAAGTATACACTTGTCAAAAAGTTTAGGTTTAGAGAACGCTGCCATAATTCTACACGAAAATCTTTGTTTCGACGTTGAACTATGATATTGGTGTCGATTCTGACATGATTCTCTAAAGCTAAACTTAAATTTGACAACAGTGCATCTTTGTCATTCTCTGTACAGAATGAAAGGGAAAGACTGATATTAAATTTAGTTTTAAGTTTAGAGAATCACGCCAGAATCGACACCATTATGTATAAAAAGTAATTTATATCGATGCAAGTAAATAGCCACATAAAAATTATAAACAATACGTAATTGTCGATTCTGGTATGCATAACTATCTAAAATAAATTTAACATCAGTCTCTCTTTTTCATTCTGTATAGAGAAAAACAAGCATACACTGTTCTAAAAAATTTAAGCTTTGGGAAATTATGCCAGTATCGACGGCACCATAATGAACTTACTACTTTCAGTAAGCTGCCCACATCGAGCCACTTTTATAACCTTGGTAATAGGCTAGTTTACTCATGTCGAATTGTATTAAATAAATGTTAATTTCTTTAAGTATTTAGTCTAAGGAACCTTAATATATCGATTTCACTTCATAAAAGCAGAAGATTGCTGTAGAAATTTAATTTTAAAAAAAATTTTTTAGTCTATATTTTTTAAACACTAAAAACGCTGTTCGCCACATCCGCCATGATTTTGACGTCTCTTGTGGTAAACAACTAAATGTCATTCGCGTGTTACTGTAGGTGGATTCTTTCGTTTGACTAAATTTATCTTAAAACACTTTTAACTTTAGGAAACAAAAAAATAGTTAACTTAGTTTTTTTTTGACAAAACTAATTATGGATACCGGCTTTATGAAAGCAGAAAGCACAAATCTGCCAAGAATTGACGCATTGATAGTTGGTGAATTTGTTGCACTAAACCCCGATTTCTGCTCTGCGGAGCAGAGAAACGACAAGGCATCTATGTAAGTACAGTGCATTTAGTATTACAATGTAATAATAAACATAAAACTGATACAACATATGAATAAGTGTTATAAAGTTGCGTAGGTTAATTTCTTTCGGCACTTTAATCCACAAAGGATGTGTTTTTATAGTCTCGTACAATACAGTAATGATAATTACTTTATTTTTCGTGGTATTTATTAGAAATCATGTTTTTTTTTTATTATAAACTCAGTTAAAAGTAATTTTCTACGTGTTTACGAGTTTTTGTTTACCACAGTTCACGTCATAGCATAGTTAATCTATAGACTAAAATGGCCGACAGCGTTTTTGTATGTCCATGAAAAGTCTATTTTAAAATTAAATATTTGTAGCTTTCTAGGTTTAAAAAAAATACAATACATTTTTTTTCGGTCTAATAGAACATTTATTAACCATTTAAAACCTTTTTCCAAAAAGGGTCAACTAGCCTATTGGTATATTTGAAGAAAAACTTTTTATAAAGTAAAATTATGAGCTAAATGCCATCACATGCGGCACTAGATTTTCAGACTAGTTGCACAGAGATAATTATCGTGTCGCGAAAAAAAATTACGATATACTCACGAACGTTTGTTCATGGATGTAACTATTCGGATTAAGAAAATCTACCAACAAAATAGAAATAGAATCTGTATTTAGTGGGTGCTAACGACTGCATTGTGAAGGCCTATCAAAAGTATTTATTAATCTGGAACAACGGAACCAAAGCGCGATTCAGGAGACTACAGCGCCATCTCTTGACCATTGGTGTAGTAGAACCAAAAACCACATCTTTATTTTTTGTAATAAAGTAACAGTTATAGGTACCACAGATTAGGGACACGAAAAAAGTATCGATACTTTGTGGTATCGAGTACTTTTCCTTTCGATACCGATACTTTTGTACTCGATACTTTGTATTTGATACTTTTACTAAATGAGTACTTTTTGGCAAGTATCGATACCTTTAAAAATTTGGATAAGCGCCGCATATTGATGGCAACGCCATCTTGTTAAATCATAGCAAACCTTCTAAAACGTTCCATAGGGTATTTGACAAGTTTTAGGCAACGATCTCACGTTATTGACTAATGTTTATGGATTCCATAAAAAGTGGATATTCATCATTCTGTTGTGTATTTCAGTAAAAATAACCAAATTAAAAACTCCATTTTCAAGTTGCCACGAAAACGTTTCTTTGGACAATATGGCGTCTTACGAGTGTGTGACGTCACACAACTGTTATTTAAACGTAAAACGATACAATGTAATGTCACTTTGACCGGAAGTTTACTTGCGTGTGACGTCATTTTAGGCTCCGCCAATCCCAAGCGTTTTGGGTCACTGGCAGCCGTTAACTGCGTGTCAGATTCAAGTTAACATACGTAGGTATAATGTTTTTTAATGATTAAAATTCAAGAAAAGTAAGTTTAATTTGAAAAGTTTCATACTTTTAAATTGTTTAAGATATCGATCTTTTTAATTAACATTTTAATTATGAATTAATGAACACTTTTTTAGTGTCAGAAATCACAGCTGTTTTCTTTTCATCATATAATATAGCAATTTGTGAATTTACATGTCCTTTTTTGTTTTTGATTATACGTACTATAATAAAATTCGATTGTTTTTGACGTGACAACGTCTTAAATTAGGTTGCGGCTGGGAGTCACTTATGAAAAAGTGTAACGCTCGGTAACGTTACGATGAGTCTCTCGTTTAAGTTTAAGTTTACATGTACAATGTTTTAGTAAACAAAATATATTTCTATAGTTAAAATTTGTGCAATTCTTATTTTCATTCAATTCCTTGTTCCTATTGTGCAATTTAATTATATTCATATCAATAAATATTCTACCGAGAAAAAGACGTTGTCACGTAAAATCTTCGCCCGTAAAACCGACTTTACAGGCAACCATTTTTTCTTTCAATTTTAACACCGGGGGGGGGGGGGGGGGGTTGCTCTTCAGGCCACAGAGGCTTCGATAAGGCCCTATGAAATGTACTCGATACTTTGAAGTATCGATACTTTTTTACCGATACTACTCATGAGTACAGTATCGATACTTTCTATTCGATATCGTGTCCCTACCCGTGATAGGTATTCATATTTTTAATATCAAAAGTATTTATTAATCTGGAACAACGGAACCAAAGCGCGATTCAGGAGACTACAGCGCCATCTCTTGACCATTGGTGTAGTAGAACCAAAAATCACATCTTTATTTTTTGTAATAAAGTAACAGTTATAGGTAATATTTATCCACATGTTTCTAGTTTGTATATTCGGAATACGTGTTTGAGTTTCATACAAGTGCAAATCACATATGTTCTAATAAATTATATTCAGTAGCGATTTTAATTGAATATTTTGATTATTTATTTATTTTTTCAAATTAAAACTAAACTTTATTGACTGTGTCCTTTTCCAGACTTTTTATTAATTTATTGTAATTAATTATTTGCATGCAATTAAAAACTAATTTTAAACGATGCCAAAGAAGGATAACTTCTCATGCGCCTACATAAGTACACGCACCTATTTTTTTTGATTTCTGTTTTTGAAGTGAAACTTCTTTATCGGCGTTGGAAAAAAATTTACCGTCACATTTTTCGGACGTTACGCGTCACATTTTTCCGTTACGCGCCATCTTTTTTTATATTAATAGTTGATAGCTGAATGATCACACTGTCGCCGGCGAGAACTCTCTCTACTCGTTTGTAGCTGAGTGACAATAGTTATTAAAGATAAGACTCGCTCAGCCAAACTCGCATAGCGATACTCGCTCAGCAATACTCGCTCAGCGGTACTCGCTCAGCGGTACTCGCTCAGCGATACTCGCTCAGCCAAACTCGCATAGCGATACTCGCTCAGCGATACTCGCTCAGCGATACTCGCTCAGCAATACTCGCTCAACCAAACTCGCATAGCGATACTCACTCAGCGATACTCGCTCTTCGATACTCGCTCAGCTATACTCGCTCGGTTAAGCTGGCTTGGCTGTCAAAAGCCGTGCGCGTGCATTGTAACTCAGGACTGCCAATTCGTTTCTAGTTTCTACTCGCTTATCGTTCATCGTTGGAGGTGGAACATGTGCCTTAGATTACTGAGCCGTGTAATCATAACAGTTTCATAGGCAGTAATTTGTATTCATGTCTATGATAATAAAATCCTTTTGTGTAAACTTTATCTAATTTAACTTTATTTAACCAATTTCTGGAAAGTTGCATGTAGATCATTTTTCGAAAAATAAGGCCATAAAGAAGTTTCACTTCTTACGTGTGTACACTAGTACACGCACATATTTTTTTTTATTCAGGAGACGAATGAGACTCAATCAGTGAGACTCAACTATTTAACAATAGGGTAAATCTGATTTAAAATATCATTTTATCAAAAAGTACATTTTCAATGGATATTTTTACTAGGTACCTATCGATTGTCACGTAAACGTAATTTGAACTCAAATAAAAAGTTAAACTTTTGATTATATACGTTTTTTACTATGTCCCGCTTTCGACGAAAGAATCCCGCTTTTTCCACTTAATAATTCCCGACTTGGCCAAAAAAAAATCTGGCAACGCTGGGTAGTACTATCATTTTTATAAGCGGCAACATTTTAAGTGAACGCAAAAAAGCTTGCCGATATTTCTTGCATCTCTCTCGTTCGTTTTATTCTCTTCTCGATAGGCTGATTGACAACAAAAGGAGACTCTACTTTGAGGAGCATTGTTGTTTTAAATGTTTCTCTGTAAAGAAGTATTCTGCATTGAGAGCCTGTAAAAGTGATTAACATCGTGGAGGACAAAATATGAAGAGACGGAATGCCGAAAGTGGCAAAATGCGGCGCCCCCTAAAGCGCACAAAAATCACCGAAGGAATGTATGGAAAGTGAGTGTAATCAGCTTGGAGTGTTATTTACATGTTCCACGAGTTTCTGAAACCACACGAAGAGGAATAATGCCCATAAACTTAAATGAGAAGTTCTAGGCAATATAATATTTGTGTGGGTAGGAGATACCATCTGGTTTCTATCTTGGTTACGGTAGACCGTGCGTGATTGAGAAAACCGTAAAAGAAACTCTGGTTGCTCGCGTTTTTCTTACTCATTTTATGGGACGTTATGATCTGCACATGTGTACATGTCGTTTCCTTCGACCGTAATTATATCTGGTCGGCACCGCTTCGTATTCTCGTATATTTCAGTGTGCCCATGGTCAGGTGTTTAGAATAACAATGGCCTTGATGATTTATATCCTGGTTTTTATGCTATTATCGTTAAACATATTTGTTTAATGTTAACACTATAATATATGTACCATAATATATTTTTATGCAAAACATAGGTATTCTGTTTCTCCTGCATTAAATATATTGCACCACTTTTAATATCATGATGAATACTAAGTATAAGTAAATAACATTCAGCTTATTACTAAATCAATAAATAAATATTATGTCATTGTTATTAAAACTTCTGAAATCAGTAGCATTATCTGTTTTTTAAGTTGAGGTTTGAGTTTGTGTCAATATAAATGAAAAATATACAATAATAATCCCCTGTAGGGTTTCCAGGGTGCCATTCACCTAACGGGATTGCTTTGAAAAATGCAATCGCTTACTATTTCATTTTGTTATTTTTGATGGCCGAAGGTTCTCAAATACCTCACACTCATTTTCTTTAATATTGTTATTACCAATGCAAAAGAAAAAAAGGGAGCGAGGCATTTGAAAACCTCAGATGGCTAGAATTAACAAGAAGAAATCGTAAGATAGCGTTTTCCAAAGCAATCTGGTTAGGCGATTGGCCCCCTGAAAGTCGAGACTATGAAATAAGATAACATTAGAGTTGTGCCACAGCCATGGCACTATGTTTGCTATTTGTTGGGTCTAAGTTGTTTTATGTTGAAATAAAGAAAAATGTAAAGTACTCTTAATTAAAGCACTATTAGCACCAACCCTTTATTAAAATAAATTAGTACCAAGTTTTCTTACTAACTACAGAAGCAATTAACTTGTAGTTATATTCTTAGTCTCAACCCAGAATTTATGTTTTTGTAAATAGATACCTTTTCATGTATAATGTGTCGTTTCAGTTCAATGCTGTACCTGAAATTTGTGATGTTGTGGGCAACAGTTGTGCTTGCCGACTATATGCTTGAATTCAGATTTGAGTTTCTCTGGCCATTTTGGATGATGCTCAGATCAGTTTATGACTCATTCAAATACCAAGGACTTGTGAGTATATTTTAACAACAGAACCTAAAACTGCTTAATTTTATCTAAAAGATAAAATTGTTAGAAGCTCTCTTTTATATCTGTCAAGGCCATATCGTAGATTTGCTCATTTCATGAAATGTCTCACTATCTATTGGCCTCATCATGATGTGGTTTGGGCAGATCAATGATGAGAAATCGTTTCACGATATGGCCAACTAAACGCGCGGCTTCTTCATGAAATGGCCAAAATTATTTGATCATATTGTAAAGTAGTTACATTAATTACCGGTAGAGGTGCTGCAAGCGCTTTGTTTATATATGTATATGACGGCCGCTGCCGACAATGTTGTCTCTCGCAGTGATAAAGTGCATAATTTGTTATTAAATGAGGAAGAAAGTGATAACAAAAGGGTTTTCGACGAAAAGGTTCTCGAGTACTATGCAAGTCAAGCAAAAACGGAGTAAAATGTAAAAAACCGTGAGTTGGTTCGCATTACACAGGTTAGTACTTTACTCTTAAATTATATCATTATTCACTTATTTTATTAAAATACTTTATGCCAGTTAACGCATTGTGTTTCTATATAATTAATATTATTCTTCATGTTTGAATTATGACATAATAATGGTAATGTTTTTTTCTTTTTTAGGTTATAAAACAAATTAAGGAGAGTAGGGTGACTACGAAAAGAAATCCATGGACTATTACTGGCTGCCAAAATATGACATTTTGGGAACTGCAGATGAAGTACAAAGTGCGGATGAGAATCAAGCCTATTATTGCAATATGTACCAAAGTACCTTTTTATTTATAAATATTTGTTAGTTTTCTAAATGTAAATGACGTTTACATTTCTGTAACTACATGACACGTTGATGTTTAATTTAGAAAAAAATTCTTTGATTTGTTTATTTTCTTACAAAAATTTGATTCAATTTGTTTGTGTCATTCGGACTCAAATGACAATAAACAAGTTCTTAACATATTCTGGATTTTTATTAAATATTTTATGGACAACCTAATTATACGATCTGGCCAAATATGGATGACAAAATCGTTAAACGTTGACGATTTAACGTTCTGGTCAAATTAAGTTGGCCACATCATGAAATGCGACCATTTCATGAAATACTCGAGCATTTCATGAAATGAGTAAATGGCCACGACATATCCACCATCATTGGATATAAAAATAAATTTTCTTTTATAAAGAAGACAACTGCTCAAAGTCAATTTATCTATTTATAAAGCTTAATTCTTTGTAAGATAACAGAAAAATATATTATCCTGGAATCAAAAGGAAAAATTAAAGTTCTCCAAAGGAGGAATAGACCGTTATTTTGTATGATTAATTTATCAAGAAAGGCTTGTTACTCTTTTAAAATTGTCAGGATAGATAAGACTACAGTTTTTTTCTCCATTAAGTTGTTAAACTAGTTATCTATACACAATAGTAAGTTACAAGCAATAAACTGATAATTAAATAGATTTTGTCATTAAACATAATTGTTAGGTGGTCTTTCCAGTCCAAATTATTTAGGTAATTTGATTAAATTGTAGCATTGATATTGTATTTAAGTCCGAGGATAAAATTTAACTAGTTTCAAATATCTTGTTCTGATTCAGAGATAATTATCTCTGATTTCATATTAATATTTTTGAGTATTTCTCTTAGAGAGTTGTTTTAAGAGTGTTTATAACTTATTTAAGTCTTGTAATTTTTGTTGCAGGCATTTTCAGTATTCTTTATATGCATAGCGCTCACATCTGATATGATATGTTACTTCTTCATACCACTGCAGTACATATTCTTTGCTGCCAGTACCTATGTGTGGGTGCAGTATGTCTGGTATACATGTAAGTGTTTTCTTTGGGTAAATATGTAAATATGAAGACATTTAGTTGATATTGGGATCTCTGCCAAATTCATAGTTAATAAATACAATGGGAGTGAGTTATCTTAGAATACTTACTACCTAGTTAATTATGTCAACTGAAACGTGTTATTTATAATCCTATAATGTAAGGAATAATTTTTTCATGTAAAAACAAAAACTCATTCGTCAAATGAATTGACATAGGAAAACTTAATTGTGGGTAAATGGTGATTACCCTTTGTAATACGCATCTATATTCTTGTAATCACAGTACCTCCCTATGTATTCCTTAGTTGGCAGAGTCATATAAGCAATATAATGAAAGTAATGAATATACTGAGGAGCTCGATAGCGCAAGTGGTTAGCGCGTTCGGCTGCGATCGTTAAGTTAAGCAACTTTCGCAGAGGTCGTTGGATGGGTGACCAATAATTTACTATTTCGAGCTCATCCGTGCTCAGAAGGCACCTTAAGCCGTTGGCCCCGGCTGCATCTGCAGTCGTTAGCACCTACCATTGTGCACTAAGCCCGCGTAGTGGGTCATGGCCCAATCTCCCTATTCCATCCATAGGGAAGGCCTGTGCCCCAGCAGTGGGGACATTAAAAGGCTGATAAATATGATGATGATGACGAATGAATATACTCTAGTATATATGTTATATCCAATAGTAAATATGACATGTTGCAGTTGGAGGGGTGTATGGAATGGGCTGGGATTAACTGTAACTTGTGATTGAGTGTTGTTGGTTGCCAAATCATCAGCCAAAGAATCCTTCATTATTGATATACTTTCTGTATGTATTTGAAATTTCTCATTTAATGTAGGACATTCATGGGTGTGTAGTCTTAACTAGTATATTTGTGAAGCTTCCATACTTTAACTACTGAATCGATTCTGATTTTTGGCATTGCGATAGATGAGACTGTTATAGTAGGCTACTTTTTGTATTGAAATTAAAACTGGAAGAGGTTAATTATGATCATCAGCCTATTAATATCCCCACAGAACAACACACACTGCACATATAAAACAGTGTTTATACCTTGGTCTCTTACTGAAAACCAGCGTCATGTTATGTGCTGACCGGAAGACATTTTTGCCACTGCAACACCATTTTTTAGTTGCGGCAAAATAATTTTTCTTTTTTAACCTTGAATGAATGAATGAATACTCTTTATTGCACTATTAAAAAAAAAACAATAAACATAAAACAGGAACGCAAACACAAAAGGCAGCCTTATTGCTTAGGTAGCAATCTCTACCTGGCAACCTTTGGCTAAATGAACCGATACCATAAGAATAGTAGAAACAGCGGGCTGTGCATTGTAAAAATAAATAAATAAACGTAAATATAGGAAAATAAAATACATATAGAAAATATATGGAAGCTATAAAATACGATACAAAGTAATGAACATTTGAAAATATCAGTCAAAGAGTCTAGCTTGAGGAAATAATCCTTAATTTTAATAGCAAAGGAGTCCTTCGCCCATGCACGTTTAATATAATAATAATGTACCATTTATTTTCTCCTCACAAAAGGTATAATAGTACAATAGGATAATATATTATGTGGGAGACTGGTGCCCGTAAAAGGCAACTACGAATAGCTACCTGTACTAACAGGTCACCAGGCCCCGACTATAATAATAATAATAATAATCTTTACTTCTTCTTCCACAATCTACAAATCCCATGACAACTTATTATACTATAATTCTTATATAAAAACATTAAATAGATTGTGAGAGACCGGTGCCTGAACTAGGCTATACTATGATACATAAACCATACGTGTATTGCATATCTAAATGGGAAATTGAATACCTACTCCAAATTTGAAAAAAATAAAAATATCTAAAGGTTATCCTTGTTTGTCACCAGTCGCAGATAAAGGCATCTGCGTGCCCACGGTGGCCGTGTGCTGCCTAGTGGTGTGGGTGGAGGGCGCGGTGCGGGTGGAGCGGGGCGGGGTGGGCGGTATGGGCGGCATGGGCCCCGGGGTGGGCGGGGCGGGGTGGGGCCGGCCGCTGGCGGCGCACTGCGTGGGGTACCCGGCCGTCACGCTGGGGTTCGGGGTCAAGTCCTACGTGGGGCACAGGCTCCGGCTGCGGCGCCAGCGGCAGGTGCGCGCCGACAACGAGTTCTACTTCCAGCTGATGCGGGACGCGTTGCCGGAGAGCGCTCTGGAACAGGTCAGTCCACTTGCAAGCACAAATCGACACATCGGTCGCGCTTCGAGCTGAATATCATCGCTTGTTCTTCGTTGAGTTTCGTTTCTATAGCACTTCAGCTCATGCTGCTCCTTAACATGAGCGCCGCAAAATGATATATAATACATGCAGGATAAAAATGTGAATGATCGTAAATTGGGGTGCTCATGCTACGAGGACTGGCTTCACACTTCTTTTGCTGGCTTTGTCAGCTTTTAGTTCGTTTATTTATTTAACTAGCGTGCCTGAACCGACAGACGTTGCCTGCCCAATAAAAATTATATAAATCCTTGAACTCGACTGCAGCGCCACCTATCGGGCAGAGTACGTTTAATAACATTAAGTTTCCTTAAAATTTTGCTAGTTTGGGGCCGTTCAAGTATTACGTAAGCAGATTTATTACAATTATTTACCCCCTCCTCCCCCTCGTCAGAAAAATTAAGCAAAGCTCTTACCCCTCCCCCCCATCCTTACGTAAACATTGGTACCTATATGCATTTTTCCTTTAATGTATTCTGTTTTTTTTATTGATTCATGAGCTTCATGTGCAGCAGTACTTAAAAAGGCTTAATCGATGATGCTGACATAATTACCATCTCTCCCCGCCACCCCCCCATGTCATCAAAAATAAGTAAAGCAAAGACCCCCTGCCCCCCTATAGTGCTTACGTAATACTTGAACAGCCCCTTTTCAGCATAATTTTTTTTCTATAAAAACCAAGTACCGAGTAACTGCGGGTTACTTTGACCTAAAATGTGCACTTTTTTTTTCAAATAAAATTGTAGCTTCTCTTTGTGATGAATATGTCACGTTTATATCTTTCCATTGTGAAGTTTAAAGTATAAGTTACAAAGTAATCATACGAAAATAGGAAAAAATAATATTTAAGGGTTAATATATGTATTTTTTTTGGGCCAAAGTTGGCCTTAAAGAGGGTTACTTTAGCTCGTTGAGTTTTCTCTGTGAAAAAAAAACTCATTTTAAGCCATGTTGGTGTTAAATAACCCTTATAACAGATCACCATTAGCATACTGAATACACAAATAGATGTTTTTGCCCAAAAATAATTAAGTAAATAAAAAATATAACTTAAAATTTAGAAAAAATAGTAAACTTACCGAAAACCACAGTTTTGAGAAAGTTTGTGCATGAACTTGCGAACTATTTCAGTTACAAAAAATTCCGCGTTACAATGACAACTTGATACAGGAACGATGTCGGTAAAACAACACCACACTGCGCGCCTATATGGCTATCTGTGATTTTCAACTGGAACTATTACGTTCACCCAAGAGATACTGATGGGGCGGCAAGTTCAATATTTTTTCTGATTTGGGACAAAGTTACCCGCCTGAGCTAAAGTAACCCTCACTTACGGTAGCATAATAACGAGTGGTAGGGGAAAAACATTTTTTTGTTAGCCTAACAAATAATTGTTTATGAACTGGTATTTTATCCAGATTTAAATATGTCCAACAACGATAGGTAGGGGAAAAAAATTGGGACGATTCAAAAGAGTTGTACTACAGTGGAATCCGTTTATTATGACTCCGCCTATATTGACCAACCGCTTATTATGAAGTTACACGGCGAAGTTTGATTTTCATATAAAATTCCTTATAACAAAGTCGGACATAATCACTTCGCTGATAGTGACATGTCGCTTATTAGTACTCATTTTTTTCATTTTTAATAAATTGTTTCCGACATGGTTCCTAATACCTTCGGCAGTATACGGGAGAGAGAATCCGTCACGTGATATCCGACGACGTTCGACAGGTGCATGGCTTTTTTTTTGTTTCGAGTCTTAGGAGATAAATGGATTCCACTGTATACATTTAATTTGAATAAAGATATATTGATTTAAATAAAACTAGTTTTAACGCGTTAATGCACGAACTTTTTTTTCGTCTGAGCATTGCTATAATGAGGCGCGAGGCTATTGAGATTAAAAATATCCAAATTTTAATAGGGAAGATGGTTGGTGTGTACCACCGGCTTGGGAACCCATTATACAAGAGATAAAACCCCAACCCCGAGCACACACTGCAAGACCAACAGATACTATTAGTTCTTTTTGTTTGCATAATTTAACATAAGAAGGAGATAGAAAGCCTCTGAGTTTGTTTCGCCGGTTCTTCTCAGAAAGGTCTCCCAATTTTGGAATCGGTGGTAGTTTACATTAGTTAGGGTCAAATAAATAAACTCAAAATTACAAAAAAGAATTTTATATAAAGTACTTTATTAAATAAATTAACTAATAAATTCATACATAGACAATAAAGTTTTAAAAATCTTCCAATGAAGTATCCGAACACGCAATAAAAGTCTTTCGAAGGTAGCTCGACAAAGTTAATAAAAATAACATTATTCTGACAATGCAGACCTGAAAATGCTGCGAAACGTGAATATATAAAGTTCGTGCATTAACCCATTAGAACTAGTTTTATTTAATGAGTGATGTGCGTGAAAACCTAAGAAACAAATATATATTGATTTAAATTATTTGGTAAGAGAAAAATAAAACTTTATTATTATTAAACCTAATAATAAAGGTTCATTATGTATGTTGTTAGCATCAGCAAAGCCAACAGCCGGCGAAGGAGCCGGAGCGCAGTATAGAGTGCGACACGCGGCATATGAACGGCAGCGCGGGCCGCCGCCGCTGCCTCAAGCCCGAGCAGAACGGGCACTGCCCCTTAGAACAGGCGGACTTAAAGTTTAAGGTAATCTAAACAAACTTGAAAATTAAACTATTTGTAGTCTACTAGCAAACCAGTGAACCAAATGTTCACCAAAACCGGATTTAAAAAAAAAATGTATTTAATTAATTGAGAACTTCGGAGATTTTGTGTGGTTTCGTTTGAAATTCGTGATTTCTCGAAAACCGGAAGTGCTACGTTACTCAAATCCGGTTTGTAGTCTTATCAGATTATTCTTAACTTATAACTTAAACATTCTCTTTATCTATCTCTTACGGTTTGGCCGCTGAAACAGCACCACAGACGGACGGACGGACGGACTTGTCTAATAGATAAGAGATTCACATTGGCGTGTGACAAAATGTAAACAAACCATAAAAAGGATCATTTTTAAGGTCACGTTTGACAAAAGTAAAAATTAAATACTATTTACATAGGAAATGCAGGGAATAATTAAGTTAATTATTTTAAAAGCTGGTACATACATATGAATAAGAAAATAAAATATTTCACACATATTTAACGTAAATGCTCATCATAAATCTACGATATATATAAGCAAATTTGTTGAATCTGGATTCAAATAAAACTAGCGTTTCATCATCATCTTCATCAGCCTATTAATGTCCTCACTGCTGGGGCACAGGCCTTCCCTATGGATGGAATAATGAGATTGGGCCATGACCCACCACGCGGGCCCAGTGCGGATTGGCGGGTGCATGCTAACGACTGCAGATAGAGCCGGGACCAACGGCTAAACATGCCTTCCGAAGCACGGAGGAACTCCAGATAGAAGATTTTTGGTCACCCATCCAAGGACCAACCACTGCGAAAGTTGCTTAACTTCAACGATCGCAGCCGAACGCGCTAACCACCCGCGCTATCGAGCTCCTCGAAACTAGCTTTTACCCATAGTGAAATGTGAAAACGACTATGTCCATTTGCCGAATGAATTAATTGTATGGGCTATATCTAGTTTTAGTTAAATTGAGATTTAGGAAAATTACTGCATGTGGACCTAAGAGGCTAGTAAAACTGTTTTTTTTTTCTCTTTGTCGCTAACAGTTAGATAAGCTAGAGAAGCACTTAGCGCAGCAAACAGCGGCGCGAGACAAAAGCGCCAACTCATCGCCGAACAGTGCGCAAACTGTCGCGCAAAGTTCCGCGCAAACCAGCGCCGTTGCTAACGCGCACGCGCACAGTAACGGCGCGCCGCCTGGCCACGCGGAAGACGACGATAAGCCAGACCAAAGTAAAGGTAAGTGCCTTAAAACAGCGCGCAAACTGTCGCGCTAAGTTCTGCGCAAACCAGCGTCATTGCTAATGCGCATGCGCACAGTAACGGCGCGCCGCCTGGCCACGCGGCAGACGACGATAAGCCAGACCAAAGTAAAGGTAAGTGCCTTAAAACAGCGCGCAAACTGTCGCGCTAAGTTCTGCGCAAACCAGCGTCATTGCTAATGCGCATGCGCACAGTAACGGCGCGCCGCCTGGCCACGCGGCAGACGACGATAAGCCAGACCAAAGTAAAGGTAAGTGCCTTAAAACAGCGCGAACTGTCGCGCAAAATTCTGCGCAAACCAGCGTCATTGCTAATGCGCACGCGCACAGTAACGGCGCGCCGCCTGGCCACGCGGAAGACGACGATAAGCCAGACCAAAATAAAGTGCCTTAGAACAGCGCGTAAACTGTCGCAATAGGCTATTTGACAGTAGGAAAAATAATGTACCAATTGTTGGCATCTCTATTTAATATGAATATTAGCAGCGATTTTATTTTTCTGAAAGAACAAAGAAATAATAACTTTTCTTTAAAATCATTAAATAGAAATTATTTTTTTGTTCCGTGGTCACGTGATCGAAAACGCCTGGGATTGGCGAAGACTAAAATGTCGTCACGTGCTAGTAAACTTCGGCCTAAGTGACATTACATTGTATCGTATGACGTTTTAATGACGGGTGACGTCGCACACCAGTGAGACGTACGTAAGATTACGTTTATTTTTACTAATAACGTGAGATCGTTTTCTAAAACTTGTCAAATACCCTATTAGGAAAGAAAAGATTTGACATTCCTGTGGCAGTCCGTTTTGATGTCTTAAGAGTACCTTATGCATAGCATAGTTAGCAATTGATAAGTGTACAGGGCGTCGTTACTGCTAAGCTAACGTAATAATTGTGTCTCAATAACAGTTCAATTGTATCACTTTTTAACACAGTACCCTTAGTACGAGTTTGAGCTCACGAAAACTGTCGTAGTTTTCGTATTTGTAAATTACGTTTCTATGTCCATTTTGGTGAAAAGTAATCAATAATACTTAAAGTTTATGAAGACGCAAATGATATAATGATAGAATTTAAACACTGTTCATTTGTATTGAAACGAAGACAATAAAATCAGTACCCTTAGTACGAGTGCGAGCTCACGAAAACTATCATAGTTTTCGTAATTTTAAAAGTCGTACTAAGGGTATAGTTCTAGTTACTTAAACATAAAATAAAATATGAATAAAGATTACTATAACAAATAATTAACACGATTATTACTTCAACTTAACAGAATCGACACCCAGTTTTTTGGCGTGACAACGCCTTATAATTCTATGGAGCCGGCTGCACGAACGAAAAACATGACTCATGCGGCGTTACCTCGCTCTGAGGCGTTCCATTTAGGAGCCCTTTTACAAAATTGCGCTGCTGCCGTACTGATCGGCGTGTAGGTAGATTTGCACTAGTATATATTGCATTTTACGGGTGAAGTTTCGAGTCTTAAATATTAATATTGTAAAATAAATATAATTTGTTTTGTTAGTAATAAATTTAAATTTATCGAAAAAAAAATCATTCTGACGAAGCAGCCTGAAAAGGCTGCGAAACGTCAATAAATAAATAAAGTTTCGTGCATTGACCCGATAAAACTAGTTTTATTTAATGAGTGATGTGCGTGAAAACCTAAGAAATCTAAAACATTATGTTACAACAAAAACATATTCCTGATGTCAGTAATTAATTTGATCTTATTTATAGAACATTATTGAAAGATTGAGGCGTTTGAAGTTGTGCATATTATCGTTTTTTCCGTAAACTAGCTGCAGTAGAACGATCAGTACAAAAAAAGGAAAATAGTATTTGCATATATTCTACATTAACTTACCATAGGAAGAATAAATCTACTGTTTACTTCTATTGGAAATACTCAAAAACTTTCTTAAGGGCGTAAACGAGGCGCTCAAAAATTACGATTTTTTGCAAAAAATGTGAAAGGGCTCTGAAGGCTTGAAGTGCAAGCGAGAGCGCGCAACGAGCGACAAAGAGGCACAATCGGCCTCCGCGTTCGGCACCGTTCGACATCTGTTTCTCTCCTACTTGAGTGAGCGATGCGTCCGCATGGACAGCTGCTATACAATAATACATTTACATGTTTTCGTCAAGTATGAAGTGCAGTGAAAAGTGCACATTCATACTTGTAAAAACTATGTACATTGTAAAAAAACGTTGTCACGTTCAACTATCGTCACGACTTTACAGACAACCGATTTTTTAACAAAATATTATATTTTGTGTGCTGGATAAAGAATGAATGAAAGATAGATTTTCAATAGAGCTAAATAATATTTTATCAATAATGTATATTCTGATTTTTTTTTTCTTTTACTTTGTAGGTAGCTCTAAGTCGTCCAAGTGTGAAAAGAAAGAGGCTAGTACCATTAAGGAAGAAAAAAGAAAGAATAAAAACAGAGATAAGGATAAGGAGAGCTGCGATAGTCATAAGAGTACAGAACAAAGTAAGTATTGTTAGGGTATAAGCCCTTTTTTTTCGTCTTACTACAAAAAAATCGGATAAGTACTCATTGAATAATATTGAAAGTTTAAAAATACAATTTTTAAGGTTATGAATGTACCTTCTAAGTCAAATAGTTTTGCCGTTTCTGCTTTCACAAATCCGGTGTTCAGTATTAATTTAGTCAATAAAACCAATAAACGGAAACTTTTCTACAAGATATAAGAGTTTTTAGATATATTTTAATCTGACCAAAGATACCACAGTAACATGGCAATGACGTTTAGTTGTTTACAAATTTTGTATCGTCACAATCATGGTGGACAGCGTTTTTAGTGTTTTAAAAGCAGACTAAAAAACTATTTTTCATACTAAATTACTACAGCCATCTTCTAATTTTATGAAGTGAAATCGATGTATTTAGGTTTTTCATACCAAAAATTATAAGAAATAAATATTTGTACAGTGCAATTTGACATGAGTCAACTAGCTTATTTTGTGGATCACCTTTGTTTATGGATATCGAAAAAATGTTAAGTCAAATACTTTGCCAGCATATGAAAAGAGAATATGCTTTTCACTGCCTTCGATGATTGAATTGTATATTTCAGCTATTTTATTACATTTATTTTATTTTTTTTCAGCAAAAGAACAAATAGTTAAAGAAATAGAAAGTACAAAAGAAAGTGTAAAAAATAAAGATTGTAATGGTTATAAAGAGAAGGAGAAGGACAGAGAACGCGAGAAAGAGAAAGAAAGAGAAAAGGAAAGAGAGCGAGAGCGCGAACAGGTGAGTTCAGTTTGTGCTGTTGCACTCCTGACCCTCTGCATTAGAAAACCTTGTAACTTATTTGATTCTGAGAGGATTCATAAATCCTTTAAGACTTACCATTCCATTCAACACTAATATCTGAGTGTTATATATACTAAACTTATTATACAGGGTGCACAAAAAATGGGATAGCTGATTAATGGCGATAGCCGGTTAAGATTGCTTACATATCATTTTCCTTTTGTGTTAGCGCGAGAAAGAAGCTAAAGAAGCCCGAGAGGCGCGTGAAAGCCGCTCCTGCTCAGAAGAAGTGAGACGACTGCGGGCCGAGGTCGCGGCCGCGCGGAGTGGGGAGGCCGAGGCGAGGCGCGCGCTGGCAACCGCCGCCGCGGCCGAGCGGCAACGTCGCGCCGACCATCTGCAGCTCAAGCAGGCGCACGCCGCGCTGCAGCACAAGTACGTACAGGGCGGGTGGAGGGGAGGCGAGGCGCGCGCTGGCAACCGCCGCCGCGGCCGAGCGGCAACGTCGCGCCGACCATCTGCAGCTCAAGCAGGCGCACGCCGCGCTGCAGCACAAGTACGTACAGGGCGGGTGGAGGGGAGGCGAGGCGCGCGCTGGCAACCGCCGCCGCGGCCGAGCGGCAACGTCGCGCCGACCATCTGCAGCTCAAGCAGGCGCACGCCGCGCTGCAGCACAAGTACGTACAGGGCGGGTGGAGGGGAGGCGAGGCGCGCGCTGGCAACCGCCGCCGCGGCCGAGCGGCAACGTCGCGCCGACCATCTGCAGCTCAAGCAGGCGCACGCCGCGCTGCAGCACAAGTACGTACAGGGCGGGTGGAGGGGAGGCGAGGCGCGCGCTGGCAACCGCCGCCGCGGCCGAGCGGCAACGTCGCGCCGACCATCTGCAGCTCAAGCAGGCGCACGCCGCGCTGCAGCACAAGTACGTACAGGGCGGGTGGAGGGGAGGCGAGGCGCGCGCTGGCAACCGCCGCCGCGGCCGAGCGGCAACGTCGCGCCGACCATCTGCAGCTCAAGCAGGCGCACGCCGCGCTGCAGCACAAGTACGTACAGGGCGGGTGGAGGGGAGGCGAGGCGCGCGCTGGCAACCGCCGCCGCGGCCGAGCGGCAACGTCGCGCCGACCATCTGCAGCTCAAGCAGGCGCACGCCGCGCTGCAGCACAAGTACGTACAGGGCGGGTGGAGGGGAGGCGAGGCGCGCGCTGGCAACCGCCGCCGCGGCCGAGCGGCAACGTCGCGCCGACCATTTGCAGCACAAGTACGTATACATCCCGGCAAATTTTTTGACCATCGATCATTGACAAGGCACTGACTGCGCAGTAACAATTTTAAATAAAAAAAAAAGGTTCATAGCGCATTTATTTATCTGTGGTTTAGCTCAAGAAGTTGACCGCTAGGCCGCTACATATACCTATACTACCATCGAAACTTTATGGTGATTATCAAGTTCTAGCAATCACAACTTTGCGCAGGTTTCAGTGCAGTGATATCTCGCACGCATTTACTTCATCGTACATTTCGTTTATTGTACCGCAACTTGCGGTAACTTCACAGCCTCCATGAAGTGTGAATCACACTTAACTTTTTTTTTCAATTTACATCATTTCGTTTGCTTGAAATTCTCTTTACAAACAAGGAAAGCGATGGCGTAGACCTTCGTCTCTTGCATACTTGTTTTTTTTTTCCAAATTAACAGGTACGGCAATGTCAAGTTTTTATGCCTTTGGTTTTTAACTCAATATCTTATAATAGAATGTGTGTTTGTGTTACAGAGTGTCCGCATGGCGAGGCAGCGAGCGCGCCGCGGCCACGCTGGAGCGACGCCTCGGCGAGGAGCGGCGCGCGCGCAACCATGTGGAGACGCAGCTGCTGCGGCACCAGCAGCGGCACGCGCGCGCAGCAAGGTAGTGATACAGAGTGTCCGCGTGGCGAGGCAGCGAGCGCGCCGCGGCCACGCTGGAGCGACGCCTCGGCGAGGAGCGGCGCGCGCGCAACCATGTGGAGACGCAGCTGCTGCGGCACCAGCAGCGGCACGCGCGCGCAGCAAGGTAGTGATACAGAGTGTCCGCGTGGCGAGGCAGCGAGCGCGCCGCGGCCACGCTGGAGCGACGCCTCGGCGAGGAGCGGCGCGCGCGCAACCATGTGGAGACGCAGCTGCTGCGGCACCAGCAGCGGCACGCGCGCGCAGCAAGGTAGTGATACAGAGTGTCCGCGTGGCGAGGCAGCGAGCGCGCCGCGGCCACGCTGGAGCGACGCCTCGGCGAGGAGCGGCGCGCGCGCAACCATGTGGAGACGCAGCTGCTGCGGCACCAGCAGCGGCACGCGCGCGCAGCAAGGTAGTGATACAGAGTGTCCGCGTGGCGAGGCAGCGAGCGCGCCGCGGCCACGCTGGAGCGACGCCTCGGCGAGGAGCGGCGCGCGCGCAACCATGTGGAGACGCAGCTGCTGCGGCACCAGCAGCGGCACGCGCGCGCAGCAAGGTAGTGATACAGAGTGTCCGCGTGGCGAGGCAGCGAGCGCGCCGCGGCCACGCTGGAGCGACGCCTCGGCGAGGAGCGGCGCGCGCGCAACCATGTGGAGACGCAGCTGCTGCGGCACCAGCAGCGGCACGCGCGCGCAGCAAGGTAGTGATACAGAGTGTCCGCGTGGCGAGGCAGCGAGCGCGCCGCGGCCACGCTGGAGCGACGCCTCGGCGAGGAGCGGCGCGCGCGCAACCATGTGGAGACGCAGCTGCTGCGGCACCAGCAGCGGCACGCGCGCGCAGCAAGGTAGTGATACAGAGTGTCCGCGTGGCGAGGCAGCGAGCGCGCCGCGGCCACGCTGGAGCGACGCCTCGGCGAGGAGCGGCGCGCGCGCAACCATGTGGAGACGCAGCTGCTGCGGCACCAGCAGCGGCACGCGCGCGCAGCAAGGTAGTGATACAGAGTGTCCGCGTGGCGAGGCAGCGAGCGCGCCGCGGCCACGCTGGAGCGACGCCTCGGCGAGGAGCGGCGCGCGCGCAACCATGTGGAGACGCAGCTGCTGCGGCACCAGCAGCGGCACGCGCGCGCAGCAAGGTAGTGTTACAGTGTCCGCGTGGCGAGGCAGCGAGCGCGCCGCGGCCACGCTGGAGCGACGCCTCGGCGAGGAGCGGCGCGCGCGCAGCAAGGTAGTGTTACAGAGTGTCCGCGTGGCGAGGCAGCGTTTGAATGCAACCCAGTACTGACTTACACTCCAGTGTTGCCGTAAACAAATATTGCATTTGTTTCTGCAAGAGTCCCATACATATAAAACAGAAATATTTATTATAAGTATCTGTAAAATCTCCGGATTGAAAAAGCCGATTCTTCGCATAATTGTTGATCTCCGGAGAATCTCCGGTTTTTTTGTCTCCGGAGCAAAGCCCTATTACAGAAACTATTGTACCTAAAAAACTTAAATAAGTTGCGACCTGAGAACGTTCAACGTTTATACGATTTGATGTTTCCGCAGCGGCGAGTGCGAGAGCGAGTGGTGTCGAAGTCGAGCGAGCGCGATAGAAACCGAAGCGGCCACACTGCGCCGCGACCTGCAGCGCGCGCGAGACGTAGCCGCGCAGCTGCAGCGCGACCTGCAGCACGCCCGCGATCAGGTGAGTTGTGTGATCCGTAATTTTGAACTATCCAACAATGTATCATCATCATCAGCCTATTTATGTCCCCACTGCTTGTGCACAGGCTTTCCCTAAGGATGGAATAGGCAGATTGGCCCATGACCCACCACGTGGGCCCAGTGCGGATTGGAAGGTACTAACGACTGCAGATGCAGCCGGGACCAGCGGCTTAAAATGCCTTCCGAAGCACGGAGGAACTCGAGATAGAAGATTTTTGGTCACCCATCCTATGAACAACCACTACGAAAGTTGCTTATTTAACGATCATAGTCGAACGCGCTACCTGCGCCGTCGAGCTCTGTAAATGCATTTTTTTAGCAAATGTGTTAAAAATATTTAATTAATGCATTTCTAACCCATATAAATTACCGCCAGGTCCGTTCCCTGGAGTCGCGGCAGGAATCCGGCGCTCTCGCTGGAGCCTGGGGAGCGCTACAAGAACGGGCCACGCATCTAGAACGATCCTTATCTGCCGAGACGCGGGTCAAACTAGACCTGCTGTCAGCATTAGGGGATGCCAAGAGGCACATGCACATACAGGACGGTGAGTGGAATAAGGGAATGTTAAAAATGAGTAGATTTTTTTTTACCCCTAAATTTTAGATAACTTTCTACACAGCCATCTAACACGATCTCTATCCGCCGAGACGCGGGTCAAACTATTGTGAATGGGATAGGGAAATGGTAAAATTTGAGTAGATTTCTTTGTACACAGCCACCATTTATATGAATAGCGGGCCCTCATCTAGAACCATCTCTATCCGCGGAGATGCGGGTCAAACTATTGTGAATGGGATAGGGAAATGGTCAAAATACGAGTAGATTACTTTGTACACAGCCACAAATATGAATACCAGGCCCTCATCTAGAACCATCTCTATCCGCGGAGATGCGGGTCAAACTATTGTGAATGGGATAGGGAAATGGTCAGAATACGAGTAGATTAATTTGTACACAGCCACCATATATGAATACCGGGCCCTCATCTAGCACGATCCCTATCCGCCGAGATGCGGGTCAAACTATTGTGAATGGGATAGGGAAATGGTCAAAATAATAGTAGATTACTTTGTACACATCTACCATTTATGAATACCGGGCCCTCATCTAGCACGATCCCTATCCGCCGAGATGCGGGTCAAACTATTGTGAATGGGATAGGGAAATGGTCAAAATAATAGTAGATTACTTTGTACACATCTACCATTTATGAATACCGGGCCCTCATCTAGCACGATCTCTACCTCCGAGATGCGGGTCAAACTATTGTGAATGGGATAGGGAAATGGTCAAAATAATAGTAGATTACTTTGTACACATCTACCATTTATGAATACCGGGCCCTCATCTAGCACGATCCCTATCCGCCGAGATGCGGGTCAAACTATTATGAATGGGATAGGGAAATGGTCAAAATACGAGTAGATTACTTTGTACACAGCCACCATATATGAATACCGGGCCCTCATCTAGCACGATCTCTGCCCGCCGAGATGTGGGTCAAACTATTGTGAACCGGCGCAAGCAAGCCGCCTTAATTTAATGTGATCTCTAGGTCGATATCAATTCCTGTAGCACTTTCGAGATTTTAATGCTTTTATTATCTACTAGCTGTGCCCCGCGGTGTTACCCACGGTTTATTAGACATATTTTCTCGCAGTAAAACGTAGCCTAAGTGTTTATCCGAGTAACGACCTCCGTGGCCGAGTGGATTGTACGCCGGGTTACATGGTGTCGCCGACTCGAGAGATCCCGGGTTCGAATCCCGGTGGGGGGCAGATGTTTGTGTGATGAATACGAGCATTTGTTCTCCAGTTATAGATGTTTAATATGAATTTCAATATAAATATACTTTATATTATATGTGTTTGTATTATAATTACACAGAATTGCAAACCTTAAGTGGCAATGGGCAGGGCACATTGCTCGCAGGACCGATGGCCGTTGGGGCGGAAAGGTCCTCGAGTGGCGACCGCGTACCAGGAAACGCAGTGTTGGCAGGCCCCCCACAAGGTGGACCGACGATCTGGTAAAGGTCGCGGGAAGCCGCTGGATGCGGGCAGCATGGGACCGATCGTTGTGGAAATCCATGGGGGAGGCCTATGTCCAACAGTGGACGTCTTTCGGCTGAAATGATGATGATGATTATATGTGTACAGTATATGTATTCTATCCGTTACAATAGTATCCCATAACACAAGCCTTGCTTACTTTGGGGCTAGACTAATTGGTGTGAGTGTTGGAAATATTTATTTATATTATTATAATCCAGGGTATCAGATAACTACATACCAAATTTTATTAAAATCGCTCCAGCTGTTCAGTCGTGAAGAAGTAACAAACATTCACACTTACAAACTTTCGCCTTTTAGTCTAATTTCACCTTCTGCCCCATAGGACTAATATCGAGACAAGAGAAAGAGATAGAAGAGTTGAAAGCGCAACTGTTAGCTGTGATGCCGGCGGAGCTAACGCCGTCGCTCCGTCTTCCGGCCGCGTTAGACCCCAACGCCTCAGTGTACACACCCAAGCAACTCTGCTCCGACGCCTGAACGAGACAGCCGATCATAACCACACCTCTCTGTCGCACGCGGACACCTTTGGAACATCGGTGGTAAGATGGACGCTCACATTTTCACTGTCGAACTTGGGAATAGATGCAACAGACCTTTTGGACTCTTAAACCGTTAATTTGTGACAATTTCAGCCAGAAATGTAATCTGAAAGTTAAAAGTTGAATTTCGTTTGTGGATTGTCAAGTAACTAGGGTGATTTTACCTTGCACTGAATTTGATGACGGTAACTAATGCTCTCTGTTTTACTTATTTTAGTAACATATAGACTTTGCCATGTGTTTCTTTTTATCAATATGTGAAACTATCAATCTACAAACTTATATTTTAAATGGAAAAAGTTGATAAAATTGAATTAGATATTGGTAGAGCACTCTCATGGCCAACCGTACCATGTGCGACTATACAAGCACATAACGTATACAAATACAGTAATGTAAAACTAATAAATCAATACTGCTTGTTGTTAAATTTTGTTTTCGTTTAAGTTAATATACAGGGTGTAAGAAAACCTATGACAAAGACTAAAACTACGCATTCTGTACACCCAAACAAGTAATATTACAAAATATTATACGTGGGAAACATTTGTATTATTAATTAAAAAAATACATTTTTTTCTAGTACGCAATGTATAGCGCGGCGCGCTATTGTGGCGCTACGCAAACAATGTGCCTGTGTATATGTGTGTGCGTGTGTTTAAGTGCGTTGATAAAAAAGTCTCTAAATAACGTTTTTGTAAAAATCTTGAAAAAAATATTGTGACTTTGACCTTCAATATCTCTATAACCATAAATTTCCCAGGCATGGTCCACAAGAATAAAATGATCGTCATGATGTGGAAAATACGTGGCCTTCGACTTCGTTAAAGGTTTTTTTACACCTTGTAGATATAGAAAAAATTGGAACAGTTTCCATCCAGCTTAAAACCGGCCCACTAAAGATTATCCGATGACCTATAAAATAAATACCAGACTATATGCAACATAATCAATCTACGTTCTCGTTTTTACTGATTTATTACTGATTTCACAATAAACTCAAATTGCAATACTAAATATATTCCGTACAATTACCATCTATGAATATTGGTTAAATTGTGATGGTGACAAGGTAGCAATGAAGTCAATTGATATTTCAGTTTATTCTCAAATAATATCCTATAAAATATATAAAGCGATGACTCTGTACAATTTCAAGCTATCTTTGTCACTATTTGTACCTTATAATTTAATAAATTACCACTTTTTTTTAAACAAACATGCCTATGGCATTATTAAAGATATTGAGTTAAATATTACGTAAGATAAAAAAATATAAAACCAAATTGAATCTATTTTACCAAATGTATTTAACAAAATCGTCTACACAAAACTTTGTTTCACTTCACATATTTGTTTCCATCAACAAAGTTTTTGCTTTCCGCGCCCGATGGGCAACACGTACACAAATCGCCTCCGCGCGGGTCGAGAGGCAGGGTATTGTTTCATCGGCCATTTTTTTGACAATTCGCTAGGCTGCGTTCCAAAGCTTCGCTCCGAGTGCAACTTTTCACTGACGTTTAAATTTTGACACAAAATGTACGAAACTTTGTAATGTACTTTTGTCAAATTGTGACATTTGTTGCACCTAGATAGTAGTTTTGGAACGCAGCCCTGTGTATTTATGAGTCTATTGTGTGTACGAGAGCCACGTAGACACACATATTTCAGAAACTAAGTTTTGTGTATGTGTTTTTGTTGAATGTCATGTCAACATCTGCATTTAAATTCTCTGAAGAGTCATCGTAGAAGAAATTCAAGTTTTAAAAAATATATATTGAAAGGTTATTGACTATAAAGCGAGTAGGTTATGTTATGTTTTGAATATACACAAAATTTATCAGATTACTAAAAAGTAATCACACTAAATGTCAATTCCCAAATTCGATGACAGAAATGTCAGCATTCCCATTACCATTCAGTGTAATAGTGTTTTCTGTTTATTTATTCCAACAGAAGTTTTAGTTGGAACTAATTATTTTTATATATTTTTTGGTCTAACCTGCACTACGTACGCTTTCACTTTATATTAAACTGAAAGTGATAGGATACTAGCTAACCCGAGTACTCAGTTACAAGCTCTTCATTGAGTATACTTGACAACTACTAAAAAGTAAACAGAAATTGTTTTCTTAATAGTTAATTTTTGGATGTGCAAAGGTTTCCGTACTCGAGCGGTCAGTTCCCAAAGTTATTGGGACGTCCAAACTACTAAATAAGATTTCACTAGACCACATCAGCGAGACTAGTCATGGGAATCGACATATTATTACATTCGTCAAATAAAAACTTGGTCCTAGTTTGCAACCCTGAGTAACGCCAACTGGAATTTACAGCAACATTTTCAAACAGTATCCCATTTATCTTTAAATATTTCTGTATTATAATTTTACAATGTCACTTGACCTTTTTGCTGGTGTCTAGATCCCGAGCCTTAAACTGGTCCTTGTATGGGCGCTTGTTCTGATCTCATTCGTTTAATTCAATCTGATAGGGTAAATTTAGTCATAATATGCTTTTAACACTGAGTGCGGTTATTTTGGAATATACATAATAATAACTAGTACTAATAATAGTACAATTACAAAGCTTGTGAAACAGTATTAATTTGTAACAGTTCTTGAAGAAAATTTGTTTTAATATATTTTCATCGTAATTGCACTTGTGAAATAAAACGCCCGTACAACCGCCAGTGTTTGTTAAACAATCAAACGTGTTAGTTTTATAATGACCGTGTAAGCACTTAGACAGAGCGTTTATTTTTTCATGAAGGGAATATTTAGATTCGTGGTACATATAACTACTTACTTACAATGTTACAGAAGCATTTTTATTATTTGCATTTACTTACCGACCGGTGACTTGTTGCTGAATTTAAAAGAATACGTATATGTATTTGTATAATAATTATTACCTTGTTTAAATTTTGGATAATTGTAGAGTTGAATTTTAATATATACAAATGGCGGGTTTTATTTTGCTAAGTCACAGCTTGGACTAAGTCATAATTTTTACATTTATGACTAGCAGGATAATGGTGTCGATTCTGGTACGACTCTCTAAACCCAAACTTAAATTCGACAACAGCGCATTGACTGATGTTAAATTTAGTTTTAAGTTTAGAAAATCATGCCGGAATGAACACCAATATAATTTATGCGGCACTGAAAACAGCGTTTGATGACGGGTGTCCTTTTGAATTTATGTGATAAATTGTACAAAAAAAGATCTGAATCGAGTCTTCTTTCTTGTATTTGTATCCTTTGAATGTTTTAGTCAAGTTAAACTTAACATGGGGCATCGCAAGAGTTGAATTGTTTTTATTTGTAATAAAACTAGTAAATATATATTTCTTCTAAATCCAAAATGATAGTTGAATATTAATGTTATCCTGTTTACATTAGTTACTAAATTAAAACAAATTGAGGCCGCAATCAATTTGAATCAAAATAAATTTTATGACATGGCCCCCTGTTTGTGCAGTGAAGTGTACTGTCTCGTGCGGCGCCGACCTGCTCATTGTTGAAATTAAGATGAAATGTTTATGAGATTTCAACATATTTAGCGGACGCCGAGCCATCTGACCATAGAGGTATAACAATAGAGTAGGGGAGATATGGACTCTACTACAAGTGGAAGTGTCCCTCTAATAGAAAGAGAAAGAAGATGAGATACCGCAACCTTTCTCTCTCTAATCGCGCGTGCGCATTGGCAACCCTCTTACTATTGGACAGACGACTGCGCATGCGTCACAAGAGAGAGATAGCTAGCGGTCTCTCATCTTCTTTCTCTTTCTACTAGACGGACACTTTTAGAGCCGCCTTCCCCACTCTATTCTTATACCTCTATGCATCTGACACGCAACACGCAGTTGCAAGACCATGACAGATGTATTAATGTGATATTCGCTGAATTTCCCGTGTATATCTTGTGGATGTTTGTCTTTAATTGTGTAGCGAAAATGAGTACATAACTTTTATGAAAAACAAAAAAATAAATACCAAAAATCTTGCCAGTTATTTTAAATGTGGTAAATATATTTACATATAATTTATTGTTATATAACTTAAAATATACTGCAAGTTGATGAAACGGCAAACATCCATGTTACTTAAATATTGTTTCACATCAGTGCACACTGTATAATGTACAACTTCATTAACTAAGAGCTACGAAATTAAATACCCTAGACACACCACGTGCGCTCAAAATGTGTCCCAATCAAGAAGTGCTTGAACAACCTACTATAAATTGATTTAATAGAAAATATTTGTGATATTCAAATGCATGGTCGGTAAATAGCCGTCTCTTTTCCTCGCTGTTAGCGATATAGCAGGTACGGACCTGCTATATCGCTAACAGCGCATTCAGCATTGCGCGTAGGTCAAAGAAATAGGGTCTATATTCTTCCGCATATAGTAATAAGTCTTAAAATTTTACGAGCTTGCATTTTGAACTGTCATAACTCTTTGACGCATGCATTTTAATGAAGACCGTATACGGAATGCATTAAAGGTGACTTTCAATGTTTAAATAATGCCTTATATCGTTTTTGTCTACGCGATCATCTTACGGAGCTCCGTGGATCGGCCAATGTACCTTTTGGACAGGTTTCGGTTATGATTTTGTTCGTGATGTTGTGTCTAGGGTATTTAATATCGTTGCGTAAGAGTGACTAAAAACGCGCTCGTGTGAATAAACTCTGAAGCATCTTTATGTCCTCATGTGTTCATAAATTGTTAAATTAGTTGTTACATTTTATGATTGTATAGACATTATTGAATGTCTTAATTATAATTTGAGAAGCTAAAACCAGAATATGCGCCGTCGATTTAACATTAATATGTACTATTATTATGTAACTTCCCGTCTCGCTTCCGAATATTGGTAATTCAATTTCGCATTTACGTATGTCATGTTATAACAAACTCGATTCTGACTTCACTCATTTAAATCCATCGCAAGTATAGTATATGTTCTTATTTGCTACGCAAGAACTCTATTTTGACTATGAATCGTCTCATTTCTCTATCAGGGTAGGAAAATATCGACTTCTGAAATAATTCAATAAATTGATTTGCGACCCGACCCTACCCTCAGACAACGCTCTATAGGGAAAACTATTAAAACGCGGTTTTCTCTTAATTGACGTTTAATTACGTATACAATTGTAAGTGACAATAAAAGTCAAAAAAATATCCAAAAACATTAAAAATAAATGGTATAAAAACTGCCAGTTTCGACAACAGCTCTGTAATCATAATATTATAAACAATCAAGAACTTTTATTTTAAACATTCAAGAACTTATTTTTAATATTTATATTGATATTCTGTTCCCATGCTTACTTAATTGAGTGAAATGTGTAACATATCTTTTTCTAAGAAAAATTGCAAACCGGAATTAACTGTCTCGATATTGTTGACGTGTCAACTACAAATATTATGAAGTAAAAAGAGATGTACTATACTTGTATTTATTTGAGTGCAATAGATTGGAGTCCCTTAAATAAAATTTGACGAGTGTGGAACGTAACTAAGTCTTGAATAGTAAGTTTGTTGTAGTGGTTAACGTACAGTGGGATTTAAGTGAAACAGTGCACTCGATGTCTCACGTGGACCAGGGAACTAATATTTTGTATCGTATTCAAATGTAAGTAAATAAATAATACACACGGAGAGCGAGTGTTGTAAACAGATAATATTTTTGTAAGAGCAATATTTTTTCAATGAAATATTTACCAGTAATTTGTAATTATATCAATGACGTTTCTCACGTGAGCCATCGAGTGCGCCGTTGGGGTGAATTAATTTAAGGTAAAAAGTACTTTTATCTCGTCGTTGCCCAAATTGGTACTTGTCGGAAAATCAGTTTGTAATGTACTCGTAAAGATGAAACAAATGTCATAACATATATTAATATCTACATGTTCCAATTGAAAATAATCTACCAATAGGTACAGCTAGAGTCTGCGTACCGCGTTGTGTGAGACATCGCTATAAGCAGTGTGGAGCGCTATCTCGTTGACACCGATGCGTTTGGATAGCGTTCAAATATTGCTCAGGCTGCTTTTTATGTTGTTCGACATATTAATCAGTGAAAATCATTTGAATTTATTTGAACTTGCTGACGAACGTCGAGATTATAAGGTTAGTGTTTATTATACATCACAGTACTAAATAAAGAATCTACGCACATTGGATGTAACAGTAATGAGATGTAATAATGATAATTATTATGGAGATTGTGACAGTAAAGTTGTCGTCTAATCTAGTCTTTCGTCAAGATTGGTTTGACCCTGGTGTAGTTCTTTATGCTAGAGGCATTAGCTGTTTATACAACGCTATCATCATTATGAGTGAGACAATAAATGGGTTTTCCTTTGTATTAAAGATTACAATGTCGTTTGCTAGTGATATTGCCCACCAGACCCCACCAGGTGTAAGCTTGATCTTGATATTTTGTAACCTAAGTTTTAGATATTTAATTATTGTAACATCAGACTGCACACTGCCCTCGAAGTCAGACTTCCATTAACATTTTGAAGGTTGAACCGATAGATGTAAAACGAAAAGTACTTAATTTAGATTTAGATTTGGATGTGATTTACCTACATACTTTTTTTGTTTTTCAAATGTAGCTGTCGGCGTGACAGATACACATACAATTTTTTCCCAATATCTCATTGCCTGATGGAAAAGAGCGCTGCTGTAGGACAATTGGTACAAGCAGAAGATCTGAATTTTCACTAGTGAAATGTAAGCGATAATGTTTGTTTGTATTATGAACAGATGCTGTAACAGCAATAAAAATCAGACTTGCAAATATGTTTTATTTTATTTTCAACCCTTTTGCAAAATCCAGGAAGGACTATAATGTTGGTTCTTGAATTTTTCAACACATTTGCTCAAAAATGCATTTCCGGAGGTTGGATACATTTTTTTTTTTATTTATTTATTTATTCAATATAAACATGCAGGCTTACAGAATAATCCAAAACGCCGGCAAGTCATACACACAAAATATTAACAATCATAGAAGGTATTCATTAAATTCAATAAAATTAAGAAAAAGAGATAATCAAATAATAATAATTATAACAAAAAAAAACAGTAATGCCAAATAGTTAAATAGTTAGGTAATGTCAAATAGTACTTAATAGAAACAAAGTCAAATCACCCATTGTAAAAGTTAATTAAATTTATAATAAAATAGTTAAAAATGTCAAATCAATAAAACAATTAATAATGTCATATCTAATGTCAACTAAGAACAGATAATGTCAAATATACTAATTTAATAAATAATATCATACCATTTTAGTTACAAATAAATGAATTGTCAAATTCAGAAATAATCAATAAGCTATTTTCTCAAGAAACTCGAGTGCAGCCGCCACTAGCTTTGCTAAACCATCAGCGAATAAGTCGATATTGTTACATTGAGCGAGCATGTCCCCGATGAGTCGGATCGCGCGCGTAGTGGGTGCGTGCGCGGCGTGTACGGTGCGCGTGACTGGCCGGTGTACAAGGCGCGGCACCACCAGCCCGCCGCGCGCCGACGTCGTGTGGGACGCGCGAGGGCACCAACAAACACACCCGCTCCAGCACGTGACTGGCCGGTGTACAAGGCGCGGCACCACCAGCCCGCCGCGCGCCGACGTCGTGTGGGACGCGCGAGGGCACCAACAAACACACCCGCTCCAGCACGTGACTGGCCGGTGTACAAGGCGCGGCACCACCAGCCCGCCGCGCGCCGACGTCGTGTGGGACGCGCGAGGGCACCAACAAACACACCCGCTCCAGCACGTGACTGGCCGGTGTACAAGGCGCGGCACCACCAGCCCGCCGCGCGCCGACGTCGTGTGGGACGCGCGAGGGCACCAACAAACACACCCGCTCCAGCACGTGACTGGCCGGTGTACAAGGCGCGGCACCACCAGCCCGCCGCGCGCCGACGTCGTGTGGGACGCGCGAGGGCACCAACAAACACACCCGCTCCAGCACGTGACTGGCCGGTGTACAAGGCGCGGCACCACCAGCCCGCCGCGCGCCGACGTCGTGTGGGACGCGCGAGGGCACCAACAAACACACCCGCTCCAGCACGTGACTGGCCGGTGTACAAGGCGCGGCACCACCAGCCCGCCGCGCGCCGACGTCGTGTGGGACGCGCGAGGGCACCAACAAACACACCCGCTCCAGCACGTGACTGGCCGGTGTACAAGGCGCGGCACCACCAGCCCGCCGCGCGCCGACGTCGTGTGGGACGCGCGAGGGCACCAACAAACACACCCGCTCCAGCACGTGACTGGCCGGTGTACAAGGCGCGGCACCACCAGCCCGCCGCGCGCCGACGTCGTGTGGGACGCGCGAGGGCACCAACAAACACACCCGCTCCAGCACGCCAGGGGCATCCACACAGCCGTAGAGCACAGAGAGGTAGTGGATGACGAGAATGACTTTTCTCCTAAGAGCGAGTGTATTCAGCCCTACCATACCGTACACGAACGATGAGGGATAAAGATACGGATAATACCCATTGCACTTTTTAAATAACCACCGAGCGAACTTCCTCTGCGACTTCTCCACAATAAGGCTATATTTTTTCTCGTGTGGGTCCCATAGAGCCGCCCCGTTTTCGAGTTTACTTCGCACATACGCGTTATATAGTGCTCTGGCCACAGCAAAATTGCTAAATTCTGAATAAACCCTAAGAGTCGGCTCGCCGATTTACAAATATTTGCCACATGTTTGTGGAAGTCCATTTTTTAATCTAAAGTAATTCCTAGATCCTTTATTTCGCCGATTCGTTCCAAAGGAGTGTCAAATAATTTATAGTCAGAATGTAACATATTACGCTTTCGTGAGAATGTAATGGTTTTACATTTTGCAGGATTGAAAGATAGACGATTACTTTCGCTCCATGCGGCCACGGCATCAATGTCACTCTGCAAAGCATCTATATCTGATCTATCACCTATACCCAGATAGAGTTTGAGGTCGTCAGCGAATAATAGACACTCAGCAAACTTAACAGTATCCGGCAGATCATTCACCATGGCGAGAAACAGAGTTGGACCTAACGTGCTCCCCTGGCTTACACCAGAACGGGTGAAGTAAACCTCAGATTCATGTCCATTCAATCGTACAAATTGACATCGGTCGCTGAGGTAGTTTGCGAAGAACTGCAAAAGTCGAGGCGCAAAACCGAGTCCACCAAAGTCACCAGATTCGTTGTAGTCGAGCGCGCCTTGCGAAATCCGTGCTGACTATCATGCAACCGGCTACTTATCTGTTGGCTAATGCATCCATTAAGGATCGTTTCAAATATTTTTGCAAAAACAGACAGTAGAGCAATCGGCCTATATGTGGTGACATCGGGCCCAGGGTCTCCCTTCGCAATAGGTGTTACGCGAGAAAGCTTCCAGCAATCCGGATACCTGGCCTGAACCAATGACAAGTTGAACAGATGCAAAAGCGGAGCCTTAAGAGCGGATATCCAATCCTTGACCAAAAAAATCGGAATGCCATCAGGTCCACTAGATGATCGAGCCTTAAGACGCCTAATAGCTGCTTTAAGATCAACTTCAGTTATTGTTGACACTGAAATGGCATCCTTAATTGTATAACTCTCCTCAGCAGCTTTAGCGGGATTCAAGCGGGGCACCTCGTCCAAGAACACAGAACCAAAATATTGTGCAAAAGCCTCCGCAGCCTCGTGACCTGTTACTGCCTCATCGTTATATAAATAGGAATCTACATATCGCCTGTCCATCCTCTTATATTTAATGTATTCCCAGAATTTTACAGGTTCGTCAATGATATTTTTTTCGATATTTTGTATATAAAGCTGATGTTCTTTGTCAATCAGTTTTTTTGTGTGCCATCTATAATATCTAAATAATTCAAAATTAAATTCTTTACGGTCTTGTTTATACTTTTTTAAGTGTATATATTTCTGCTTTAAGTTATTACTTATCTCGCTGGTAAACCACTTGGGATAATTATACCTATTGTTATAGGATGAATCCCTTTTAGGGGGAACATATAAATTTATACAATCGTACAGAGTCCGGTAAAATACTTGCACGCTAGAACCAACATCATCATTTCCCAACACGTCGGACCAATCTATTGCGTCCAGAGCAGAATACAACGCCTCAAAGTTAGCTCTACGCCAGTTCCATTCTGGACGAAGGCTTCTTCGCATAGAAGAAGTACGCTTGTTTTGCGCTGGTGGTACCGTACCGCTTTCTCATGCTATTGTAATATCATCCATTACTAAAACTTAATATGGCAAAATATAGAATATATTGTGCTACAATCCCCACTTGTTTCCCACTAAACACCAGATACCTGAGCCTGGAGTCCAAATAAACCACAAGGATATTGGTTTGGTTCTCAGTGATAACCCTAAATTTCTTCGAAGGACAGATTAATGTACGAGACTATTCGCTTCTTCGAGAAAACAACAGTATTGCACTTTGGGACTGAGATGAAAAGTTCGTGGTCTTCGAGACTTGGCTTGCGAGATAGTCTTGAGAATAAAGGACAACATCATCAGCGTATTGGAGGATATCGCAGAGGGGCTCCGGGGCCAGACTCACAGAACTTCAGCTACCCTCCCTTCATCTTATATTTTTAGAATTTCTGGGATCGGGCTTCAATTTCTTGGTATGTGAGATAATTGTGCATGGTCATTAGCTTCCTCCTTCAGCTTCCCTGCGTTTCGTTACAGCAACTGAGCAACAGAGGCAACTAACCTATGGTATAACCAATTAAAAGAACCAAGTGGCGACATGGATATAGCAAGCCCGGAATCGAACGGGTCAGCATAACTATATTTCTTTTCAGCTAATAGCAACATTAGCAAAATAGCTATTTATACTATAAACAAATTGCTGGGGGTCTCTTCTTAGACAGAGACTTCTTCTAAGACTCTTGTTAGACAGGGGCGCCCACAACTGGGATAAAAAACAAACTTCGACGGGTCACCATCAAGGGCGGATCCCCCTGGACTGGGTACAGATGGACCAAACCCAGGGGGATTTTATTTAAGTACTTTCAATATTTAATATACCACGACTATATGACCCCCCCCCCCCTGGCGACTAAGCTGGCTATATGACCCCCCCCCCCCCCCCCCTGGCGCAAAAGCTGGATCCGCCCTTGGTCACCATACCTTAAATAATAAGCGCAAGTGGTTAGCGCATTCAGCTGCTTTAAGTATGTTCGCAGTGGTCGATCATTGGATGGGTGACCCAGAATTTACTATCTCGAGCTCCTCCGTGGCTCGGAAGGCGCGTTAAGTCGTTGGTTCATTAAAAATTGCTTGCTCAAGGAAGGATATTATACCTACTGTTGAATAATAAAAACGCCTGGTCGTAATTTTTATCTTCGGATTTTATCAAAGTTATGTTGAATATACAAAAAAATACATAAAGAAAAAAACTGGCTGATCTCGCCGTAAAACAAAAATAGGAAACATGATATTTTTGAACAACATTACGATTTTCTTGAATTTTAATACTTCGTATTGCCTCCTGCTTCCATTACTGCGTTTACCCGGTTTGGCATGCTGAACATCAAGTTTCTTATACGATTTTGGGGAATATTTTCCCATTCCTCTGTGAGAGCAATTTTGAGCTCACGAAGCGTAATTGGGGGAAGGTTTCGTTGTTTTAAGTATCTCCCTAGCTCATCCCAAGCATGCTCGATCGGGTTGATATTCGGGCTGCGTGCTGGCCACTCCATACGAGTAATGTTCATCTCTTGAAGTAAGTAGTAGTAAGGTATTCACAATTCAACCTGTATGAGGTCGGGTATTG